ACCTAGGAGGTGAGTGAAGTCTTTTTTTTCCTTTCGTGAAATGGTCTCGAGTCAGACCCGGGCATCAAATGGAATTGTGTACGCCTGTGTACGTCTGTTCCCCTCAACGGGAGATGCATCGGTAGCACAGGCAGATGGCAATATGCTCAGAGTGCCATGGAAGTGGCCGTCGATGGCTGGCACACGACACCTCGATTCGTGCAACTCCGATACCTGGATTCCCACAACCCGTGAACCTCCATTACCTACACCCCATTCGATTCCATCGAGATTGGAGGACGAGTGAGAGAGGTTTTGGAGACGAACACATGCATTGCGTGCTGGGTTGTGGTTCCATGGAATCAGGGGAAAGCCGGTGTGCTGAAGAGAGCAGAGTGCCAGGTGCATTTGCTCCTAGAGCTTCACTGCAAAACTGCACTTAAGATACCAAGGTTCAATATGAGCTGTTTATCTAAAGGACACTTGAATAAAGGGGGTCTGCCGCTCTTATACCGTTGCGGGACATACCTCGGGTCTGACGATCCAAGCCAATGCCCACACCGGCAACCGATCCAACATCGGCATTTTGTTTGTGAGAGAAAATGCAGGGACTAACATTGAATGCTTGTAGGATTGTCCTTGTTCATCTATCGTCACTCCTTTTGATGTGGATGATCTTGGCCGTTGAACGTCCATCCTATCCTACCACGCTTCAATCGACTGCCTAATCTTCATTCGGAGACCTATCGTGAAGTGTGAGTTCCTACTTGTTTGCTGTCTTTTCCCTTTTTTTCCCCTCCCCTGACGATCGTGACCCCCTACATAGGGTTGGCCTCCTGTGCACTCCACATTCCGCAGTACGGCCCCAGGGGTGAAAGACGTTCGCTCGTACTTCATCTCTCGGACTGGTATCCTCCAGAATCCCAATTCATCGGATCATTCCTGCGTTCTTGGCCAGCCTAGATGCCAGTCTCGCCGTCACGGTAAGGGTTGCATTGTGCCCTCTGCCCGAAGGCTTCTTTATCTGGGTTAGTATTCTCCTGCGGAGCCAATACCTTCCCTCGGTCTTCCTCTTCTTCCCTTTCACCGAGACCTTCCTTCTGTCTTTCTCATTACCTGCTGTCTTAATTCTAAATTGCTCTTAATCACCTGGCTAATACCCACTCCTCGTCCCTCCAGCTTCGACCTCTGGAAGACCTTCGTCTCGGTTTTCCGGCCTGTCTTGTCTTCTCCAGCATCCTGACTATCGTCTCGACGCTGGTCCACACTCTTTAATCATTCCAACTACTTTCCAGTCATTCCTTTCTTCCAACTAATCCGACGACTGTCACTCTCTTAATTCCGTCGTTGCCTGTCAGACTTGGTCGTCCAGGTTTCAATCTTTCGAATATCCCACAGATCTAATTTTTTCTTCTCACCACTTTCATTTGCATTTTTTGGAACGGTCCCTCGACAATATGGCTTTCCACCACCGCCCGACCTCCAGCTTCCAGCCTTGTGAGACCTTCTTCGTGGAGTGCGATGACTACACTCTGCCGCAGTTGACCGCAAAGCAACAAGCCGAGAAGGAGCACACCAAACTGGTAGCTCGTGAACGGCAATTTGCTATTGCGGATCAACTGTCGAAGATTGCCAGCGATGAGCTCCGCGAAGATATCCTGTCCCACATGCTGGAGATGGATGTTAGTGGCCACGAAACCCTGCTGTCGAGTCTTGTTGCTAACCTACCTCTCTTCTGCTAGGGTCAAACCCTTCCTGACGTCGAGTCTATCGATATTCAGACCGAAATCCAGTGGTTCATGCGTCCCTACCTTCTTGACTTCTTGATCGAGGCCCACACTGCCTTCCAACTCCTGCCGTCGACGCTGTTCTTGGCGATCAACATCTTGGACCGGTACTGCTCCAAGCGTGTGGTGTACAAGCGGCACTATCAGTTGGTTGGTTGTGCGGCCATGCTCATCGCCGCCAAGTACAATGACAAGAAGGATCGGGTCCCCACTGTCAAGGAGCTGAAGTCGATGTGCTGCTCTCTCTACGATGACGATATGTTCATCCAGATGGAATGGCATGTGCTGCAGACGCTCGGCTGGACGATTGGACACCCTACCGTGGACGCCTTCCTGCAGATCGCTACTCTGGATGAAGCATACGATCCCGAGGTGGAGCACATGGCACTTTATGTTTTGGAGATTGCCCTGTTCCATCGGGACTTCGTGTCTAAGCCCTCCTGCGATCTCGCTCGGGCTGCGTTGGCACTCTCACGGTGTATCCTCGGCCGGCCGCAGCCGCGCCACACTCACTGGGCTTCGCAGTATGACTCTATGACGTTGGTCGGCCTGTCCCAGCAACTTCATCAGCCGTCGACTGTGGTCGCTCGCAAGTACGCCTCGGCTCACTACTCGCGAGTGTCCAAGATCCTCGAGCACTTCCTTACTCGCCAGGCATCGATGGTCAGTTATTCTCGCTGCACGCCTCCGGTGGAGACCCCTGCCGAGTCCAAGCCCTACACGGGGGAGATGGGTCTGGCGACTCCCCAGAAGTCCCAGCAGTTGACTGCCATCCCGCACGGGTACCTCACTCCGCCCATCACGCCAGAGAACGCGGCCTTTGTCCATGCTCATACGGGCAATCCGGACGTGGCCCGAGGAGTGCCCGTCCCGAGCGCCTGCTCACCAACACCATCGCCGTCATCTGAGATGCAGTACATGAGCACCGATGCCTATCAGCAGCAGGATACCATGTACATGTCTCAAGCACAGCACCCATATCAGCACCAGCAGCCGCTACAGCAGTACGCTCCCCATCCACAAATGGGAGTCCCCGCGACCTATGTGGGTGCCATGTAAAAAAGGAAAGACGACTACCCGAAAAGTGATTTTGCGTCCTGCACATATTCCTTCGGTCCGCCTTTTCTTTCTCTGTCTAATAGAGCATCTGCCTGCGCTCCCTGGGTCTGCCGTGCTAATTCACCTAATCATCTCACGACGCCCTCGCCTCTCTGCTGTCACATTGAGCCATCGTCGCTCCTCGAACTCGACCTCAGTCTCACTATCATTCAACTATTGCATTCGGCTCCGGTCCGCTGGATCGGAGTCGACATCAGCCATTTTTTTTCATTCACTGTTCCAAAATTGCATACCCCCGTTTCCTTTTCTTGTCTGTTTCTGTCCATCTTCTGGATCATCAAGTTGCATTTGATCTTTTATTATTTTGTTCTAGCATTGCAAGCGCGAGCCATGTTGATTCATTGTTTCAAGATTGCATCTGCCACTTACCTTCCCCTCTACCCTGACCATACTTCACTTCGTGTCAAGGAGCTTTTCCCACCTCCTTGGCCTTCTTGTCTCCAGCTGCGCGCCCGTCGGCGCCGCGCCTTTGCATCACCAGCATCCTTTCTTTACCTCATACGATCTTTCGCAGCAAATTGCCTGCCTCCAGACTCCCCCACCCCCCATTTTCGACCGCCTCAGATAAAGGAAAAAAGTCTTTAATGTGTCTGACCTCGTCTTCTCTGGTGAGACAGAGATAGACGCACCCACACCAAAGGTGTTCTTCCAATAAAAGAAGAGGTCACAAAAAAAGCAAAAAACGCGACAAAACCCCGGAAAAAAGACTTCGCTGTCTCTCATCCCCTGGGGAGAAGGGAAAAAAGAATACCCCAACCTTCTTCCCATTTTGTTCTTCCTCTTGCAATCAATCCCCCCAATTTCCCCCCGAGTGGCCCTATGTGTATCTAGCCAATGGGCAACTTCGTGTGTGCTTTCTTACTTGTTGTCTCTTTTTGTATGGACTCTATCGTCTAGTGTGGAGAATCAATTGTGCCAAATGGCCCATGAATGATATTCCAGCTGTGGGAATTCTTCGTCTCTGTAGTCTGGTTCATACGGGTCCGTTGTTGACAGTTTTCTTTTTAAAGCCGTCTCGACCATGGAACGACACCGATAATTCAATGGAGTTTTGTGGTTGGCTGGATGGCCCTCGTTGTGGAGAATAAGTGGATCCCAGCAGATCCGCCTTGATTACGCATTTTGTATTTCTCTCCTTGCTCGCTGCTTGAGGGTACTCGCGTAGCTAGCTGTAGTGGAGAGGCACAATATCCTATTGTGTTGTAGTAGGCGTATACTTGAGCTATGGGTTTGCGTTAAGTCCGAGATAGCATCTCTGGGACTGTCACTGGAGAAATATATATAACCGCGGAGTCCGTTCAAGTTACATCCAACTTTAAAGCTGGAAAGCTAGTATCTGTTCGTTTGGAAATGTGACGCTCCAGTGAATATAAAATACAGTCTTTGTTTTTATTCCCCCACTCCACGCAGCGCAGTGCTACGCATCCGAACAAATGGGAGTGTAAATTACAGAAACGCAAGAGTATCCAGTGTAGTTGAGTTAATAGTGGAGAATGTACACTTTCCCCATCTAGGCGGACAGAGAAATGGAAGAGGTCTGAGTGGTGAGGGTATTGAGATGAGAGCAAGGAGACGATGGGAGACAGTAGCCGGCCAGCCCACCCGATGGGGTCAATGGAAATGGAAGCGAGAGGAAGACAAACATGCAAAATATAGGAAACAAATAACACCAGGACCCAGAACTCCGCCGATGAATATGTAATGGTATGGTACAGGGAGGGAATAGTACAGCTCTCGTGTTGAGTGGCAGGGGAGAAGTAAGCGCGAAATCCGGGGAGAGAAAGCAGGAATCCCCCATGGAAGAAGACCCAGGCAGAGACGGGTTGGCAGTGGCAACAATCAGCGCAGCGGAACGGAAGCCATCATTGCTTGACCAAGCCCGATTGGATCGAAAAGAGAGAGACCCCCTTGGGCGTCGCCCGAAATAGAATAATCCCGGGCCCTTGCCCCTTTTTCTGATCTGGATCGGATTGGATCCCTGCCGCGTACCTGACAAGCTCGGGCCCGGTCAAATGGCAATCTCGCTATGTTGTCGATCATCGCCTCACTTTTTCGGGGGTCTTTTCTGGGACTTTCTTTCTCGGGAGACGAAAAAAGCTGCCCCCCCGGGGATGATTATTTCCAGCGCTGTTTGTCCCAATCTGATGGCCGGGTCTCATCATAGATCTGGCCGCCCTTGTTGTGTACGATGACCGGTGGCTGGCGGCGGCGGCGGCTGGTGTTGGATTTCGCGGCTGGCACTGTGGGTAGCGGCGTCGTTAGCTTGCTGCCAAATCCTGGACTGCCGCGGTGGTAGGCAGGGTAGGCAGGGGTTGTGTGTCCTTTACACTGCACAATGATCGACGTACCGGGAACTTCGGTGACGATGACCTGGTCGTTGCTGTCGGTGCTATCACCGCTGCCTTTGCTGGCTAAGGAGGAATTTGAATCGTTGGTGACCTTGTGTGGCATGATTGAAGGTGGATGTGGATGTAGGTTCGAGATCAAGTATAGAGGGGATGTATATCGAGAACGAAGTCAGGGATTTGGCCGCAGCGTTGAACTGCGGCAGAGACAGAGAAATAAGATAAAGTAGTCAGGATGAGTATGAGCTGAGTTGAGCTGAGAATGAGGAACTATGTATGCTTCAATTGAAACTTCCCCCTTGTTGTCCGGGGGGCGACAAAGCGGTCTTTGTACTCCGTATACGTGCTACAGCCCATTCCGCATTAGGTGAGCGTAATGGATTCCCCGATCTCTCAAGTGACACCGAGAACTTGCCCCCCCTCCCCCGAAGGCCCCCAGGGCCGGCCACGTAAATGGGCGTCTCAGGAGCTGGCTGGGCTGGGTCGCTAGGGGAGCTCAACCTAAGCTGGGGGCACGGCTAACGCGGAATGGATCGCCCCCCTGACGTAGCGAGCTCTCTTTCCCCGGGGGATGGGGTACATAACTTATTCAGGGCAGCAAATCATCGTGGAGTCAGGGACACGCTATTTTTGTGAACCAATGCTCGGGTGGAGCCAATAATGATGACTCAGCCTAGAGGAATGATTGCGTTCACTACTGTAGTGTCACTAGTTCAAGGCAGGGATGGAGCTAATATTGTCAAAAGTAGTCGGTGCGGATCCCCCGTGGTTAGGGTTGTCTGTCCAACAAACACGGGATGTGGAAGCACAGTCGAGTTGGACAGCTCACTGCCGGTGGCCCACAGTGGTCCAGACTGTGAAGCTAGACCGAGTGTATCGCAGCCAGGCTGGAACAAATGACGATGATCTTCAATCATACAGTATGCTCTCCTGACGATCTGTCTCCCGCCAACACATGCGGAGAGATCGGATACGAATCCAGTAGTGATTCGATTGCCCCCAAGGTCCAGATTCCTGGTGTGAGGCGGGTCGGAGCGAGATTTCTCCAAGAGTAGCACAGCGTCATTCAGCTTACCCTTCCTTTCCCTTCCCGTTTCATCCGATCATCCCAACCATTATTCATACTCCGTCGAATCCCCAACGTCCACCGGCCCGACGCCCCGGGGGCTTGCTGGCGCACCACTGACATCGTAGTCGTGTGGAACGTTGATGCAGACTGGAAGCCGCTGGTCGAGCTTTCTTGTGTCTTCTCGCTGGCAGGTAGATTCTCTTCATTGCGTTCCCGCTGTGATAGCATCCTGGCCGGTTTGATTGTAGAATTGGTTGGGGATGCAAGAAAGGTGTAGCCGTTGGGCTCAGTGGGTTCAAGCGTCGGCCGTGATGGCTGGAGCGGCCGGGATTGAGGTCGATGAGATGAAAGGGAGGACGGAACAGCTGGACGCACGATATGAGCAAGCGCCGGTTCGTTTCGTCGAATTTCTTGAGGTCGTGGGCGAGCAGGCGCTGGGGTAGGTTCTTTCTTCTGGGAAGATCCCGACCCGCCGAAAAAGTTTGAGATACTTGCTTGGGCGAGGCCATCTTTGCGGCCGGCACTGGTGCCAGCTTTTGGCTTACTGGATGATGCCGCTTCTGATGAAGTACGCTTCAATCCGGAGGCCGCGGGTGCCTCTGCATTAGCAGCGGAGTTTGTGGCGATGTAATCACGAGCAGACTGGAATCCAGTTGGAAGCGCCGTAGGAACTGTGAAGTTTGAGGAATTGTTCATGGTATACCCGGTTGAAGAGACGTAGGTCGTTGATGTCGAAACTTGGTGGGTGTTGGGACGCTGTCGCTTAGGGTACGGCTCGCCCCCATTATGGACATCCAGGCTGCCGTCCCATTTAGTGACAGCATCCTTTAGCTCTTCACCATCTGGTGTCCATTGGTCGTCCAATGTTGAAGGAAGCGAACTCAGTGCCTTGAACATGGCCTCAGGAGCCGGGCGAGCTCGCCGCAGAATATCGGCGATGCCGTAGACCACCTTTTCCTGCAAGCGAGGCCCCGTCGCGCGAAAGTGTGTCTTGGTCACCTTGCCGCCCAAAAAAGGCGTTAGGCTTGTGGTCGCGTCCTCGCCTTCACCGAATCGAGGTTGTCGAAGAGGAAGGCTCAGGTACAACAAAGCTTGAGCCCTAGTCATTGCCACATATAGCAGACGTCTCTCTTCATCCACCACTTCAGCTCGCGAGTGAGGAATACTTCCATCATATACTGCCGGAACAAAGACGACAGGCCACTCTAGGCCTTTCGCTGCGTGAATGGTGGAAATGGTGACTTTTTCTTGGGTCTGTTCACCTTCTTCATCCTTGTCTTTGGTCATCTCGGTGGCCAAAGCGACATTCGCAAGGAACCGGGAAAGCGCCTCTTCTCCGGAGTGGGCCACTTGTTGCTCAACGCCCTCGATCTCTGGCAGGTCTTCCTCCTTATCACCGTCTTGGATGTTTGCAGCAACTTCACTGGCCTGACTCATCAATTCCTTGACGTTCGCCCAACGAGTGTCCTCGTCGAGGGGATATTCTTGGGTGAGCCATTCCTGAAATGAGAGGCGCTCAGTGATGAACTCAAGAAGCACCTGCGGAGCAGATACATCGTTACAATCCTGTAACTTCTCTCTGGCGGCCTCAATCAATTTGACGAGAGCGCAGAGCCCACGCTCCGTTGTACTCTGTAACTTCTTCCCAGTCGACCGACGTCCCTGAATCACATCCTTGATAAAAGTCCACAATGGGATATTGGCCTTCTCCGCACCGCTGGTCAGCTGTTTCACGGTTTCCTCGCCAATCCTGCGCGACGGAGTATTGATAATACCCAGCAAGGCATCAGTATGCTCGGTGTGGCTCACCACGCGCAGATAATTTAATAGAGTCTTGACCTCAGCTCGATCAAAGAACTTGCGCCCCCCAACCATTTGGTACGGGATGCCTGCTCTTCCAAATGCGGTCTCAATCCGCGTCGACAGCGCCGCGGTACGGAGCAGAACGGCGAAATCGGACATTCGCAACAGGCCACCGGTCATAGCTACACACCGTTTGATCTCGAGTACTAACCACTGGGCCTCCGCGTTAGCTGTCGGTAATTTTCTCAACACCGGTAACGTTCCATAGCAATGAGTCGCCTGCAACTTTTTTGCTGGCCGAGACGTATCCTGCTCAATGACCTCCTGGGCTGAATTCAAAATCGACGCCGACGAGCGATAATTATCTTCCAAGAGAACCACGGATGTGTTCGCATATCGCCGTTGCATTCGATTGAGGTTTTGAATTTCTGCCGATCGAAAGCCATAGATGCTTTGATCTGGATCACCGACAATGGTGATCCGCCGGTTCTTCGACGCAAAGAGATTCATCAAGTCGTATTGAATAACATTTGTGTCCTGGAATTCATCCACCAAAACAGCCTGAACGTTCGACACGCACTGCGGATGCTGTCTGAGAAGGTCACCGCACCGCAGAAGTAAGTCATCATAATCCAAGAGATTGGACGTGGCCAGCGCAGATTCGTATGCACGGTATATATCCACCAATTCATGCTCCTCCGCCTTGGCTTGAGCGGCCGCTTCATCGGGGCTCAACCCATGAGCTTTGTAGCGAGAGATCCGTCCTTGTGCCGCTCTGGTCTCCATGCTGGAATTGAGTCGTTTGAGGATCCTCTGAGGTCTGAATTAGCAGCAGAAAACAAAGACAGACGAATTAGTCCCCACTTTAATGATGCCTCTCGTGTCGTCTGAATCTGCAATCCCAAAACCTTTCTTGAGACCGATCAAGTAGCCGTACTTGACCAGGTATCGCCGACAGATAGAATGGAAGGTACCCAGAATCAGTCGGGACTCCAATCGCTCTCCGATCAGTTTGGCCAACCGTTCGCGCATCTCACGGCTCGCCTTGATGGTGAAAGTGCAGCAGATGACATCTTGGGGCTGGTAGCCCTCGTGCGCGAGCAGGTACGCGACGCGCGCCGTCAAGGTCTTGGTCTTTCCTGATCCAGGTGGGGCGAGCACCTGCAGGATGGGTGCAGAGGATGTGACAGCGGAGCGCTGGGCCGAATTGAGGCCATTGAGGATGGAGTCCATGGTATGTTGGGGGAAATGCTCGTGTTGGTGCTGCTGCCGGGACGCGACAACACGCGGGATCATGTGACAGGGCAACTATACAAGCTACGAAAACAAAACTTAAGAGACGCGAGTGTTAATATGTACTAGTATGTGTATGTACTTTGTATATAGATAAATAATACAAATCAACCGAACAAACAGAGACAACAACCGCCCCGCGGACCGAGCAAGCGACTCCCTTTCCAAGCACATGGGGATATCAGAACCGAGAAACAAGGGAAGAATCCTGAATATTACGCCATCAAATAACAGATTGCGACAAAGTGGTATGTGAGATCGCGGAATTATTACTTCCACTTCTTCTCCTTACCTGGCAGATCAAACAAAAGTCCCCAAAGGTAGACTCATGGCCACTTCATAGTTGGGCACATTGACTGCCTCGGTAATCAGCAAGTCCCCAGCAACGCTGGCAAGGATATACGCCTCGCTGCGAGTGAGTCCCCGAGTTTCGACAAGCCATTGGATGAAATTCCGCGTGGCGTTTTTCGTGGCCTCGAGCAGATCCGAGGCAACTCCCAGGACGCCGTATGTCCCCAGGTCGGGAAGGGGATTGGGAATCTGTGCCAGCGGAGGAGTCTGATAGTGAGGTGTAGTGACCCATGACCGGCCCTTACAGAGCTCGAAGCGGAGGGTCGCGCGGATGGGAGTTTCAATGGCAGTCCCGCAGACCTCGCCGTGGCCCTGGGCCGCGTGTCCGTCGCCGCAGCTGAAAAGTGCACCGGCCGTCTGGACGGGCAGGTAGACGACAGAGCCAACGCTCAGTTCCCGACAGTCCATATTCCCGCCGTGGTTTGTGGGCGGAACGGTGGAGAGTTCATCATTGTTGGCCGGCGCCAGGCCCATGCACCCGAGGAACGGCCGTAGCGGGATGCGCATATTTTTAAACCCGGCATATCCCTTCTCCCGATCGAGCGACCAGATTTTGAGTTCCGGCTCAGGGAATTCGTCCGCCAGCAGGCCGAACCCAGGAATGATAGCGGACCAGCCCCAGTCGGCCACTTCCAGGTTCAGGATCTCTACCTTGAGGACATCACCCGGCTCTGCATCTTGCACATAAACTGGCCCGAAGACGGGATTGGCCAGGCCGAGATCGAGGGACTTGATCGCCGAGGAGTCGGAGGTGACTGACAGTTGACCGTTGCTGCTGTCAACGGCGTCGAAGGTGACGGTCTCTCCGGACGAGACGGTCAGCTTGGGAGCAATGTTCTTCGACCATTTCAGGTGGCTGCACTCTCTTCCCACATGGAAGTTGCTCCACCCTGGTGCGTGTCCCATGTCAGTCGAAGTGGCGACCAAAATTTTTTTCTTCCGTTAGACGGACATAAGTTGAAAAAGGGTCGCGGCGACAGACGAAGGAGAAGAGGGTTAAAGAAGAAGAGGAGGGCCGGCAAGCGACCTCTTTAGCAATTGACCGTTGTGGAAGGTGGTTAGCCACGGCCGAGTCTTACTCATCGGCTTGGTGAAGGGATCCATTACGTTTGATCGCCTGCCTAAACGGGTATGAGTGCGTGTTGCCCGATTCCTGATTTCCCGTGCTTGGAACCTCTCGTTTACGGGCGATAGATCCGGCGTTAAACAAGAGGATATGGTTGGTTCAGCCACTCCGACCCCGGACCGAATTTTATCATTATCGTATCGATTAACCAGTTGCCTAGTTAGTTACTGCCAAGCGGGGGCTGACTAAGATCCCTCTTTTTTGTGTGTTTACAACCGAAAACCATTTATAGTTCTGATGTGGCTGTTCTACTTTGCCGTTGAGAGGGTTGCCTGGGAATACGAGGTGTGCTTAGCTTGACGAGAAATCTAACGTTAGGCGGCAAAGACCAACATGTCAGGCCGGGCGCAGTTGAACGACCTTCTTCTTCGGGTAAGGGTGGTTCTACCCGACGATGACTCGCATGATTCGGCCTTGCCCCCTTTTCACTCTAGCCGGTTCGCGGGATATCCGATCCCCTCGCACATGCAACCTGAACTCACCATCGCTTCTAGCATTGATGAATTCATCTCTGTAGGGATACTATTTTTGTCGCGAGCCTCGTGAACCGACTCCGCTTCTCTGCACTATTGCTCGATCGCCCCACGAGTTCAAGATTAGTATTTTTACCTGCCTGCAGCACCGTTGATTTTAACTTCTGAACTACTGTGAACCTTGTCAAATGGCTGGTGTTTTTCTCCAGTGGGAGCCAATTCTGCACAAATGATGGAAGTTTGCCTGGAAAAAATCCATCGACGGTTCCTTCGGAATCCTTGTGGGTTGTTTCAGTTCTCCGAGCAAATCCGAAGAGCTCTCCATGTGGGGTGTCGTATCAGGACAGCGCATATTTACCTGCAGGTAGTAAATAGTAGTAGGTTCCGTCACTATGGATGGCCTACTGCGGCTTGACTTCGGTCATGGTTGACTATTTGGGATAAACTTGCATATCTTTCCCGCATGAGCAGAACGCAAACTGTGAAGTCCTGGACACCGCTGATTCTTTTAATCTGTATTCTTCTCCGTACCCCGAACTAAACTGCAGCACACAGAATCCTTTGTGGACACGCGGATTGCGTGATCATAGTCATACAGATGGACAAGGACCTTGGAGCTGTGCGGGAATTGCAGCCACAAGATTGCAGACACTCCCCATCACAGGGCTCATCTAGTAAACAAGGAGGACGAAGATGCCATATCCATCACAGTTGTGTGTTCTCTGGACCCTGCTGAGTCGTCGTCTACTCACATATCAGTTATGAATGTGCGCCGCCGAATTAATACAGATAAATACCTTCGAACATGGATGACACAAAACCGGACCCCCACACTGGATTCCACAATATCCCCACAACCCTCGAGCGCCGAATTAGGCTTCGATCATGGTGTAGTTCAAGATCGCCTGAAGAATAGATCGGTTAATCTAAGTCACTATTCACTGGCCGAGTCTATATGCTTGATCTAGCCGATCGTTACTATGTAGGTGGATGCTACTGTACCCTCAAGGCAGGAGTGTGGTCCAGTCGTTTCAAGTTATGCTAGTGTTATGCGTTCTCTCTCCAGAAGCTATAGGGGCCATTGAGCAACATTGTATGGACATGAATCATTTTTCTTGCCACATGGGGGATCGTCCTTCAGCTCTGGGTCTGAAACGAAAACCGCCCGTTGGTCTACATCATCCGTGATGAAGAGGCAGAAGAACGGCCCCATGTCGCATCATCACACCGTGTTAGCATAACACAGCTCTTTTGCTCTTGTGCTCGCTGTTTCCTAGACCTCCTTCTACACTTTCCATGCACTCGTATTGATGGTCGCATTTCTCGCGACCTCAATCCATCATGATCACCTTCTCTACATTACTACTATCATTCATCTGCAGCGCTGCTGCACAAACCCACGATGGTGACCTAATGTCATTTGTCACCGTGAGCAAGCCTTAATCTCCTCATATCTCCACTGCTAAGACCACCTAGCTCCCCGAAATCAGGGCCGAGAAATGGGATATCAAATGGCATGACCGCGCTCGCGTGAGCCCCGGATACTGGTTTGTTGCGCCAATTGCGGATGGCGCACCCCAATCTTTTGAAACAAAAAGATTCCGTCAGTACCAGATTGGACCGTATATATATGATCAAGACGGGGTATGTTGCCTTTGTGAAAAGCGGGACAATTAACTGACAATCGTGATGCCATAGATTCTCATCTGGGCCGGCTCATACCTGTTCGGAAACCGCAATATATTCGATTTCAAACCCCTTCACAACACCGGCGAGGACCCACGCCTCTCCTTTATTGAGCAACGAGATATGAGTGGCAGTACCCGTGGACAGGGGATTATCCTGAGCCAGAACTACACGGTTGAAAAGGCCGTAGAGGCTCTGGAAGGTCTCAAAGAGTTCAACGTTCGTGAATTTAACGTGCTCCCCGGAGGCCACTTTGCGCTGGCCTGCGTAGACAAGGACGAACGAATTCCTCTTCATGAACTTGGTCGCCCTGACGAAGACTCATATCTCATTACGGGCGGGTTTTACGAGGTTGATACGGAGACCGGCCATATTGCCTTTAAGTGGAGGTCAGATGGACCTCAAAATGTCAACCTTCTAGAGTCCATTAAGCTCGACGCGGATTCTCCCGCCGCAGGCAGACCAGGATACGACTACGTACATATTAACTCGGTTGACAAGAACGAGGACGGAAACTACTTGATCTCCTTGCGATATACCAATACCATCTATCTGATCTCCGGCGAGGATGGCTCTATCATGTGGCGATTCGGCGGATCTAGGAGCGACTTCGTCGTTGACTTTAAATTCTCCAAGCAGCATGACGCCAGATTTGTCAAATCGAACGGAACGCATCATACAATTACCCTTTTGAACAACGCAGCTGATGAGTACGAGAAGGAAGAGAAGGTATCATCCGCTTTACTCGTGCAACTGGATACCACAGTTAGCCCCATGAAAGCCACTCTCCTTCGTCGGCTAGAGCGGCCCGACGGAGGACTTTCCCGCCTTCGAGGGAACGTACAGTATCTCGACAATGACAATATCTTTGTCGGATGGGGTGATGACGGTTATCACACTGAATTCGCACCTAACGGCGACAAACTGGTCGAGGCTCGATTTGCTTCTTCCCGCTTCAGTACGTACCGGGCCTACAAATCCACGTTCGTCGGACGACCAACCGAACCACCTGATGTGGTGGCCACCGTGATAGGGACCAATTCAGACAGTCTAATAACCACTATTTATGTTAGCTGGAACGGTGCAACAGAAGTCGATTCTTGGAACTTCTACGCACAGGGATGGAATAAGCAAGATCCAATCTTGATTGGGAACGTCAAGAAAGTCAATTTCGAAACCCTATTTATCGCAGCCGGCTACATGGACTGGATCTCTGCCGAAGCACTCGACCGCGACGGCAACGTCTTAGGCACGTCCGATGTCCAACGCACAGGAAAGCCTCCGCAATGGGCAAAGGCAGGCTTCCGGGAATCAAGTGAGCCTACTGCCGAGGACCCAGCTCTTCGCTACTCAAAGGGCGGTGCAGGGAGAGAGCACCACAATCGCCCAGAAATGGCTAATGATCTGCTCAGAATCGTTGAGGTTATCAAAGGAATCGGGGGCTTCTTCATTTTCGTGCTGGCTATGGTCGCCGTAGGCGCATCGAGCGCGGGGATTTATTGGGCTGTGAAAAAGGGGCGAGAGAGGAAGTCCTACAAGCATGTTCCTGCGGATAATGAGGATAAGGAAGAGATGTTTGAGGGCCCGGAATTTGAGCCGTATCACTCTGAGGAGTATCGGTCGCGAGACTCGCGAGAGTAACTGTACTAGTTACAGCCAGAGCATCATTGTACGTAGTGACGTATTTTCCATATTGCATAGCCGTTTTGCTTCACTCACTTCTACGCTTTGCAGCCAATTGAAAAAAAAAAAAAAAAGCTCTAATTCAATTACTGTAGATCGAGTTGATGGGCCAGAAGGATGCGGGAGTTTTGTGGAGTTGCTCTATGGCCACTGGGATGGCCCCAAGTGCGGCCCCAGAGAAGCGCATTCTATAATTGGAGACACTATATTGGTTCCAGATCTTGAATGCAATCCATGACCTGTGCCAACCAACTAACCGTTTTATTGACGCTAGAGATATGCAACGAGTGAACCGACTCGCACTTGACCCGGAAAATCACGACTTTTGTCCATCCAGCATCGCAACGATACAAGAAGCATTGTCACTTGTGGGGCGGCTGGCAGCAGTGGATGCGATCTCCTGCGCGACATCGCTAGCCCTCATCCCTCGCATCGATAGCTTCATCACATGTTGAATCAAACTGGCGTCATCCGTATGGTCACTCACGCCGTCGGAGACGATGACCAGCAAGTACCGACGGTCTGACTGCAGTGTGTGATTAGACGTGTACGGTTCGTTTGATATAAAGTCTCCTCTTGCTTCGGACGGAGTAGATGATGAGGATGCTCGTCGAGTGTGTTGAGTCGAGCTGTCCTCGTCGAGGGTGTTGACCGGGTTCTTATACTGCAGGTCGCCGATAGCTCGAGACATGTTCAAAGAGCCTATTTATGAGATCATCAATACTGATCTTTCTTAGACAATAGCACCAAAACACTCACCAAGGCGAGCACTTCCGCTGCGTGTATTGACCTTGCCGCCTGCTTTCTCGATGCGGACCTGTTCGCTAGGCACATCTGGCTTGTGAGCCATGGTTAGGCGGCGCTAGTGCAACTGTTAATACTGACGGCCATGCAGAGGGAACTGCACGGTGCACACCATATGGTACGGACGGTCTGTTTTAGGATCCCGCTCCGCCAGGATCACGCACGAATCGCCGAGGTTGGAGACGATCAAGTCGCCCTTTGTTAGATTCACGAAACACAAGGCGACTGTAGATCCAGACATTGCTGGCTCGGATGTCTCATGCTTGAAAGTCTCGAGCAGTTCCCCGTCCATGTCTGACAAGGCTCCTCGAATGGCTGCGACATAGTTTCCCTGATCAAACTCAGGGCGCTTGGCTAGAAGGTGGTGTAGGTTGCGACTAGCATGTTCTGAAACCAATCCAGAGCCACTGCAAGCAATCTATTATCAATATGCCCGTCATAAAGTCCTAGGATTCTTACTGTCCGTCGTAGATAGCAAAAAAGGCAAGCTTATCATCTGTCTTGGCAGGGAATTGGTCCGGCAGGATGAATGTGCAACGGTCTTCCTGGAATTGCCGACTTCCTTGCGACTGTAGAGGTGTTAAGTACAGACTTCCAATTGAGACTCTGTCTTACCTGACCTGCTCCTGCGTCGAAGAGCAGGACGGCGTCCGACGTGGACATGAGTGTGTTGCGCAACATTTGATCCCTGAGAGCTCTGTTGCCACGACCATGTTCAAGACACTGGTTTCTACAGACATAGCAGTTTTCCATCCTTATAGTGATGCGGTCTTGACATCATGGCCGTCATCTGGCACTCATGGTACATTTGTATAGACAGAGAGTTAGGGCTCAGATAGTGTGCACGGGCCAAAGAGTCTCCCTTCATCCCTCATTTTCTTCTCTTTCACTCTCCTTCCTCTTCCGCTCCAACGTCGTTCGCTCAAGCTCAGTCCGGAATGGGCTGGGTCGGTGTGGCCAGTCTAATCGCAACCGCGGGCTATTTCGCCTACCGCTATCCTCCACGCTGGTGGACCGGTTTTTCTGTCCCTCCGGAACCCACCTCCGACGTGCCGCCACTTTCTCCGACTGCGGACGAGCACTCGCAGGCAAAGCATGGCGTAAGCGACTCAAACGCCCCATTGATAGAGATCGAGGAGGACGAGTCTCAGACCACGCCTAAGGCGTCTGCGTCCACCCCATCGGGGCTTACGGTGCCAACATTCAGTCTCGACGAAGACACGACCGGAAGCGCCCCGTCCGCAGACGCGCCAACACCTCCCGTGCAGCGCAATATGGCCAGAAAGACACCGTCAATGGATCATGGAGGCACAACGTCGCCATCATCTCTCATGACCGCTCCATCGGCACAACGCACGCCCGCCCCGGCCTCATCCCTAATGCCTCCCCCTCCCGCTCCCCGACCCCGGCCTACACCCAACGTCACCTCCGGCCAACTCCAGCCCCCTCGTCCAAACAACATGTCCAGCTCCCTGCGCCCACCACCTTCCGCTGCATCCTCCCTACGTGTCCCTGCCAGCGGCGGCGGTGGCAGCCGCCTCAGCAGTAGCACTCTCGCCCCGCAGAACCTGAAGAAACCCTCCAATGGAGCGCGCAGCAAAGTCATCCTCGAACCGGGTTACTCGCCGCTAGACTGGGCCGCCCTCGCCGCGAACCCGAACAACCAGCTTCGCGGTGCAGGAATGCCTCCGGGCTTGCTGCGGGTGACGCCGTCGATGCTGAAGACGCAGAACGGGCGCAAGGGCCGCGATGCCTGGACTTCGTATCAGGGCAAGGTCTACAATATCTCGCCTTATCTGCCCTATCACCCCGGTGGGAAAGGCGAGCTCCTGCGCGGCGCGGGGAAGGACTCGGCGCAGCTGTTCCAGGAGATTCACCCGTGGGTTAACTGGGATGGGATGCTGGGGGAGTGTCTGGTGGGCATTTTAGTCTCGGAGAATGATGCATCCGAGGAGAACAACCTTGACGCTATGGATTGATGGGGTCATTGTATATTAGAGTGGCTTTGTTTTGTACTAGATGAGATACCCCTGTGGATATGTGTAAATAGAGCAGACCCGAATTGAATATAAACCACAGATCCTCCATTCACAACTCCCGCTAACGCAACGCCCACAACGTATGGGTCTTGCTGCAACAGCTAGGATTATTACCCGATCAGAGTACTACGGGCGACGTGCGCTTTTACAACCTGGGATGATCCCGATCGAGTGTATATCGGGGGCCGGTTAAGCACTCCCTCCATGCATTATCTTGAAAGGCAAGGTTTTTAAACAAGGCGGCGTCTCGAGGCACGCGGTGCCTTTGGGTATAAACCATAAATCTCCAAAATAAAACCGACTACAGTTCATCCTTATCGACACCGTCAATGCTCATCAACTCCGTCTCAAACACCAGCGTCGCACCGCCGGGAATCGGCCCCACGCCGCGGTCGCCGTAGCCGAACTCGGGCGGGATGGTCAGCGTGCGCTTCTCGCCGATGCACATGTCAAGGAGACCTTGGTCCCAGCTGCAAAAGCCGCTCGTTAGCGATGCACATCAGTGATAAGGAAAGAAAAGAGGGGCAGAAGCTCTCACCCCTTAATCACCCGCCCCGTGCCCAACTTAAAGGTCAACGGTGTGTTTCGCTTGTAGCTCGCGTCGAACTCAGATCCATCGGACTGTAGCGTGCCGCGGTAGTGCATGGAGATGGTGTCGCCGTTGGCGGTCTTGCGGGAGCAGTCGACCTTGTGGGTAGTTTCGATGCCGAGGTCGGCGGCGGTGGCGAGGGAGGCCACGGCCAGGATGAGGAGGGAGCGGAGTTGCATCTTGTGTTGTGTTTGGGTTTGGATTGGGTTATTGGGGTTGAATTGAGGATTGGGAATGGTGGGGTGAGAAGAGACGAGGAAAGGAAGAATGACAGAATGGAGGGAAGTGCGGAGAAGCTTGGATTGGGACTGACCAATAATGATAGATGCCCTAAATAGCAACCAGGTACGCAAAATGGTAGAGGGTGCAAACCGACGTAAGAAGACCACGGGGCAATTCGAATTCGATGGAAATGTGCTCCAGATAAAAGGACACATTTTGGCCATTGTCATTGCTGCTTCGTCTTGATGTAACATTGCTTGGAGACTTTCTCTCGCTGAAAAAGCTGGCCCGGTGGTAAAAAACGTCGACCTAGGCGAGAATACGAAAGAGAGCAAGAAGCTTGTTGTCTCCGCGACTAGCTCTCACCGGGTATTTCAGCAGGCAGAGGGAAACCTCTTTCTAACGTTCTTGCTCTACGAGGGGAGAACGGGACTGAGCCGATTCAAGCAGAGAGCCTGCCACAGGAACGGAGCAGACTGCACTTTCCTTATAATCTTATGTTGACACCCATCTCCTGAGCAACTAATACAATCATGGAAGGTACGAGGCCCGATAGAAGGTTAAGTGACATTTCCTCTTTTCCCTTTTCCCTTTTCCTTTCGTCAACAAGCACCAGTGTGAGTTCCCCTCCCCCCCTCTTCTTTTTATGGCTGGCTAACACTATACAGAAAAATGGTTCCAGAAGCTTTGACTTACTTTGCGGAGGTGTTCGGAGTGGTTGTTGGAGTGGTTGGGTTGGGGGACGCTGGCCGGAGGTTGCGGCGGAGGTTTAGGAGGTGGAGGCGTGAGAGGCGAGGAGATGGTGGTGCTGCTGTGGAGGGGGTGGGATCGAGCTGCAGGAGTTGGAGGAGTTGGAGATGGGCCCGCGGGCTGACGAGTGGGGGTTGGATGTGATCGGGCGGTTGGCCGTGGATGGGTAGAGGGAGGCGTTTTCAGTATACTATCCTTATTTATCCTTACTTATTCTTATTAGATAGCACCGACGACGAGCTCACCCTTCTCCGCAGGGTCGGTGACTAGTAACCTCCGGGTGAAACCAAGATGAGCTCAGGTGTATATAATGCAAGCGTCTACTGACTGAGCCTTGATCATTTCCTCAGTATTTATGTTATGAGATCCCCCCAAAACATACTCGTGGAGTAGGAGAACGATTCGAGGATACCAATGGTAGGGAAGTCGATCGCAAGACTGCCACTCAACCTGTACACCTCGCTTGGGTGCTTCGATGAGATGGGACACATTGGCATGATATGGATTGAAGCTTGGGTATGTATTGATAATGCACAAGACCTTTAAGCATATAAGTTCATGTTCACGTGTCGCGACATAGAAAACAGATACTCCAACGGGCGAGATTACCAAGCTTTACTAGAATGCGCAAGGCGATGTTGTTGGCTACACACATTACTATAAAAAACGGATGATCGTCCATTTATTTTGACTGAAGTCATAGGATCCGAGGTGGGAATCATTCAAGCGTGAACTAATAAGCTATCCAATGCTGACCTAGCATTTTATGCTTTGCTGTCATGTTGAATGAAAAAAGCAAAGCACCAAATACTACTTAGGACTTTTGCGACAGTTGCGAATCCAGCTTTTGCTCGGCCATTCACGCTTACCCAGATTGCGGTTCAAGGTAATCTCCAGTGGTCCTTCGTCATTCACATCCCAACTAAACCATTGACAGGGCTTCCAATCCATTTCTCCGCCGAAGAAATTCCAGGCTTCAAGGAAAAATTGGTTAACCCACTTTCCAGTGTTTTCACGCACACAAATATCATGCCGTGTGTCCCAGAACTTTTCCAGCTGCGAAGGGGTCGCCTTTGTGAAATCGAATAGTAAATGAGTACGCACGCGTAAGCTCTGATCTTGGCAGCCGAATGAGACCGAGACGTTGGTTTGAACCTGTGCGAAGGGATGTCCGTTGAAGGTACAAGTGTGTAGTAACATCTCAATGCATTCGCAGCTGCGATTTGTCAGGTGTTGAACACTATCCTTAGAATTGAGGCGCTCATGATGGCATAGAGAGATCAATTGTAGCTTGTGGTGTATATTCAGAAGGCTGCAAGGACACAAATCAAATTCACCAGCGTACGGCAAATAGCACTTCCGACTACCAAGTGTGTGGCAGCCATAAGAGCACAGTTTATGGTCCAGTCTCCAGAAAGGTTGTATATTCCGAACAGAGCGTGGATGAAGGCTCCAGCATTGAGTGCAAAATTTCCAACGGGAATTTTGGAGTCGACGAAGTAGGTATATTCTGATCCATGGGATACGTTTCACGCCTAAGAACATCCGCTGGGGTGTCACAGGCATAGTCCTTCCAAGTAGCCTAAGAATTTCGAGGTAATAGGCAAGCGTGAATTTACAACTCAGCGCCAAGCAAATCGCATCTGAGGTCGAAATGATAGTAATCAGTTTGAAAACTATTATGGGAGGCATCTGCCATGCGCGTCTCGGTGGAAAGTTGCTTAGAATAAATCGAGGATCCATTTTGAATACCGTCAGAGATGTGAAGAGGCAAAAGATGTAAGAAGAAAAAAATTCCTTAGTCCTAGCTAATGATTCCACTCAATCCTGACGTTGATCTTCATCATCGACTGAATTTTGGGCTTACGTAGAGGAGCAATCCAAGATTATGTATGCCATGGATTAGTCTTCGGTATCTGTCCGCCATGGACCATCCAGGGGTTTGGATCTATTGATTCAGGGTCCGACTGGGTGATATTTCATTCAAAATGCACCTTCTATTTCAAAATATCGAGCAACTTCAATCAGACCTGAGCCTCCAACTCCGACCCAAAGATCGACAAACCCCTCCTCTCTAGCTCGTGCAATGTCTTTACTATCCCAAGCTTCTTCTAAGTCTCTCTCGAGGTAGATTGTCTGAAACCCACACTTTTTGGCGGCTTGCAAGTCCTCAAGATGGGCTGCCACGAGACAACATTGCGAATTTCTGAAACCGAATCTGCGAGCAGCACCATGATAGACCTCTGGGGACGGCTTGTAAGCACCGAAATGCTCTGCGCTGGTGATGTGCTTGAAAGGCAAAGAATTGTGTTGTTGTAGGTCGCCGAGGAGTTTTACATTACCATTGGATAATGTAGACGTCAAAAATTTAGTGTTTAGCAACGAAAGGCCAGGCGCACTGTCAGAGTATGAGTCAAGCCGATGCCAAGCGAGCGTCAAATTTTGGAGATCGTCCTCGTTAAATAATTCCCGGAGGAGCCATTTGATGAGAATATTTTCCAGAGAAGTGCGGTTGTACTCATCTACTGAGACAAAGGGCTTAGATGCATCGTAAGTGTTTCCGAAGTTCATATATGAGCGATGCCACTCCTCAGCAATCTCCTGCCAGCTCGAGGTGGACATATCAGAGACACGTGTTCGCACATCGGCACTCAGATATCGAACTTCATCTCGCAGAGCCCTTCGTGCCGCGGCATTCAGTTCGTTCGCGATGCAACATCTCCATTCCACAATTGTCCCCAAGACATCGAAAAATATCATTGAAGGAAATCCATCCCGTGACATCTTTGTCGATCCTTCTTTGGGAGATACCAAAGAATGAAGGCTTTTGCATAAACTGTAGACTATATCTGAAAGTATAGCAAACTCCTCGTCAGTAAGTGATAGAAACACGCAAGAGATCTTCAAAGAAAAATCAGACGGCTTTACCGTCAGGGACTGGTGTGAACGTTGACATGATACTATCTCAATGAGATTAGGCTTTCTTAAATGTCGACACCACTGAACATCTACTCGTTCCATCAACCTCGGGATTTTATTGCTTAGGGTTGCATGTGATGGGCAACTGAAAATCTCAACAAGGCTCTTGGGTATCACGGTTTCAGAATACTAGGTAAGGCGCAGAAACTAGTCAAATAAATCGGATCAGGTAGTTTGGCCTCGGCCCCGCCCCCGCCCATGGGCCGCCCGGATGGACAAGGCCGTGGACGGCGTGCCATCGGAGGATGACTCTTATGGAGGAACACGAGGATGCAGCCCTAACCGGGCTCTTAGCGGGAGGGGCGTCGGTCTACTTACTAGTCGACCCAACAAGGTTAAGCTCAGTCGGCCGTTTCGGGTAGAACTGGTGAGCATTTCCACATAGCTGTCAATCAAGCTCGCATGCCAGAAGTAAAGACTCCATTGGGCTGGTGGATGTGGAGAGTTGAATGCGGTCTAACCAATTTCTCGATCGGTGGATCAGATAACAGCACGTGGCGTAGGGCGACGGAAGGTTAGATTCGACCATGAAAATCAATTGACGTACAAGCTGGCATGCCCGATGGGCATAGAAAATGAATTGGTGACTGGATGTGGACAATTAATGATCTTATTATGGCATAATCATAACTCCTGGCGTAGTTCAAGACTTGGTAAGTGTGGTCGATCCTACTATAGTTCTCTCTCTCTAACCACCTTATACCCATGTTCAGCGATTCGCCTACCAGCCGTGAAATAGCAGTGTTTGTTGATGGAACCACCCAGAGATAGCTGCCTATTTCACCAATGCCATCAAAAAGCCATCATAGCTCTTTGCTCCAACTGTCTGAAGAACGACAGCTTCCACCCTATCATCCCGTCCGACTCTAGCCACCAAGTCACTCGCATCTTCCTTTCTCGCTTCGTTGCCAACGACGCCACTTTCTAACATCTCCCTCACAACATTATCGACATAGACCACACTCCCCTTACCCCTAGCCAACTTGATCCCATAGTCAAAATAGTTCCACTGATTATCCCAATCAGCATCAATAAAGACAAAGTCAAACGGCTGCCTCTTCCCCTCCTGAACCTCAGCAACCAACATCGGCAGCACATCCAGACCCGCACCAAGAATCGACTCAACCTCCTCGGGAACCTTCACTCCGGCAAATCGCAGATTGTCCACCGCAACTTGCCGGCACTGCTCGTCAATCTCAATGCTTGTGACTTTGCCTTTTCCGTGAACGGCTTCAGCAAGCCAGATACTGGAATACCCGCCCAAAGTGCCGACTTCGAGGATATTCCGCGCCCCGCCTAGTTTCGCAAGCATAGATATGAATTGGCCTTGTACGGGAGAGACGGCGATCATCGGCAGTCCGTGCTTAGTGCTGTTGTCATAGGCGTGTGTATGGCTGGGCTTTATGGGGATGAGATTGGATTCCACATAGGATTCAACTTCGCCTCTAAGCTCGATGTTCGTGAGAGACATATTTTTTGAGGGACGAAGAGAAATGCGAAGAGCAGTGAATTGTTTGTAGCAAAAAAGAGGGGTCCAATCTTTGCGATCAGCTCAATTTAAAGTGCGGTGCTAGCAAGCGGTCTACCTGATGTGCCTGCCAACAGCTCGGATTTAGCCCTCGGCGATACATTCTCGTTATGTATCTGAAATCCGGATCGGCCTGCTTTACAGATAGTGAAAAAGGGCTTTAGATGGAAGTAACTTTAGGCAGCGTCGTTTGATCAAAGCTAATTGGCTGCTTCAAGGTTTCAGGCTGATCAGACCACCCCGGCTTACTTGACTAGTTCTTCCTCGCCTCGGACGAAGCCTCGGGCTCGGGCTTGGTGTTGAGATGTTATCGATCTTTCGGGGTGCCATCCCTGTTATCCTCGGATCGCACTGGTCCTCTGTCAATGCTGGCGAACTCACAGTAGTACCAGAGACCTCCTGGTGAGAAGTGTTGTTTTGAATGCGATTGATCGGTGGATCAGATAACAGCCCATCGGCGTAGGGCTACAGGGTTTGGCTTTAAGACTGTAAGTCAATTGACGCGTAAGGCTCTAGATACATGAAACTAAAAACTACCGAATTAACGCCGGACATAATATGTGCAGATGCTGCAAGATGGCAGCCAGCTTGCCCCCTGGGTATCGCAAAATGCATGTCAAGTGACCATCAGGAAGGAGGAGGGGGTGACAACAACAAAACAGTATACGACATCATGAAACCGTAACGCCTTTTCTTCTTTGACATCAGAAGTTTAAGCCCACTTGCCCAGCAAGGCCATCAAGGCAGCTCCGAGACACAGCAGGATAAAGGCAGCCAGCACGGTGCGGAAGGGGGCCTTGCGCATGGAGTTGCTGAACATGAACTCGTGCGCCATCAGCTCCACCAGCGCCGTGTAGATCAGGATCCCCGCGGAGATCGAGTCGAAGACACCGTTGACGAGCAACGTCGTGCGGCCAGTTGGCGGGTAGGTCTTGCGAACGCCCAGCCCAATGGAGATGGCGAGTGGGGTTGATATCCCATAGGCGAAGCCTAGCCAGTAGGGTGTCGAGCGTTTGGATTTCGGCCACGGGAGAGTGGCCAAGCGGGAGCCGAGACCCAGGCCCTCGAAGGTCTGGTGGAAGACGAGCACGATGTACAGGGTTGTGAACTCCGAGCCGGAAACGGCCAAGGTGAGCCCGATGAACACCGAGTGGAAGATGATGCCGAACTCCAGAATGAAGATGGAGGTCATCTGAGCCGCATAGTCCTCGATTGATCGGATACCTTTCTCCTCGTCGTCGGCATCGTGATGCTCGCGCGAGTGGCCCAGGTGGTCTTCACCCGGCATGTGGGCGGCCTTGGACTCCTCCGCTGGGTCAAGGTGGGTGTGTCCATCGTCAGTGTGAGAGTGGTCGTGACCTTCTTCGTCGTGCGAATGGCCCTGGCCGAAATGAGAGAAGCGCATGACCATCAACTCGACGAAGAAGAGGACAATAATGGTCATCAGGACAATGCCTTCCACCCAGCTGTATGATGTGATCGGGCCAGTCAAACAGGGGTTGGTCAGTGCCTCCTCGGCCGGAGCCAGGAGATGGATGAAAGCTGTTGCAATGATGACGCCGGAGCCAAAGTACTTGGCAATGAAAAAGGTCCACGAGGGGATCCCCAGACGTCCACCAAGACGCTTGGCGATGACAGGGAAGAGGGCGCCAAACATCGACCCGACCATAATGACGAAGATGGAGGAGATGCGCAGGCCGATGCGGCCGTCGAACTCATTGCCGCTGTCGCATTCATCTCGTTTAACGAGGCTCAAATCCATGGCGGGGCGAACACAAATGGTCGTCACTTAGAATGTCGTACAGATGGAGAAGCAAAGACTCCCCACGGAAGGTGGAACCCCGAACAAGCGCACGGACAGATCTGAGGAGGATTGATATGGAGGGAGACGCAAGAAAGAAAGATCCGAGTAGGTAGAAAACGAGGGGTTCCTCGACTGACGTGGACCAGCGTGTGCGTGTGCGACCACTTTATACTGGGCCAGTGATTTGTGCGTGTGTGCTGTCGGTACTGTCCGAGTCTCCCAAGGTCCTCGATTTGCGTGCAGCGGCCAATGGCCTGTGCAGGATTCAACCGGGTTGGCCTGTCAAGATGGGAACCCACGGGGCTTACGGCCTGATTATGGCGCCAATCACCTCGAACCGAATCAGTGTTGACCACCTCGTGCTTGGAGATGCCTATCTGTTCCGGCCGACCATGGAGTGAAGTGCAGCGTTACTCGCACGAAGAACTGGCGAGTCTCGGCTGTCACGGTTTGCACCAGATTAGGGACCGGGCACAAAAATGATGGTGGGCAGAGGTCAAGCAGCAATTGAGGAAGCAGACACCAAGACCATGCTGGAAATCAGAATCTGATCGTGAAGTGGAAATGGAGCGGGAAAGTGGGCTGGTGTTCTGGGGACCTTGGGAGCACACGTCCGTCATCCACTCGGAGATTTCAACCGCCGGTACTGGTACTTAGTATGTCATAGAAAATACTATGAGGTGAAAAGTACCAAGTACATCCAGTGGGTTGAGTACCTTGGGGGTGAGCCGGACCGCTTTAGTGCCAGTCGCTTTCCGCGATCGGGTTGGTGTGGTCACGTGGAAAGACACCGGATGGGATAGACAATTCATATTGAATAAGAATCTATCATCGAAAAGGTATCAATCGTTTTGGGTCAAAGAGTCACAGAAGAAGAGGAAGAAGACGAAGATGAAGAGAGAAGACAAGTCCAGACAAGGGTGAGAATCAAGCTCCTGTGCGCATCACACCAATCACTGCGCTGCTGAGGTCATCACACCTCATTCCACCAGCTCCCATTATTCTCCCCTTCTTCCCCAACAACACCATGGCACCCATCCGGCGGTACCTCCGAATCAGCAAATACTCCGTTCTGGAGTGCCGCATCTATCTGGACAACCCCTCCGACTCGCGATGGCTACTCGACTCACGCGGCCCTGTGCTTGCGCGCGTCTTCGCCGCCATCCGCCCGCTGGTGCTGCCCAAGCTGCGTGAAGAAAACGAGAGACTCTTCGCGCGCAAGAAAGGCAAGCCGGTCAAAGATGTGATTGCAGAAGGTATATGGTCTAAGGGAATAATCCGAGCCTCACTCTAACTGTTGCAGATGAGTTCGAGGTGGCTATCTTCTTACGCGAGTCCCGGACGCGTCACTCGCTTCTCACGCGCAACAAGACGTTTCATGAACCATCGGGCCAGCAGAAACCTTCCACCGACTCGGCTGGTTCCGCAGGTGCTGGAATCCTTCTCGAAAGCGACAGTGAGCCTGACGTGGACCTGCACCATATCCCGCAAGCAATACGAGACGACGATCGATCAGACGAGGGGCAGGCACAAATTGAAGACACAGCCGGGGACGATGAGAAGAAGCTCCGTTTCAGGACCCATTACGAAAGCTTTAATATCTGCGGCTGGGTGCTATGTCTGTTGGTGACGCGCAAGGAGGACAAGACCAGAGCTCCTACCGGGCAGCCGTTGATGGAGGATTGGATTTCAACGCAAGCCCAGGTGTCTGTCGATGAGGATTGAAGCTTCGACGGCTGCCGGGACGTTCTCTCATAGATCTTTGCTGGTCAGCACTCCCTTTCGGCAACCTGAAAGGGAGGTTGACGACAGATGCTGCGAAAAGAATCTGCAACATTGCAGATTCGCCTAGCAACGTGCATCGTTTGGCACATTCTCGGCAATCAAATGGAGTCGCCGACTTGCCGTTGTTTCAAATCTGCCCGTCCCGCGTGAAAATGGACAAGCTTCTACAAAACAGCAGCCACGGCGGCGCCATGCGGGACCGGGGCGGTCTTTGCGACACATGACGAAATTGCATTGTTGCATGGGTCAGCTCCCTACCCTTGCCCGTTCTGTTGGCGCTACACCCGACACATGTCGCAGCCTACCCCAGTCGCTCTCGGCTCGGTCGTCGACATGCATATGTCATTATTAACTACTCTACAGGGCTGACCTCTAGGCGCACAGGAGGCTGCCCACCCGATCGGACCGCCGCAGCTGCGCCGTTGGACGCCATTATCATTGGTGTCTCCTGTACGACAGTGACGCAAATTAGTAGACATCCCCAGCCGGTTCGCGACGCACCCTGGCCTCGCTCGCACCCGTGAGAATATCTGTGTCTCATTGTGTCTCACATGCATAAAAGAATTTCGGTCGTAATTTCCAATCCGCCCACAGTATGGAGTCCATAAATAAATCCAAAATTCTTATTTTGTCTCCATGTGGCTGTGACCACACCTCGGTTCATCGAGAAGTGGAGCCACGATGAAACAGCCGTTCATCCTAACCTCTTCCCGTGATACCCGGCTCCCAACGATTATTAGTCTTCGTAGGCAGCGGGATTTTGACTTCCCTAAACACTGTCGGACTACTAAGTGGCTGCTGGACGGTGTATGTCCGCTGCCCGATCGAGCATGCCGATCCACATTCCACCACGTGTGGTGCCTTGGGCGGCCCTGAATCCTGAATCCTGAAATCCTCTACTTTCTTTTTTTTCTCCGAGCGTGAAGCATCCCCCCCAATCACAGAGACTTCCTTTCCCGCGCCTCCACTGGGTTCAATTTCCAACGGTGCGGAACGGCGACGGGAGATGTCGTAGTGGGGCACCGAGATTTCTCTTTTTTAGGATTTGTCGGGTACCTACTCCGTATTGAAGTTTACGATTTCCGCTAGGATCAGGTAATTCTTGGTGCTGCCATGTGGTTATTTTGGGGGATTTTTTTTTTTTTTTTTTTTTTTTTTTGAAAACTTACTTTCGGCCCCATATTTACTGAACCATTGGATGCGAGAAGGTGCCGCTTGAGCCGCGAAGGGATTGGGTTGGGCCAGGGGTCCAAGATTTCCCCGGGGAGACACAGCACATGGAGACAAGGAGGCGATCTCCAAATTGGAGATAAATTATGATTGTCGTGTCTTGCCTACATTCGAATTGCGATCAGACAAGCACGCAATTGACGCCACCTTCGTAGCGTCCGCGCGGTATAGTTAGATCTGCTATGTACTCCCTATTACGGAACTGACTATCGGACAATGATGCGCACGATCGTCCGGAATACAGTATCAGGGGTGCATATGTAGCCACTCTGTACAACATCTACTGCCTGTAGTACCGACAATAATCTATGAGGAGCCTGACGGCGTTCCCACCTCTGCCACGGCGGGCGACCAACGGCGCTGTGTTCCGGTTGCACCTAATCCTAATAATCAGCACTACTATTTCAGGCAGTGCAGTGCACAGCATGACCTGACCTGTCATCCTATCTCGCTCAGCCCTCCAGCTGACATGACAGAATACGAGTACAGTAAGAGTGCTCGGCGCACGGCCGAGATTTGGGGGATTTACGTGTTACTTCTCTGGATCTGCAAACCCGCACGTGTCCTCGACATCCCTGCTCGCGTTGAGTCACCAACTTAGGGCGTGCCAGCCCACCGGAGCCCTATCAGGGTGTGGTAAGCTCACTCTTGTCAGTGGACAGCCTCCGCTACGCCGGCACACCGCATCGAGGGAAACCAAAATGGAGCCTGGTGGTGGGGCCACGGGAGATTGCTTTGACTATTTCATTGACAGACCAGCACAGCGCGGGTGAGACAGAAGAAAAAAATAAAAATAAAAATAAAAAAACCTTAGGACCGGGTAGGCGGACATCGGACTTCCGCAAGTTTAACCTAACCATCCCTTAGCGGGAGACATTTATTTGCTTGACTATGGTGTACAACTAACTAGTCAAGAGTATAGCCCCTTTTTGGGCCACAATTGGAATCGGAAATATCCACTAGTGGTTCACCACACCACCCCGGCGCCACACCAGGACCGTTCGGGTGGGGAGCTTCTAGAAAAGAAGGGGGTTTTTTCCATTGGATTGCCGCTTACAGTTGTTACGGACCGGATACACCGTAAGTCAATCGCAATTATTCCTCCGTCTACGTCAGATCAAGTGGAGCCCCTCAGCCTCCTATTCATTGCAGGGATGATTATTCGTTAGTTAGGGAGGGCTAATTTACTTTAGACTTGTAATACTGGATGACGGCCCGGAGGAATGGGTGGGCTTGGATTAGTTAGGGAGATCGGACTATAAAACGAGTTCTTCCCTCCCTGTCGCCCATCTTACTGCTTTTCCCTTAATCTACTTGCCTTCACCAAGCAAAGCACAGCAAAATCTCGCTATCTGCATCTCTCATACCACAACACAATCTACCACACACTATGCCTTCCGTCGGCTCATCCTCTCAGTTCCCTCCCTGCCCGGGCCCGCCGCCCAAGGGCCCTCTCCCTCCGCTGCCGAAATAAACCGGTCCCTATCCCACGAACACGATGACTCCGGCACGCCCAATACAGTGCGCCTGACGAGCCAGGGCCCTCTCGCCTCGGCAAGGCTATGACAACTTTTTTTTTCATTTCCGATCTGGTTTCGGCTCCGACGATTCTTTGTTCTTGTTTTAATCGACCGGGCTTTTTTGAGACCTGACTAATACGCCCTGTCACCCTCCCTCTCGATCCCGGTTCACGTCAATAATCCTTGGATCCAACCCGTATCACGATATGGAGACAACACGAGCGCGATCCATACCCACACACCATACTCAGGTATGGCCAGACGTGCTCAAGTGTCTGCGCGGGTGAGGGGAAGGGAGGGGAAGGGGGCAAAGACACTCGTTTCGAATCCGGCCCTGCATAATACTCGGTTTCTTGTCTTGGCTTTTTTGGCTTCATTTCTCATTCGCTTTCCCATGGGAACGGAACTCCCCGGCGCCGGCGCTACGAATGGGTACACCGAATCTTGCATTAATAGTCACCTTTTTTGTTTATCTCATTTTGTTTCAGAACAGCGCTGGATGCAGGGATCTCGATCGCAAAGATCGCCTGTTAGCGCTTTGTCTTCCGATGCGGAGACGGTGAACAGACGCTTTCACCTCCGCCCCCATGGACTGACTGGCTGAACCTAAGCCCCCGTGGGTCTTACGTCTGATCGTCAGTGACTCGTACGTCCTGCGCTGTCTTCCTGTCGTCTTGCGCCGATCGGAGGCTCGTCCCGCGATGTCTGTCCGATCGCCCTGCATTCAGGGATGCAAACGGGACGGATCTTTTTCCTCTCATTCTTTTGTGTCATTTTTCTTTCCTTTTCATTTCGTTTTCCTGCATCGGGCCGAATCTGAATCACCGGCATGTATCATAGACTTAATATACCCAACACAGCAACACGTTGTCTTTTTTTCTCTCGAATTCGATCTCCCTCATAATTAGCTCATGTGAAACATTGCCAACCCGCCGAACGGTTTCATCCGATTTTCATCTGGCCCTCCTTTCATCCCCGTTCCCGTCCTACTTAATTCTCCGTAATACCTACTGCAGCAGGGATAGCGGGGGATGTCGCGCCGACGGGCCCGCCGCAGACTGGAGCTAGGACCGCGACTATTGATGCCATGCAGCAACGTGCAGTGCAGTCCGGAGTTATTCCCTGGTCCACATCTACGGTTCAGGAGAAGCCGGTATTTTCTTCAATAATATTAATCGTCATGAATCACTCAATCCTCGGGTGGCGCTCCGATCTAACACGGTCCTTTCTTATCGCCGTCCCCGCTTTGCATGATTCATGCGTGTCTTCTGAGGCATCATCTGTGCGCTGACGATTATCTGGTGTTTACTAAACATAACTACTGCACGATAGATTGCGAATGCAGGACTATCTATTATTCCATCATTGGACAGACGGCACCAACGGCTAAAACGGAATTATTGTATAGTTCCCACTCTAGGTGGCCACGTCCCTCCGTCCGAGCGTGGCAGCCTCGGCGCGACTTGCCCTATCTCGTGCGTGTCCAGGTAGCTGGGTCTCGCACGAATATCCACTCGTTTTCCTTGTTGTCGCGATCTTCAGCTCTCATGAAAAAGCGCCTGTGCCCACGTCCTTGCTGGCCGTTGGCCGCTCATTTCCACTGCCGTCATCATTTCTGGGTCTCAGCTCGACCATTGGACGGATCTTCAACGGTGCGAACTACCCACCCAGTCCCCGCTTTTTGGTATTTTCCCTGGCAGGCCATGGCATTATTGAACTCCAGGGTGTATATTTTTGGGTCACTACTGTGTATTTGGCTATCCCTTCTTCGGCGCTGTCAAGTGACACGCTGGTGCAGCCGGTAAGTTCCCGCTAACTATACATACTTCCTGGCTTTCACTTTTCCTTTTTTCAGCCGCGAGCCCAGGCCTCTGGCTGCCTCTCACCCTGGTTATTTTGACTTTGAGGAGAAGCTCTCAGACCCTCGCTCTCTCTCTTACTCTTACTCTTACTACTACTCCGACAGATCTGGCCCTCGACGGTTTTCACGTCTTACCCCTCAGAACTACCTTGGAAGAGAAAAAAGGGGGCGGCGGGCGCGGCGTGAAGTATAGCCTGCAGGGGTTGTCGTAGGTCCGCGTGGGGGCGTGAGCTGAGTTGATTTCTAGCCACGTGTTTTGTCTTGGGTGAGATTGTGCCAATCTATATCCCTGCCTCTTATCTCTTGTCGTGTCAAGGGTATTGGATAATGCGTTGGCGGGTTTGATGGGGATAGGTGAGCCGAGCCAGCGGCTGGTTATGTATGATGAAGGGACAGAAAGTACATACTGTTGGCTCATAGGGCTGTAAGATAGGCGTGGAGATAGCCAAGTGGGTGCAGGTCTCCGTCAGCGCGCGTAGTTGCATATGAGACTTAGGCTCGCCATGGCCCGATGATAAGAGGACGTTGGCAACGGGCGAGTCGGCCAAAGCAATCATAGGTCCTAAGGCTAGGACGGCCGCAGCGGCAAAGGTCTGTTTTTGGTAATAGGGTAAGTATGCTTACTCTCAATAAAGATATTGGATGGTGTTTATTGCCTGTGAGAAGTGTATCGTGGTTGGAAATCAGGTTTCTCATGTGATGGTATCGGAGAACTTCACTTGAGTTTGTTTAGCTCTCAATCGGGTCGCTGGATTTAAGTACGCTCATAAGAACACACACGAAGACCATTAGGGTCGAACTATGTAGCTCTTCTTCTTTGCCTAATGAACAAATTGTTCCGCCGCGCTGTGAAATGCAGGGATCAGTCAGTGGCGGACCGCCTTCCTAATCGCAGCAACCAGACAAGGTACGTATTGAAAGACTGGGAAAGGCAGAATCAAAGAGTTGTTGAAGAGGCTGGGATTCTGTTGGGGGGTAGCACGCCATTTATACACTTTAATGCACCTTCTGTGACTTTAAACTAAGCCTGAGGCAGGAGCTATTACCAACCTTGAACGCCTTTTTTTTTCTCTCTACCAAGAAATATATGGACATGCACAAACGAAGGGTCTTCGAATATCTATCCAAGATACGTGGTTTATTTTCCAGCCTGACTAGATATAACAGACTCAATGAAGAATAGATACCCTTCTTGGATGAAGTTTCAAAGCACGGAAGTTGGCTCAATCGCTGAATTTATTTAAAATAGCTGGCACGGGAAGTTAAGTCTTCCGTTAGCCTGTACATTGGCAAGGCATCGTTTCTATCTAATCAACCAAATCATACCGGTGGGCCTGAAAGCCGAGCTCCACTTGGAGCGACGTACATTGAACTCTTCATGGCCCAAGGCCTCACAGACAGACCTGTAACAGTGAGACTCCCTCCTGGGAGTTGTCAAGGTCTAATCACAGGTCGCCTATGGACTTTGGTAGCTTTCAAGACAATCTGAAAAGGGAAAGGATGCAGAGATGGTTGAGAATGGAAAGAGAGCAGCCGTCCAACGAGAAACACCTCATCTACAGAGCTCGCATGACTGAAAAACGAGAATCCTCAACGCAGTGAATCAGAGTTCTCAGCCAACAGCTATCTCGCTAGCTGAATAAACATGAAGCCACTGGAAAAGAATTTGGCACTTCACGGGTAAAAATGCTAGGGCCAATTACCATAAACCTGAGGCAGGAATTATTTATTTGCTAAGCCTTTTTCATTAGACGTGGACAAATGCTTTAGCAAAATGGTATTTTTTACCAAGCAATCGTGCATACAAAGCATTGTACTTTGTTGGAACTGCGGGATAGGGCTTTCCTCAAAGGCTCAAACTAACAACACATTTTCCCCATTGCCCTGAAGAAAATTCAGGCAAATAAACAAGCAAGACAAAAAAAGATGAAAAGAAGAGATCGCAACTCCGCAAGGACCGAAGAAAGAAGTGAGGGGCCATGATGTATGTCGTGCGCAAGCGTAAGACCGACAAGATATTGCCAGTCAGCTCTTCTGACTCTGGATGGATCAAAGCCAGAGGTCTGTAAGGAGAAGCATTTCGGCCAGCTAGTTCAAATAATGTACCAGCCACCACCGACCTCCTCGAGCGGAATGCCCGTGGCTTCGGCATAAAGACGCCGGAGATGCTCAAGGTCCCACAAGGCACGCTCAAGAACCTCAATCAGACGACTCGCCATAACGTTGAACTCCTCCTCATCCCAGTTCCAATAATCAACGTTGTTGAACGGGGACTGGTAGAGGGCGCCCTCAACACGACGTGCTACAGCGACGATTTCATCGGCCGGCAAGTGGATCAAATTGTCATCATCGTCATCGTTGATCGGAGACTGGTAGAGAGCGGGATCATAGGGAGGAGGGGCATGGCTTCTCAGATCAGGGTCAGAAGCCAAGCGGTGGATGGCATCTATGAGAGATACGGAAATCCCCTCCGAATGGCGACGCTGTGGAACGGGATTCCCAGGCGCACGATTCAGTAGACTGACCGGCGTGAAGCCCAGATCGGCCGGTGTGAAGTCGCTGAACCGAAAGTAACATTAGCATGATGAGCTCCTGAGATGGGAAGACGACCAGATAAACTTGCCTAGACTGCATCTGCTGAGAGTTGTGATTCACATCACCGACTGGGTCTTCCAGGGTAACGAACAGCTGCTCGTCTGCCAAAGAACTCATGTTGGAAGAACCCATGTTCGAGATCGGTGAGAGAGGATGAGCGCTTATGGAAGCGAGACTTGATGACGGTCTGAACTGTTTGTGTTTGCTTGTGAAAGACGGAGACGCGTGGTGAAGAATATGACGAAATGAACGAAGGCGAGGGAGAAAACGAGAGTATTTGCGCGTTCTATCTACAAACGAAAGACAGAAACCTCGACGAACACCCACATCTGATATTGACGTTGATATCCAGCAACCTGGTCAATGGCCAAACAACACAGTTTCGGCCCGAAACAAAGACGGTCTATTAAATTCAGAATCCATGCGTCTATCGTAGTTCTTGATAAAAATTTAATGGGAAATTAAGGCAAAAGAGCTGTAAAGTTCGGCAATAAATACTTTGATAAGTAGACGCAGCTATACCGGCTTGTCCTGTTTGGCCACCAATTACTTAATTTGATATTTTGGACTCAGATATATAGAATCGATTCAAACGTGTTGCAAACAAGAAGTATATTACCTGTGAGTATCTCCAAAGAGCTATGAACATTATCAGTGACTGGTCGAACCACCGATGTATACAAAAGCACGTGACGCGATTCGTCCGTGATAATCAACTTCCGCCCTGCGCTCTGCTCTTCTCCCCAAATCCACCATGCTGCAACTCCATGTGTGGGGGCCGGCCTTTTCACTGCCCTCAATTGATGCCCAATGCTTGGCCACTATTGCATACTGCGCTCTGACGCTACCCGCGGGCTCATGGGAGCTCGTCGCCAGCAGCGATCCCTCGGTATCCCCGACCAGTGAGTCTGACGCGACAAAGCCCACTTGGCTAAACACTGATCTCCAATTCAACAGATGAGCTCCCATCTCTCCGGAACGGACCTGTATGGGTGAGCCGTTTCCGGAATATCGTCGACTACCTCCGCCAATACTCCGACGGTGGATGGAACCTGGACGCCGAGCTGGGCGGACAGGAACTTGCTGATAGCGTTGCGTATGCATATTCCTTTCACATCCTCAGGGAACTCCCTAATCTAACTGTTTGATGTTGTTGTTAGCTTCACCTCCTTTATCGAATCGCGCGGCGAATCCCTCGTCGACCTATCCCTGTACGTCACCAGCCAGAACTACTACAACAACACATCACCCGCCTACGGGTCCCTCCTCCAATGGCCGAACCAATGGATCCTCCCACCAAAGCTACACAGCGCCGCCAAGGCCCGCACCGCACACCTGGGCCTCTCGTCGTTAGACCTAAAGGCGATGGAAGACGCGCGACAGCGCGAGCACTCCGCTGCCGTAGCGGCAGGGCAGATCCCCAAGAACCTCATCCAGCGGCCGCGGGAGACAGTCTCGGGTCTGCTGGGCCGTACGGCGCAGCAGAACCAGTTCAGGCTTGAGGCGCTAACGGCTGAGTTCTTTGAGCCGCTCGAGGCTATGCTGGGTCGCAAGACGTATCTGCTCGCTGCAGATGAGGAGGGCAACCCGACTAGTCTGGACTGCATTGCGCTGGGATATCTCTCCCTGGCACTCGTGCCGGAACTCTCGTTTCCCTGGCTGCGGGATGCGATGCGCGCCAAGGCGCCGCATTTGACGGCGTACACGGAGCGGATGCGTCGGCAGTGCTTCGGTGATGCCACCACGAGCATCGAGAACGCCTTTGCGCCTTCAACATCTGCATCCCCACTTCCGTGGCGATCGCCTGAGCGCATCTCCGCCGCGGCCGTGGGAACAACCCTCCTCAACACTCTGGCTGATTCCACGCCGTTCCTGCGCGAGGTGCGCCAGCACAACCGCCTGAAGCGCGTGGCCGAGTCGCCCGATGCTGGATTTTCTGAACGGGAGAGCAAGGCCATTTCGCAGCATGCCGAGGCTAGCAAGATGGACATGTATGTGTCCATTGCTACGGTGGTGGGCGGTGTTGCTGCTCTGGTGGGCTATATGTTTCACACTGGATTGTTTACTTGGGCGCCAGAAGAGGCGGAGGAGGAAGAGGAGGAAATTGCTGGTACAGAAGGGTTGTCGTTCCAGGCTGGTGATTTCTTAGGGATATAGAATAGGAAGCGTTGATATAGATGTTGGCTTTGGAGTTCTTCTGAAATTGTACGATAACTTTGTTGCATCAGCCTGAGTATTTCTTCCAATTCATTTATTCCCAGTCCTCTTCGTGGGTTTGATTGAGCATAGTACAAATGTAGCAGCATTGAAGGAGATTAGGAATTGTTCACTACGGTGATATGATATATGGCCACGGCTACATGTCACAGCAGACCTCTACACAGAAGAAACACATCGGAACTGGTAACCAATCACAATCAAATGGTATATGTACATGAAAAAGTTGAACGGCAAATCATGACTTAGATCGATATGTATGCCCACCTCAAATAGCCGCAGGGTATCCGCAGAAGAGCTGCCGGAAGATGGCGAAAAAAGCGATGTGGGCAGGTCTCGCTCCTCAGAAGAGACGGATTCTCCCGGCTGGGAGAGAGGGATACAAGCGACCTGCGCGCGCACACCTTAGAAGAGTAAAGAAAACACACTCAAGACACCTCCGGCTGAGAGAAGAATTTGCGCACGAATAGAGAAGAACGGGGAAAAAAGAGCTTAGAAGAAGTCGAGGTTGACGACCAGGCGGATGGCGTTCGCCTTGATGGTGCCGCCCAAGCCGTCAACATATCGCTCGCTGTAGGTGTAGGCGTTGACGACGCTGGCGAGCTCGTTGGCGATGGAAGAGCACAGCGTGCCCTCGTGGGTGCAGATCTGCATACCCTGGACGAACATGTTGGCGGCCTGGGCCTGGATGGCCGAGACATCCCAGCCGGACTGGCCGTCGTTGCCCTCGTTGCTCATGTCAAACTCACCCCAGGTGCAGGCATAGCCACCGAACTCATCAGTCGGGAGATCTTCGCCCTGAGCGGCGCCCCAGGCACCCTGCGAGTTGCTGTCGATGGCCACGTACTTGACCTCATTGGGCTCCATGGTGAACTTGAGCGCCTTGTTGCCGTACCAGCCGTCCATCTTGCCGTTGGGGCCAATCTTGTTCCAAAAGATGACGGTCCAGGGATCGGTGTTGCTGCCCTCGAAGCGGAGGACGTGCTGGTACTGGTTGGCGGTCTCCTCGGTGACCAGGATGATGTTGCTGCCCCAGGGATTACCGACGTTGCCCTGGTATTCGATGCTGCCGGAAGATCCCTGGGCACTGGTCGTGCCTCCGAAGCCAGCGCGCGAGAATTGTCCCGACGGGGGAGCGGCGAACCAGGTGGTGTCGCCATCGCTGGTGGGGGCGGGAGCGTGCAGGGAGATCACGGAGGTGGCGGAGGAGGTAGTGGTGGTGGTATCGGACTCGGTGGTAGTGGTAGCCTCAGTCGGAGCAGGGGCAGGCTCCTGGGTGGTGGTCTGCTTGCCGGACCACTCGTTGATCCACGAGACAAGGACGCCGTCAATCTCGGCCGTGACCCAGTCACCGACGCCGCGCTTGTCGACCTCGACGACTTCTTCGATAACCTTGTCGATGTTGTCGATTTTGGCGGCGGCATGGCGGCGCTCGTGGGCGTGGTGGACACGGGCAGCCACGGCCGAGCCAGCCAGGGCCGACAGGAGAAGAGCGTTGATGTGCATTGTGGGCACAGAATGAGAAGAAAAGAAGAAGAAGAAGAAAAGAGCAAAAGGAGCGACTTTTTGAGCGACTTTTTGAGCGAGCGCTCGATGAGAAAGCGAAAAATGAGTGTGGGTGGGAAGCGGGAGACAAAAGGCAGGCAACTAAGAGAGAAGACAAGAGAAGAAATCAGGGGAGAACGAAAGACACTAGACTGGGGGGGGGGGGCGGGATTATTGTGATCGGTCAGTGGTTCCCTGGGCACGCAAGCGCTAGTCAGGGGCAGGCACTGCCTAGGGGGGATGTGATTGGTACTAGGGGCGGAGGGTGGAGTTTCATCCAGTGGTCGAGGCCTTTGTTTACTTGGTCCTACCTATGGACGATAAATATGTCCTATACACTAATATGATGAAGGACATAGAGGAACACGTAAAGATCTAACTGTCAACCACGTTATCCCATCGGAATGTGAGACGGAATGTGTCGCCTCGATCATCCAATGCGAAGGTGATTTAATTAGGGTTAGCCCCCAGACCAATCGCACCCCTGCAAGGCGACCCCTGGGATTACACATCCCCGTCCAGACCGAGACACCACCGCTGAAAAATGGGGCCTAATCGCTAACTACATCCAGCAAATCTCTTTTGATCTGATTCACCGACTGGACGTCCGGGCGGCGGTTCAGACGTGGTCTGGGCCACAACGATCATGAGTGGCAGCGATGTGTGCTTGGCTTGCCGCCCGGTGGACTCCCTGGCGATGCGCTAGGCCCGCTGCAAGGTACAATCACCAATGCTTAGAGCGACGTTGCTCCACTGCCTGACGAGTCCACGCTCCGGATCGGTGTCTCCGGGGGGATCCATCGTTGTGTGTCTCCATAGCAGATCATTCTAGCCCATGGTCTTTTTCACATGGCCGGTGGTGCCTAACTACTTGATTTTCTTGATCGGCACACAGCCTGCCAGCCTGGTGGACACCAGAAAACCTTTAAACAGGGTTTGAGTGACTTGCATTAGTGAGGGAATAACCAATCTGACGTTGTTGTTTTTTGCCACACATATTATTCAGTTTTCTCAGGCCGTTAGACCCGGACGTTGTTCTGATCCAACCCGCGAGTTCTAGTCCTCTGGCCATTCATAGATTGCCTCGCCAGAAGCCGAAAGATTTCGTCTTTTATTTTCTAAGATTGAACTACCTCACTTTATGGTACACAGTTGACAAAAGAGCTTTGGAATTACTACTATAATATTGGTGATGGTAAGGCGGTAAGGCTGCAAGGCTGCCCCCTCAGATAGCGATCGGCCTGCCGGGGTCAGAGGGTGAGCTAGCCCTCAGCTGGCACTGAGCAAACTGATTGTTCTCCCCGTTGCTCATCCTGTACATCTTTGATCGTAGAACCAATATTCAGTTCTACATTGGGCATATCCCAATATGAGTTCCGTCTTGGTCCCTGTAGTGGCGATGTTAACGTGCTCGAATTCTGACGGCTCTTGGCGGTTTACTCTCGAGCTTGGTTGGCTCACGAGCTCATGAGGCAACGGATGAGACCTAGCTAAGCACGCCGTTTCTCTTGGCTTCTGCGGATTGACTCCGATCTCTACTGGATGTGGTAAGGGAGTCAGCGCACCAGGGAGAGATGGATGTTGTGTAGTGGGTTCAGAGATTAATGTTCGTGTTCTTAGATCTGAAATCCTGCGTTTGGGCCGAAACCTATCTGCAACTCAACCTCTTCAGAAGGATGGTGCTGTACATAACTAAGGAAAAGTGTCCTAGTGTTAACCCTGTGCGTCACAATAATGTAGTTAGCCTACGCCACATTGTGGGACATATGCAGTTAGCTGCAGAGTGAGCACAGCCCACTTCGCTCTTCTTGAACAACGGAGATTTTGCAGCGTTTTAAACGGCGGAAGTTCATCGATTCAGTGCAGTAGTTAAGTTCGTCATGACATTTACAGCACGGATAATAACTGCAATACTTTGCATCTGGGGAAGCTCTTAAAGTCAGTCTGTTCATCAGAGTCGATAGGATGTCTCAATCCGCTCTTACCTGCATTACTATGGGCATATTCAGCTCCTAGGTACCGAAAAATACTCGCCGGCTGGCGCTGGCGCCTGTGTTGATGACTGAAGCACCCTATTGGGGTCAGGCACTTGTAGTCCTACTCACTGTGAAGGCAAGCACATGAATCTAGGCCTAGACCAATATTTTTGTGTATTTATTTACAAAATATGCCCACTGACACAATATAAGTAGGGGAGTTGGCTTGAGTATAGCTGGAACTTGCTTTAGTAAGTTGGTCGGAAGGTGGTTCGATTGGGAGTCATGCTTTGCCCTCGTATCCGAAGAAACGCCTCAGTTTATAAGTCACGTATCAACATCTTGATACGGCAAGCCATATCTTCCGCCGAGTTAGGCCAAGTGACAGTAAGTTCAGAAAAGAGAGCTCTGGGCTCTGGGTCCCCAAGACCAATACCCCATCATTCCATCAATACCAAGCAATCTATGTTCCAGGCGATCAGCTGAATCATTCAGCGAAACTTGTTGCATAAAAACATACCATCTCAGGCTGCTTTGAAAACTTTAGAGCCAAAAGTACCAGAAGGAGTCCTGCGAAGCACATCACAAAGAACCATAAGCAGGCGGTTGAAAATAAATAAGCCAGCGGCAAGCCCTATCGCCCCCATGCTGAACCACGTCCATGGTCGATCTCCAATCCACGTAAATATCTTTTCATCCGCTCGATGCCAAGTGCTACTTTCGAGGTCAATGATGTATGGCGCTAATTCGGTCCCATTAATGACCCCGAGGGTTGGCGAGGGCAACGACGGTTGCTTGAGCAGGTATCCCTTCAGCACCATTGTCAGGAACATGGGACCGGCAGAGATCATGATAGCGCAGTGTGGCTGCCACCGGGCCCAGACTCGCGTGATGGCATTGAACGCAGGTAATTGAGCAATCGCCGCTGTGTAAGCGGGATGGTGTGCAGAGGTAATTAAGAAGTCATTCGTGACACCCGTTGGAAAGGTGGATTTGAAAAGCGCATAGTGTTTTGCTGTATCTGATCCGAGTTTGTGAATGGGCAGAGTTTCGTTGCACCATGTATCCATGTCAAGGTAGATTCCGCCATAGTGATATAAAACAAAATAGCGGATGGAGTCGGCCCGCTGGATAGGGAAAGCGTAGTTGTCCCATGTATCCACGAACCATGGGTAGTGATTGGCAAGGAAATCGCGAGCTGATGCATCAGTCCACAGCTAGCAAAAATAGTTAGTGATATTCAAAGGATGAGGGTTCGTATATCATTATGTGTAGCCGTCGCAAGTTGAAGCCTCTCATAATTGCATATAGATAGATATACCTTGTATTCAAAATCTGAGTAAGCTTGCTTGCAGCTCTCTTGCGACTGGACCCAATGATCTGGAATCGTCTCTGTCGCAGTGGTTTGATGCAAGATGCGTGGTATATGACTCAATCGGGTAGTGCGATTCCGATCATACAAGCTATTAGAGCTAGACAGAGCCACCTGAGGGCTGAAAAGCTCTTTATTTCTGCGCAGAAGAGTGATCAGAGGCTCGAGAGCGTAGAACAGCAGCCCAATAATCACTAGGTTTAACAAGAGGAAGACTGTGGCCCGGCTCGGCCATACGATCAATTGATTCGTGCAGCGCTGTCTCCACCGAGGCCCTGGTTCTGTTTCGAGGCGTTCTTCATCGCGGATCTGTTCGTATTTGGGGTGAAACGCTCGGAAGGTCATGCGGTGGAGATTTATCCAGAATCTCATTTCATCATACCGCATAGAGTTTGTGGTACTATTGCGAGACTAAAGAAGATCGGCAGTAAGGGGGGACGACAGGTATGTGACGAATGCGGGTATCGAGGTGGAGCACGGCAATCAGGGGAGAATGTAGATCAATGTCAAGGGAATAGAACGCAAAAGCATCCTTGGCCGGCCCGAATATTTTATCGTTCACTGAAAAATGAATGGGCATAGTATGGCTAGAATCTGACGCATCATCGCCAACGCAGTGTAACGCCACCTCTGCCATTTGCGGCGGGAAGGTTGCTTCAATCTATTGACGAACCAAGAGAACCAAGCATCACTCGACTTGCCGATCGAATGCGGAATCCTGCTTTGGCCTAGCCCCAGAAACCTTAAGTGAAAGCTTGGATGGAGCTTAATCCGGGCACCCCCTCCAGCCATGGAATCGCCCTGTTGCCCCAAGACCACGCGACCAGGATTAGGCAGCACCGTTAGGTAGTTACCTTCTATATCGCTTCTATCTAATAACATTTAAAATAAAAATTAAAGAACACACGGAGTTGACTAGGATGTGGAATTTATTGTAAACATTAAATATCGTGTCATAGTCCAGGCTAATGTGAATCACTAGCGTGGGCTTCGCGGACTTCAACAGCAAGATCTCCCAGTATCCCTTCGTCTGAAGGGATAGATACCGCCACTGCATAATGTTCGTCGTCAACATTGGCCAAATGAAACTGATTTCCAATGCCGCTCCAACATCCATTCCAGTACACGGAAGTGATCCGACGTTCGTCGTGACAGAGATCTAGCATGCCCTCAACCCCCAATCCGAACGTTGCACTTCCACAGAACGACACCACTCGACTATGACCATGTCGGATTGATATTTTTTCAACGTCTTCCAGACGGATGAGCTTGGGTGGGTCGCCTTGTTGGTACGCTTGGCCACTACAATTGCCGACCGGTGAGTATCAGTCACAGCGGTACACGAAGCTCAAGGGAGATTATACCGGAGACAGATGAGATTCCTCAGCACGATAGTGCCCTCAGCCAATTTATTGTGTATAGTCAGGGAAAGCCGCTGGGTCACCGGATGGTGCATTTGCTACTCAATTCCGTCGGGGAAAATATTGCCTTCAGTTCGACCGGATGTTGCTTTCGTTGTAAAGAAAGTACTTTGGCGGCGCCAACAACTCTATTTAAGTGCCTCGAAGGACTTTTACGATCTAGACATTTTTTTGAATGCCCCGAACGTATTTACTCCGATTACGCGGCCGCGATACGGTTACCAGGGTAAAGTCGAAAAGCATCGATCGGTGACATACTGAACTGATCTCATTGGTTAGCGGCTCCAGGATCGCCCTTTGTCGTAAGTGGGGTCGAGCCCAATATGTGAAATGCAACTGCTCTTGCTACTCTGATAAAAACTTCCGAATAATGAAAAAGCACTGGTGGCAGATTGGGCCCATGAGCTTCTGGACGAGCCAAACCTTCGTCATCTGAAGGTTTACAGAGCAGTACCAGGGATCTGCATACGAGCCGCGTATACTCCGTTTACAGCAAACCAAGGGAAAAGTTTCACTCATAATATAACAGGACCCCAGAGGCGTTTACTAGAGTTGTGGAGCTAGCCAGGCTTCAAATCAAGGCCAAGGAGACGTCACCCCTTTAAGCCCGCTTTCCTAATTTGGAGACCAACGACGATGAACCCGGACCGCCTTTCATTCGTCAGAGAACGGATACTTCATCGCCAGCTGCGTATTCCCAGTGTTTTCGTACTGGATTCGTATTGGAATCTTGACCATGAGGCTATATCATCATCATCGGGGGGGCAAAGGTGCTAGAGGCTCCAATCTCAATAACTTACACAGTAACCTGAGCTATCTCTATTAAGGATCTGCTCTTTCTCGCAGCACCTTTTTTTCGGTCGTACCGCCTTTCCGCCCACTCCAGAAGACTTGGCGACTTCATTCCTGGTGCGCTTCAATCAATGTAGTATAGGGTGCGTGGTTAAGATGAAAAGTTGATAGAGCTAGTCGTGCCTTACATTGGGAGGCTGCAATTTGTGATACAGTTCACTAGTTCGTGTATTTACATAAAAGGGCTACTCGACTACTCACGTAAGTAGACCGTCGTTAGCATGGTCAAACCAAGCCCTAACTACCTCCAAGCCAGGAATCAGTTTGTTGTATGATCGACTCGCTGACCGGTTATATCTACCGTTGGGGCTTGAATGATCACCGACCAAATTTTTAGCTGACTGCTACTAGACGGGTTACCGGTTAGGCTATTCTTGAGGTACATGTCAATATTCGACAAATAGAATCCTTAATGAAACCTGTCTAGTGCAGATGACTCTAGTGTGCCTGATTGCGGGCACGACCCTGACTGTTCTCTTGAAGGGATTTCATTCAATTTCCGTTACTCGCGTAGCATTTCGATGCCACGGAAACGGATTGATGGGGCCAAACCAAGAACTTTGTATTCTCAGGAGCAAGAATTAATTGTCCATAGTTAAACCTAGAAGAAATTTCTGAGCAGAACTGTGTACGACTGGATTGAACTAGTGACAAACTGCTAGCTATTGTAGAGAAACAGGGTATTTACTATGAGGAGATCCGTAAGACCTAGTTAATCAAATGATTATCCTATTATTAAGTCACTATTCTCAGCTTCAACAAACCTATACGAGCTCCTAAAATCAACACGATTCCTTTGGTTTTCTAGTCCGTGCATGAATTCAGCCAAGGCGAGGCTGAGGAGCGTAAGCCTGCGCCCATACGTTAGCTAGGTTCTACCGACGACGGAACCAATTAGCTTAACTGACAAAATAAATTAAGGCTTAGCTGAGGCTTGCTAAATATAAGTTATATGCACTCTTAGGCGTGCCGTCCACTCTGAAGATATTCACGCGTCTAACAGGTCAATTGCAAGTGGGGGCGGATTTCATTCAGGGAGGATGGCACGCCTCAGAATGTATACGATTTTTATACTTAACGAGTTTAAAAGAGCCTTTTCTCGGGAAAGTAAAGACAACATTTTCCTTAATACAATTGTTTCAATATGCGTGGATTCCTGGCTTTAGTGGGCCTCTTGGCCGCTACTACCGCGGCAGAGAACTCAATCTGCGCTGATGGCCTATACATGATTGCTGCCAGAGGTTCTACTGAGCCCGCGGAGGCTAGGAAGGGGTATTTTCCCGCAAACTCAGGGTCCGCTGGGTATGTGGCACAGCTTATTGCAGATAAGATCTCAGGCTCCAAGATCGCGGGCGTGAAGTACCCTGCAACGCTGAAAAATCCTCCCTACGTGCAGTCAGAGGATGATGGGGCAGCTACTATGCTGCAGATGGCAAAGGAGTACCACACATCATGCCCAAATTCAAAAATGGCCCTCATAGGCTACTCTCAAGTAGGTGACGAGAAGCTTATGCGGCTTGCTGATGAACATGCTGATGCGGGGGTTGCTAGGGTGCACAAGTAGTCTCTGACGTCCTTTGCGGCGGCGCTGGTGGCATGTTCAACAACGATCCACCATTGTCACCAGCCATAGTCAAAGAGAATAGTAAGTGGCCCTTTTGTTGTTGACAATTTGCCGAGGCTGACGCAAATGCAGTTGTTGCGGCAGTCCTGTTTGGGGATCCAACACACATCGCCAACACATCATACGATCGCGGCACAAGCATCCACAACGGAGTGAGTAGTAATGCTCATCTCTGCATTCTTTGACTAAAACCATTTTTCATTAGATGTTCCCACGAAAGAACACCACCGTGTGCCAGCAGTATGATAACATCGTGGCTTCCTGGTGCGACAAGGGTGACAAGTACTGCGACTCTGGAAAAGGTAAAAAAGGCCTACTAATCCATGAATCCTACCTCGGGATATACAACAGCACCATGGTAGACTACGTGGTTGAAAAATGGAAGAACGCGACCACCACAGGCACGTCAACAGGGTCACCCACGAGCTCAACCACCAGCAGTCCATCTCCATCGACTGGCATGGCATCCGGGTTGACTTCAGATCAGAGTTTTTTCCTGGCATGGCCTCTGTTGTTGCTATGTTGTGGACTCCTATTTTAGACTGCGACATTGAAATGCAAGAGCCTTGCGATATGGGTTACCTTTTGCTAGTCTTTCACTGCCAGTAGAGAAAGGAACAATCGTAGCATCCTTGTATGACGAGAACGGATTGGTCACCGCCTATGTACAGTGGGGAGACAAAGGTTCAAATAGGTGGCTTCTGCAATGCCCTCGGTCATAACCGAGCATCAATTTTTACGGAAGAAGGAGAGGGGGGGGAGGGGTGTGGTTAGAAGATAGTTTTAAATTGGGAGCTAATTACTCTAGAAAACTCGAGGTACTATTGTATAGTCTCACGACACTATGGAAGACTGTAGTAGTAAGAGACGGACGAGATGAATTATCTTATACGGCGTATTTCAAGTAGATGGTACTGTCTAGACGCAAAAACACTAGGCATGGTTGATAGTCGGAAGCTGTGTTGTGGCTGCGATCTATCAGATAGAGATCGTGAATCTGAATGGAGGAAGGTGTTGGTCAAAGCCCGAGAGCCCTAGAGGGCTGAAGGCAACCTAAGAAGAGGATCACAGAAGATTACACGTCGGGATCCAAGTGGTGATCTCACAAGATACAGCCGCCGGAGGCTTGATCTAGGCAATTGAACTACAACAGCCGATTATTACATCCTGGAAGAGATGATGAATTGTGCAACTCTTAACCAATCTATGTCAGACACGCGGAGATCAGCCTTTCCTGCGATTCGCGTAACGTTTTCTGGCCCCTCGCACGGCTGGACCTCGGGACGATCTGCACATTTAAAACTACCGGCTTATCGCCCTTGTGGTTTACACTACCGTCTCCTTTCCAAAATGGCCTATACACATCAGGACTCTCCGTCAGAAGCACCTGACCCAACTACCCTCCCTCCACTCCCGCTTCCTCCGGGCGTGTCATCCCGCTATGTCGACTGTACTACATCGCACAGCCTCGTCTTTCACATTCTCGAATCCCTTCCAGACCTAAAGCCTTCAGGCTCAAAACCTGAACTCGTGCTTCTCTGCCATGGCTTTCCCGACCTTGCATACTCATGGCGGAAGATGGTCCCTCTTCTCTCGTCGCAGGGTTACCATGCGGTCGCCTTCGATCAGAGAGGTTTCGGCAGGACGTTTTCAAGGAAACCTCTCACAGAATCATCCTTTAGTCCCCTCGCCTTGATTCGGGATACTGTTGCACTAGTTCAGGCGCTGGGATACACGTCTGTCTCCTGTATAGTTGGACATGACTTTGGCGCTGTCCCCGCCAGCCTATGTGCATTGGCCAGACCGGACATGTTCCGCTGCCTCGTTTTGATGTCCCATCCTTCAAAGGGCCCTCCTCAACTGCCATTCAACACATCTCCCTCATACGGCGAGCCTTCAGCTGCTCCCTTACCTCCACCTCCTCCTATAAACGAGGCGCTAGCAGCTCTGCCCCGGCCCAGAAAGCCATACAAATGGTATTATTGTGAGCCTTCTTCTAACGCGGAGATGACATATCCTGCCGGTGCACCCCTCCATACTTTTCTGCGCGGCTACTTCCACCTCAAGTCCGCCGACTGGGACGGCAACCACCCTCACCGATTACAAGCGTGGACTGCCACCGAACTAGAGAAAATGCCTCGATACTATGTTATGGATCTAGCAGACACAATGCGCCAGGCTGTTGCGCGGGACATGGAGACAGAGGATCCAAAAACGGTCGCCTCGCGCTCTTCACGCTGGCTTCCAGACGCTGAGCTAGCAGTCTACGTTCAGGAATATGGTCGTACGACTTTCCAAGGCGGGCTGAATTGGTATAAGGTCCTAACGCAGCCCGAGATAGCGGCGGAAATGGAAGCGTGGTCTGGAATGAAGATACCTATTCCGACGATCCTGATCTGCGGGAAGAGTGACTGGGGAACGTACCAAGTGCCCGGGGCGCTGGAGGCAATGGAGCAGGAGAGAAGTGTGGGACCGGGGCTGTATAAAGGTACGATATTAATGGACGGAGCTGGGCATTGGGTCAATCAGGAACAACCTGAGAGATGTGTTGAGGAGATTTCACGACTTATCAAGGAGGTTTCCGGGGCTAGGACCATTTCGGCAGGGGTTCCAGTTTGATCTTGATAATTACATGGTTACGACGTAAAGAGATTACAAGATAAAGAAGCAAATCAGGTCTCCCGCAAGTCAACGCCGCCCTCGAATGCAGCACCACCAGCCTCCTCATCCAACTGCACGCTCTGATCCAAGCCACACACGCGGAACAGCATCTGCGGCGTCAGCTCCTTATCCAAGCCCGGCAGACCATCACGCTTGAGCTTTTCCAAACCCTCACGCATAGCCACCAGCGCAGGCCCAATAGTAGCAAACGGGTAGATTATAATCCTGAACCCAATCTGGCGAGCCTCATCTGCCGAAATAGAGGGCGTAGATCCATGCTCAACCATATTCAGCAACAAAGGCCACGGCGCCAGATCTTTGACAGCTTGGCGCGCCATTTCGCGAGAGTCAATCCCCTCCAGGAAGCCGACATCTGCGCCTGCATCGCGCGCCGCGCGCAGCCGAGCCAGACTCTCTTCGTAGCCGTGCTTCTGCAGCGAGTCCGTACGCGCAATGATCACAATATCGCTCTCCAGTCGCTTGCGAGCTTGCACCGCGGCCCGGATCCGGGTCGTGTAGGTGGTCGTGTCAACGAGCTGTTTGCCGGATAGATGGCCGCACCGCTTCGTCTGGACTTGGTCTTCGATGTGGAAGCCAGCGACGCCAGAGCGAGCATATTGCTCTGTCGTCCGCGCAACCATGATGGGCCCGCCGTATCCTGTATCTGCATCGGAGATGAGTGGAGTCGCGGGGGATAGGTTCGCGATCATCTCGGCGTTGGCGCGCATGTCGTTCAGCGTGCAGATGCCCAAGTCGGCCTGGCCGTGTACGGAGGCTGCCGTTCCGGCGCCGGTCTGGTGCTGTTAGTTTATTTTCGGTTTTCAATTTTGTTTTTTTCACACGCGGCGCATACCATGTACAAAGCATCAAAACCCGCGGCCAGAGCCATCCGCGCCGAAAGGCCATCATATACTCCCGGAGCGACGATGAATGCATTCGGGTCCTCCAGGGAGCGCCGGAGTTTGGTTGCTGCTGTTACGAGAGGCATAATGAGTTACCAAAGTAGATGCAACAATGAACCGGCCTCTGGCTCTGAACGGGCGGGCCTTCTTATATGTCTCCGGCCCTCCGATGATGCCGTCTTTTCCGATACCGGAACATTTTGTTATGTCAGCATATGCACCTTCTCAAAGCGGCAATAAGCTGATGGCGACACAGGAAATACATTATTCTCGGCCTTGTAGACCTCGGGCCAGTCAAGAATAGGCGGGGTATAGAGGAAGTCGGTGTAATCCGACTCGGCACGAGCTGTTGTTCACACTTGGTGCAGGAGTACAGGTTTGGGTTAGCCCGGCGTAGATCAATCTTAGTCAGCGGTCGCTCCACTGCTCTGCTTGATCTGCGATTCTTGGACTCCGACAATGATTCCGCGCATCCTCGTCTAGAACCACCCTCCCCCTCTCGCCTGAGTGATCCGACACAATCTATTCCCCGACCCTGCTCTTATGGCTCGCTCCTCTGTGGTCCAAGAGTACGGAGCGCCCTCGACCCCGACGCTGAGCGTCGACCAAAAAGTCGCGCTCGACCGCCACAGCTACGAGGTGCCACGGCCACAAGGCTATCGCGTATCATGGCACGCCAACCCAGCCGTGGAGCTGCACCACTTCGGCCAGTCGCACCCGATGAAGCCCTGGCGGCTCACCCTCACGAAGCAGCTGGTGATGGCATACGGGATGCACCATGCGATGGACCTGTACATGGCGCGCGCGGCAACATCGGAAGAGATGGCCGAGTTCCACGACGCAGACTACATTGAGTTCTTGCGGCAGGTGATTCCCGGCGATGTAGACCGGCCCGAGCAGAGCGATAACGTGGTGCGGTTTAATTTTGGCGACGACTGCCCTGTCTTCGACGGGCTATACAACTACTGCTCGCTGTACGCCGGGGGGACCGTGGACGCCGCGCGCAAACTGTGCAATAACCAGTCCGAGATTGCAATCAACTGGTCCGGCGGCCTGCACCACGCCAAGAAATCCGAGGCCAGCGGATTCTGCTACGTCAACGACATCGTCCTGGGCACCTTGCAACTGCTGCGTCACCACCCGCGCGTGATGTACATCGACATCGACGTGCACCACGGCGACGGCGTCGAGCAGGCCTTTTGGTCAACGGATCGCGTGTTGACGGTTTCGTTTCACAAATACGACAAGGACAACTTCTTCCCCGGCACCGGCGCGCTCGAAGACACGGGCCCCTCGCACCCGCTGAACCCAGGCGCACACCACTCCATCAACGTTCCCCTCAACGACGGCATCGACGATGAGTCCTACATCCAGCTCTACCAGGACGTCATCGGCGCCTGCGTCGAGACCTACCGCCCCGGCGCCATCGTCCTCCAATGCGGTGCCGACAGTCTCGGCTGCGACCGGCTAGGCTGTTTCAACCTCAATGTGCGCGCCCACGGCGCCTGCGTAGCCTTCACCAAGACCTTCGGCCTGCCTCTGCTCGTGGTAGGAGGCGGCGGATACACACCGCGCAACGTCTCCCGCGCCTGGGCGCACGAAACCTCCATCCTCATCGACGCAGACCAGAACCTCGACCCCACGATCCCAGAAACCGTCGCCTTCCGCAACCACTTCGGCCCAGACTACTCGCTCTTCCCACCGCTATCGGAGCTGCGCAAGCTCGAGAACAAGAACCCGCGGCCCTACCTCCAGAACCTGGTCGAGGCCGTCCATGAGCAGCTCCGTTATATCCAAGGCGCGCCTAGCGTGCAGATGAGTTTTATCCCGCCGGATATCTTGGGCCTGCGCGAGGATACCGAGAAGGAGATCGAGGAGCAGACGGCTGCTATGGAAGAGGAGCGCGAGGAACGAGATGGCGGCGGCTCTGCTGCTATAGCTGCTGATGTGGCTGCGGCTAATCTGCAGGGTATGGATATGGGCTCGGCTGGTGCTATTCCTCGTATAAATCGTCGGCGGGAACTGGAGCGCGGAGCTGGCTACAGGGGCGAGCTGTATTCATAACCCCCCACTCCCCCTGTGATTAGGATTGGGTTTATGGGTGTGTTTTAAGGCGTACGCGGGATTGATTCAGCAAGGGCGTTTTTATTTTCCGGGTGGACTTGCTTTTATTACTGGGAGTTTCTGGCCTGCGCGAGATATCCTTGAAGAAGAGTTCTGTACAGTTATACCATCTCTACAAAAGAAAGAGAGAGAGAGGGAGAAATAGAAAGAAAGTCATCAAAAATGAATGAAGTACACTCCAGCATCATTCATTGTATTGAAGATCAAATCCAATTGCAACTAACCACAAAATCAAGTCTATCGCTATAAGAATCCCATTCCATCCCCTTTCTGATAGCTCCATGCCGCCCTTGCTGAGTCTTCGTAGTATCGAGTTGAAAAAGAAGGGGGAAAAATCAAGACTGCTCCCGACTGCTCTTTTTTGACTGTTTTCTTTGTTTGTTGACTACCCACCATGCACGGTGCAAATCCAAACCAATCCAGGCAACTCGTCTCATCTCGTTTAAACATCAACTACGACATCTTCACAAGCTTCTCGAATTGCACAGGAGAGATAGCGCAGTCGGTAACACAAGATAACGGAGCATTTAAAATGTGTTTCGAGGGTTTTCGTATTTCGTATTTCGGTCGTCGATCTCAGTGAGTTCGGATTTTTATTTTTGTAAACAGAATCAAATCGGGGTATCCAGCAATGGGGCGTGGCGTCGTGGTCGGGAAGGCTGTGTTGAACTCGAATTATGGTGGGAGAAATAGAGCAAGGAAGACAAACGATGCGATGAAATGCGACGAGCGAATGGGAGTGAGAGACTATCGTCGTCGCTGGACGCCGGGAGATATTTCGATGCTGGGTAGTCTGCGCAGTTTGACTTCGTCGTTTTCACGGACTGCCTGTGTGTTTTCCGGATATGCTTTGAACAACTTGGCATCAAAAACGAGAAGCAGGGATGCAGAAAGCAAGAGAGACCAGGATGATTGCTGGAAACAGATCAAGGATAACGTCTCCCTCATTGCTCCTTCGCATCCACGAATTCCTGCGCCGTTTCCGTATCTATCCGTTCCATATTGGCGTTTTCTGTCTCAGAAGAGGACGCCGCGGATGAGCCTGTGGCTGCAGTATTAGCGGCGGGATCTGGAACTGAATTTACTTTCTGACCTTGGACGATGGGAGTGATAGATAGAATCTGCTTTGCGGCAAGATTCGGGTCATGCGAGGCGCTGCGCGACGTGTTAATCAGCTACATATTCCACTTAATTCCCAGAAAAGAGATACTCACATGTCCGCATTGATAATCCAGTCGAGGTCTTCATCTCCTTCATCTGGGCCGCCGGGTCCGCCTTGCACGGCACGGAACAGTCGAGGTCGCCACTCGACACCCTCCTCGGCACGTTTGGCTGCCTCGTCGCGTTGCTGATCTTCAATCTTGGTCTTCTCATCCGTGGCGAGTTCGTGGTTCCGCGTAACGATCGCCTTGACGGTGGGCTTCCATAGCCGTTGTGATTCCCTCTCTGCCTGCTCTTCAATCGGGCGAACCTGAGGCTTGGTGTGCTTGGCGTGCGCTCCATCAAATAGAAGCTCCTTCTGGTGTGTCTGTTTTTTTCCTTGTTAGTAGTTGACACTTTCATACCATGAATGAAACGGACCAGGCAGTTCTTCAGATGCATCTCCCCGTTCCACATTCCCGATAGCTCGTATAGAAGCTCTCCCGTCTTCTCGTTCTTGATCGTGCCTCCGATGGCATTGTAGGTACCGGAGAAGTAGCCCTTGGTCTTGAACTCGATATCGGCGACCAAGTTATGCTCTGGACACCGGACGTAGCTATGATCACCGAGCTCATACTTCATCTTTCCGAACAGGATTCCGCGGGCGTACATATTGGGTTGTGTCAGGATACTAGGAACCGGAGTCAGTCGCTGCCACAAGAAAACCAACCCGTCACCAAAACATACTATTTCTCTCCCTTCTCTTTATCCTGCCCGCGGTTCAGCAGTCGCAGAATGGCGGTTCCCTCCATCAGACTGGCGGCCGAGTTGCCCAGGAACCTACTGCGGGGCTTCAGCGTGCCGTCGATGCGGATGTTGTGCTCGGGGGCCATGAAGAAGTAGCTCGACTTAGGCGGGTGGTGCGAGGTCTGCTCGGCGATGTAGTATCCGCGCGTGCCATCTGGATAGTCCCAGTAGCAGGTAAATGTCTCCCCGAGGATGGGGTTGAGTGGTTTCTTCACTCCTCTGTATAGCGGGGGATCAGATCTCTAGTCCAGAACCACGGACGGGTGACGTACGGAGGTTTGATGTGCCATCCACTCAAGTAGAACTTGACGACTGAAACAAAGCGCTCGACGGGGTCATCTATCGTGGACATGGGGAGGAGGGTTTCGGGGTGCGCCATGAAGCTGTTTTCAGAGGTTAGCCGGTGTGCCTCTCCTCACGGTAGATCGGATCAGGCTGCGTACTTGGTGATGCGCTCGAGCATGGACCGGGGCTCGAGGATGAATGTCGGCAGAACCACACGGCTGAGGTCGGCGCCCGGCCGCAACTGCGAGATGATGTGCGAGAGGACTAGGCCGTCAGTCTTTGTGTCGGAGTTGGGTGCTGCGTGCAAACCTACCATTTCCCTGCTCGGGCTCGACGACCTCGTCCTCCCCGCTGGCGGGAGAGTCCTCCATGGAGGATCTGCCTGGATGATGAGTCGGGGTGTCAGTGTTCATGGTTGTGGTGGTGAGTTGTCGGAAAATGAAGGAGTGTTGAGGCAGGGCGGGAGAATGATGACATGGGCACTACTACTTACTGGCCAAGGAAGCACGGCGGAGATGCGGAACCGGCATAGTGAATGGCTGACAACCAAGGCTACAGCATTTATGGAAGGGCAAGAGTTGTATGTAAGGGACAGAGAGAGAGAGAGAGAGAGTGAGTGAGTGAGAGTCCAGAATAAGAAGAAGAAGAAGAAGAAGAAGACAAGAAGAAGGCGAAACAAGGCAGATCAGTCAGGTGTGGTAAGGAGCCCTAACCTAAGTCTAAACCGAGTGACGTCTACAACGACGAAATCAATCCAAGGTATACCTACCCTCTTCCTTCTCACCACCATTTCCGCCTAGGGCCTAGGACTCTTTATTTATAATTGTCTTCTCCCAACAAATGATCGTCAATGAGGGGCACGGCTTGGCGAGTGACTAGTGGGGGACGACCATCATCTCTCTTCTATCGCAACCGCGCAATGAGCGGGACATCACCGTGGGTAATTTCCTCCACAAAGGCCATATCCGGCCGATAGAGCATCACATGGAAATGTTCAACAGCGTGCACCGACTTCAGCGACCGCCAGTTCTTGAACCAAACGACCTGCGTCGGCGGCACGCGCGAGCAGAACGTACGCTGGACATACGCCTCGATAGCCGCGCGCGCGCTGGCCGTCAAATCATCCGTGGCCGGGTCGTCTTCCAGCTCGAACTTGGTCCAGACCACCAGGTGGATGATGTCCGTTTCGACGCCGTACGGCCAGTCGTTGTACAGAATGCAAATGTCCTCTAGCAGTAGGGTTAGTTCTTAGCCGAGGGGTTCGGGTTTCCGTGTTCTCGGAGAGCCACTAGTCATGGCATTATTACCGTCTAACTCAAAGGGACGACCTTTCGGCACCAGGTTGCTGCCGTCGCCCCAGTGCAGCCGCTCCTGCACCACGAACCGCATCACGGACGAGTACTCGGTTTTCAGCTGCGCCATGTACGCCAGATACCGGCGGAGCTCGCTCGGGACGCGCTGGAATCGATCGATGCGGTTGGTCCCTGCGGTCCCATCCCCGTCGTCAGCATGTCTGTCTTTGAGACGGTCGGTGCGAGGCTGAGGCTGCCACTCGACTCACGGACGATGTCCCGCACCTCATCCCAGCCCTGCCGCGTGTAGTCTTCGTCGGGCGTCGATAGACATCGGATGTTCTTGTCTGGTAGGTCGCGTAGATAACTGGGACACTCGGCGGTCCGTTGCGATCGGGGCACATTGACTTGCCAGTATGGAAGCGTGTGGCGCTCGTGTACTAGAGCCTGACCCGCTGGATCGGCGTCGGTCGTCTTCTCGTCCAGGCTGGTTATGGTCGCTGCTGGGGTTGGCGCCCCGATCGTGCCCGACATGGTCTGGCAAAGACAGAAGTCGGCGCAGATGAGGCTGAGTTGATAACTAAGACACTGAAGGATTCACTGATTAATCTTCGGCCCGCACCCCCGGCCCTGATCCACCGGGGACTACGTATACCTGCAGTGACAAACACATTTGTTTCCAGTTATTACTATTTCTTTCTTATTGGTAGAGTGCACTACGGGACTGCCAGTCTCTGGATCTGCGGCGCATCGGCGGTAATGACCTGGACACCCGCCGCCGCCAGCTCCTCCTTGGTCTTGTCCCATCCGGTCGGCACAACGCACCGGGTCGCCTCCTCGACGATCCAGCTGCGAAAGCCAGCCTTGACCGCGTCAATGGCCGTGTATTTAACACAGTAATCCCCCGCCAGCCCAACAACAAACACATCTGTCACGTCCCGAGTCCGGAGCTCAGCGGCAAGATCCTCATTGACCGACTTGGCCGTAATAGCCGGATCCAAATTGCCAAAATTATCCGCAAAGGCCGAGTACATCTCGACCTGCGCGTGCTGGCCTTTGTGCACGAAGCGATCGACCTTGTCGACGTCAATCTCGGGGATCATCTCCGCGCCGGGGGTGCCGGCGACGCAATGCACGGGCCAGAGCTGCTGCTGTTTTGTTTCGGCTTCCTTGCCTGGTGCCGGGTTGTGCATTGTGATAAACGACTCGAAGGGCTTGTTGTTGGGCGCGGGGTGGTTGGGCGCGAAGGAGATGTGGTCGGGCGGGTGGAAGTCCTGTGTTGCGACGCGTGCCACGAACCCTGGTTTTGCGAGGAGTGAGTTGATCAGCGGTGCGATGGTCCGGCCTTCTTGTACGGCAAGAGACCCGTTCTTTTTTTAAGGAGGAAGCTTGGGATCAGCTCGGCTGGATCATGCTGGTAGTAGCTTCGTCGCACTCACGGGCGGGCAGAAGTCTTCCTGCATGTCTACTACGATCAGCGCGGGCACAAACCTCGTGCCATCGGAGGAAGCTGAAGTCATTGTGAGATGTGGTGGGCAGTCGGGACTGCGTAGAGGGAGGAAGAGGGAGCTGTCCGTCGCAGCTCCGTCAAGGATGATGGCATGACTAAGCACACGGACACCACAAAACTCTTTTGCTCGTTCTTTTCTTCTCCTTCCAGGGCTACGGCCCCGACTACATAACTCACTCCCTCAAGGTACGTTTCTCTCCCGTGTTTCTTTCCTGCCTATCATGATGATTTTATTATTGGAGCTGTCTGAGCCTCGCAATGCGGACAAACTCACTTATACGCTTTTCATCTATCTGAACCCATCCCATCCCATTGCCTGATTCCATCCCATGTTCAGCCAGGAATGAGTGCTAATTGCTCTCAATAGCTACCAACCGCAGATTGTAAACCTATTGTCATCAATTGCTGCGCAATCCAACTTTTAGACTCGTTGTTCTTCTCTCTTAGCCCTCTCTGTCTCTCTATTTCAAATCTACCTAGTCTTTATTTCCTCTTTCCTCCCACCATGGCAACCAACACTCCCCCACCACCACCTCCTCCTCCTCCAGAAAACACACACTCTCGCCCGGACGCCGCCATGGCCGAACCCACAGAGACCAGCACTGTCGCAGCGGCAGCAACAGCAGCAGCAGCAGCAGCGACAGCAGACACAACAGCAACACCACCCGCGGCCTACTCCCCGTCACCCTCCCCCTCCTACAAGCTTAAATTCTGCACCGTCTGCGCATCGAACAACAACCGCTCCATGGAAGCCCACCTCCGCCTCTCAACAGCAACAACCGGATTCCCCGTGATATCCTTCGGGACAGGCTCGCTAGTCCGGCTCCCCGGCCCATCCATTACGCAACCGAACGTGTACAGCTTCAACACCACCTCCTACCAACAGATGTACGAAGAACTGCGCGGCAAAGACGAGCGGCTCTACCGCAGCAACGGCATCCTGACCATGCTCGACCGCAACCGAAACCTGAAATGGGGGCCCGAGCGCTTCCAGGACTGGGTGCCTGGTCTGCCACGGACGGAGCATGTCGAGAAGGGAGATAAAGGTGCCATCGGCACGGAGGGCGGTGTCGTTGATGTTATTATTACGTGCGAGGAGCGATGCTGGGATGCTGTGGTTGATGATCTCATGAATAAAGGATCGCCGCTGAACCGGCCGGTGCATGTCTTTAACGTTGACATCAGGGATAATCATGAAGAGGCCCTGCTGGGGGGAAGGCGATTCTTGATCTGGCGGACCGGTTGAATGAGGCGGCTACTACGGAGAGGAACGTGAATGGCACTGCTGGGTGGGAGAATGGGTCTGGTGCCGCGAGGCAGAGCTTTGATGAAAAGGTTCCTGAGATTCTGGCGGAGTGGCAGGAAAAATATCCGCATCTGCCTGCGCTGTGGACGCTGGCTTGGTTGTGAGTGGAGTGTGGCAGGCGATGATTTCGACTGCCGCGGATAGTTAAATCAAGACCCGAATTATAATATGACGTTACGTGACCTATATCAACCGGAATAGGATTCATATAATCGTAGCAAATGTACACAGGGGTATCACGAAGAATAATATCAGACCAACGCCAAGGACAAGAACAGGGAGGCCGGAATTGGCCTCAATAGTTGGGGACGGCAAGAAATACTCACTTCTCCTGCTTGATCTCTTCTTTGACCTTCTCATCTGCAAGAAGAAGTTCCCGCCTCTCTCGATACCACCTCTCAAGACAAGCCCTTCGCTGCGCCTGTGTCATACTCTCCACGACGAGCGCAAACTCTGTCGCATCCGTGTACCCAAGCCGGCGCGCCATGCTACAGAACTGGCGGCGCAGCACGTCCTGAGGTGGATTGTACCGAAACCGGAATGGCTGGTCGTCTGGTCCCGCTCTGCCAAAGCTCAAGCCCGCAGCAGGACCCTCGGCAAATGGATCCAAGGCGTCGTCGCCGACGATATCTTGAGATGGCTTGAAGACCTGGCAGTCCGCGGCCGGGTCGTCGGATGCCAGCTGAGCGCGGCGACTGAGTCGTTCTTCGACGCGCGAGGAGCCGATTACTTCGTTGTTGAGGTGGGTGTATTCCACGCCTGCGCCGGCGAGGATGGCTTGGATGGGGTCGTGTTTGTGAGGGCTGGTTTTGGCCTGTGGATTGGTGGAAGATCGTTCGCGCTTCACTGCGTTCTTGTCGTCGCCGCAGATCTCGGCGGCAAGCTGGCTCATTGCCTCATCTTCGGTTTTGGTAGTGGCCTCGCCGTTTTCGCGGGTGTCTTCCTCTTCGACTTCGATGTCCATGACCTGAACGCCGGCGCGGCTTTCGGCGACGTTGGTCTTATTGACGATATCGCGCAGAACGACGCCGTCATTGTGATATCCGAACATGTTATCCAAACCGAAGATCTCGCCTTTCTGGTCTTTCTTCTCCTGGACGCCTTTGAAATAGCGCCGCTCAGAGCTGGCATTGTACCCGATGTTGGCCTGCTGCTGCTTGTAGATCTGCCGCGCGTAGACGATTTCCTCGATGGTGCCTGCGGAGATGAGCCGGAAGACCTCGACATCGCGCGATTGTCCAATGCGATAGGCGCGGTCCTGGGCTTGGAGGTCGTGCGCCGGGTTCCAGTTCGGGTCGACCACTACCACTTTGTTGGCCGAGGTGATGTTCAGTCCAACACCGCCGGCTTGGGTAGAGATGAGAAAAACAAACTGACGTGGGTCAGAATTAAACTCGTCGACAACCCGCGCGCGGTCCTCGTAGCTCATCGATCCGTCCAGGTAGCTGACGTTATAGCTGGTATGATGGAAGAGGACCTGCAGCATCTTCAGGAGCCGGACACTGTGCGAGAAGACGAGGACTTTATCGCCGTTCGAATGCCACCATTTCAAAAGCTTTCGCAGAACCTTCCACTTGCCGCAGAACTCAGGGTTTGCGTAGTTGATGATTGAATCTCGGCTGCGATACAGCTTCTCCCACTCTCGGGGCAAGGCGAGCTGGAGCATATCCTTGTCTTTCTCCTGTTTTTCCCGGGTATCGTTCCCCTGCGGAATGAGAACGGCCAAATGGTTGCTTAGATGTCGCAATACGGTCATCGCCGGGAAGACGTACGACTGCCACGGCACGTCTCTGCCAGGGATGATACGATGGCAGCACCAGCCAGCTTTCTTCCCCGATCCACAACCGCACCTTTGTGAGGATTGCTTGATGTACTGGACAATATCACTCTCCAGGAAGGTCTCGTAGGCTTCCGCCTGTGTTTCAGTCAGAGGACAGAAGACGACCCGGTCACTCTTCTTGGGCAGCTGATCGGCAATCAAGGTCTTCATCCGACGCAGAAAGAATTGCGGCAGGAGATTCTCGACGAGCTTCTTGGCTGTCTTGCGGGCCCTGCTGAGTTCACTTTGGGTTGCCTCGTGGGACTGTCCAATCTTGAGCGGAGTGGCAATCTGCGTTTTCCAGGTGGTGACAGGGCCGAGGACGCCGGGGTTCGTCCAGTTTAGTAGCGTCCACAGCTCCTCGTACCGGTTCTGGATCGCCGTGCCAGTCAATCCAATTCGACAGAGGGCGTTGATTTCATTCATCGCTTGGGTCGTCCCAGACTTTCGTTCTTTGATCTTATGGCATTCGTCGGCGATAACGCAGTCCCACTCGACCATGTTGACCGCATCCTTGTTGTTCATATAAGTCGTGTAGGTAGTGATCAAGATCTCCAACCTCCCCGATCTGGCAGCATGCAAAGCCAGTTCCTTGTTATCGCCGTGGTATGCATCAACCTGCCACCACCCCCAACGAGCAAACTCCGCCCTCCAGTTCGGGATAAGGCTTCCCGGGCATACGATCAGAGTGCGCGGATACCAGGCATTGTTTACGGATCTGCGCATCTTGCGCATCCTCTTCGCATCCCGCTCATCTCCGGTCTTGCCGTATGCTGCTGTCAGGAAAGCGATGACTTGAATGGTCTTTCCGAGACCCATGTCATCGCCCAAGACGCCTCCCTTTTGGTAAACGAACAACTCGTGCAAAAACGCTACTCCTTCCACTTGGTACTGGCGCAGCCACTGCGCGATCGGTGCTGGGATCAGCCCTAGGGAGTAGGGGAGCGTAATGTCCTTATACTCTCGGCTCGGTGGCTGATCTGGGAACGCAGGTCTCTCCCGGAGGTGCTCCAGACGTTCATCGTCGGAGAAGTCGATATCGGTGTAACTTGGCGGTAACTTGAGCCCCAATTCCTGAAGATGCTCCCTTCTGCGATCAAACTGTACGCGACGGCGCTGCAAATAGTTCGGGAGGGTGTGCTCCATCAGCTCATCTTCCGACGACACCGCGCCATACTGCTTCTGCGTCTGCTTGACCCGTGATTTGCCTCGCTCCTGCTTGGGAACCCGGCCCACAATCACATCTCCTTCTCGTTTGGCCTTGGCTTTGCGGGTTGAGGCGAGACTCTGCTTGCGTTTGAGGGACTTGCGTTCCTTGAACTTCTTGTACGCCGACGCGCCATCGTTGAAGTCGGACTCATCGCTGTCCTCAAGTAGACTGGTCAAGGGACCGGGATTGTGGGGTTCGGACTTTACGGGTGGTGGTTGTGTGCTCTCTGCAGTAGTAGGTTTCCTATCTAGAAGATGATGATGAGCTTCGCGTCGAACGCGTGGGGGAACATAGCCATACTGCGAGAGTCAACATAGCGCGTCACCTCCAGATTGTCATCGTCCGAGTCGATGGAGATGACCTCGGCATTCCAAAACCTGTCACTTCCCATGACATATTTGTCTGAGGGTGGCGTTGGATGGGAGGATGCTGGAGATTTGGATGGGCTGAGAGGATAAGAACGATAAGGTCAGGACTTGGTCACTTCCGCCTCCGATCTCTTTTTTGCTCCTGCCACCACCACCAAGACCCAGAGCCACATCGCTGGTCTCTCAATTGACTTGTCAAACTCGGAATTCAAATTGTTCGTCTCTACTCTTTCTCCTTCGTTATCTTTGACTTTATTAGAGGTTGACCTTTGAACTGTACAGAAACCTTGTCACGATACCGCAATCTCAGTTTGTACCTTGAGCACACCACATATTCTCTCAAAATGCCTCTCGATACCTCCACAACATACCCCCTTACCCGGCTGCGCCTGGACGGCCGCCGGTGGAATGAGCTACGTCTGCTGCAAGCCCAGATCTCGACCAACCCCGCCAGCTCCGGCTCATCATATCTCTCAATGGGCAACACCGCAATCATGTGTTCCGTCCACGGGCCCGCAGAGGGCCGTCGAGGAGAAGGATCAGGCCAGGCAGGGAGTGCTGGCGCTATGGTGGATGTAGAAGTGAACATTGCCGGGTTCGCCAGCGTGGACCGCAAGAGACGCGCAGGAGGAAGCGGCGGGTATGTCTCCTTCTTATTCTTCTTCTCAGCCGCATAGCTACAGATACTAACTGATGGCTACCAGACAATCCTCGCGAATTGCCACGACCCTCCGCTCAGCCTTCCAGTCCCATTTACACACCTACCTCTACCCGCACAGCACAATCAGCATCCACGTGCACGTCCTCTCGGCAGACGGCTCGTTACTAGCTGCTGCGATCAACGCCTGTACCCTGGCCCTCGTGGACGCCGGTATTCCCATGCCCGGCCTGATGTGCGGCTGCACGGCTGGCATGAGCGGCAGCGCATCGACGCCGCGCGACCCACGCAACGATGAGCTCGATCCGCTACTGGATCTGTCGCTCCCCGAAGAGCAGGAGCTGCCGTCGCTGACGGTCGGGACTACGACGGCGGTGCCAGTTGGAGAGAATCATATGGACGAGGATGAGAGCGAGATGAAGGTGTCGGTGCTGAATATGGACTCCCGGCTGCATGTCACATACATCGAGACGATGCTGGCGGTGGGCATCGATGGGTGCAAGCAGATCCGAGAGCTGCTGGAGGGAGTGATCAAGTCAAGTCGATAGCTAGTCTGTAACGATAATAATAATGACCATGATGAACCTGTTGGACCTGCCAAGAAGATAATTTGCTCAATTGCCCGCGCACTAAGGCCGTTCAGGCAAAATCTGCTCACCATGACTACCGTACTAATAGTGTTGTAACGGACGAGGATCTTCTCTTCTATACATTGCTCCTTATCCCCCTGTTGATTTTATTTGTGTTTTTCTGTGTGGGCGCATCGATACAACACTCGCTCGTGAAGCCGGATCCGGCCGTGTGTGGATTGCAAGTACCGAGTTATCGCCTACACCAAATAATCCATCCTCCACCATGGACATGAATTCCATGACAATGGACATGGCTAGCACATCCACTGCATCTGCGGCTATGGGCACGGCTTCGTCGGGCATGTCTGGCATGTCGGGAATGGGAGGCATGGATATGGGCAGGGGGGACTCAAGCTGCCAGATCTCGGTCAGTTCCTACAATAACCATGAAAACCTCCTAGAGACAAGGATGGGATAGCTAACAACCTCTCAGATGCTGTGGAACTGGAATACCATCGACGCATGTACGTTGTTGTCCTCCGCTTTCCCGTCCGATGCACATCAGATTCTTCGGTATACGGACTAACACTAACATGTTTGATTGACCAGGCTTCCTGTCGACATCATGGCACATCCGCTCGCGCGGTATGTTTGCCGGCTCCTGCATTGGTGTCATCGCTCTCGTGCTGTGTCTGGAATTCCTGCGCCGCGTAGGCCGCGAGTACGACGCCTTCATTGTCCAGCGCGCACGGCTGCGAGCGCTGTATCTGTCGGCGCCCTCGGCCGATCCTCTCATCCAACAGGGTGGGCAGGAAAGAAGCTCCAAAGTGATTCCTGCCAGCTGCTGCGAGAGCCATGGTCATACTCGTACCCACCACGACCATGCTGATCCTGATCCCTCTTCCTCATCCGATAATATCAAGGATGACATTATCTCCCCAGCACCAAGTCAGCGCTGTGCTCCTCCCATCCAAACTCCAGCGCCGTGTACGCATTGCAACTCTCCGTCCAGGGCACCCATCAATACCATTCCAGCCTCGCTCTCCTTCCCCATCCCCAGGGCCACCACCAATGGGTTGCCAAACCCCTACGCAGTCGGCCCCTTCCGTCCCTCGCTCGTCGAGCAATTAGTGCGCGCCCTGCTACACATGCTGCAGTTCGCAGTAGCGTACTTCGTCATGCTGCTGGCAATGTACTTTAACGGGTACATCATCATCTGCATCTTCATTGGGGCGTTTCTCGGCTCATTCATCTTTTCGTGGGAGCCCGTGTCGTTGTCTAAAGAGTAGGTTTGTCTGTCTTTTGAGTCAATTGTGGGGATGCTAATCATGCGGGATAGGAATGATGCAACGGCTGTTACGAAATGCTGCGGGTAGATCCGCTGTGTCGATTGGTTTCATTTTATAAGTGGGCGCGCTCGGAGCATGGGAGTCAGGGTATTAGTCGATATGGAAGAAGCTGTGTTTTCATTGGTATTAAACTGCATTTACGGGGTTGTGTGTTGATCCAGCGACCGTATTTTTTTTCTTAAATGCCATCAGGGGCTTTCCCATTTCTCTCTGTTCTTTTTGTTTGTAGCATGGGTATGTAGAATGATTTCTCCGCGTAATATGAAGATTGGGCCGCCAAAAAGTCTACTATTTGGATGCAATTGCTAAAAGTAAGCTTCCGTGACGTTGCTAGCAGAGGGGTAAGAGACGGGTAACAGAAGATGAGATCATCGAGCCTCACAAACCAACCAGCGGCGCACGGCCACAGACAACAGGCTAGAACAAACAAACCTGGAAGCGAGACCGAGTTGGCCCGATGTCTTGCATCCAGCGCGGGGCACCCCCACCTTGCGTTTTCCGAGTGGCAACAAGAGACGAATACGGCCACTAGTTACTACGAATTGAAATGGAGAGTTACGGAGAGTACGAGGTGATTCGGTAGACAGTCCAGATTGATTCACTACGCCCGAGGCGGGAACATAGATAGAGGGAATAGGGAGAATTCCCTCCTCCCCAAACTAAACTAGAGCACAACACGAGCCCGCCCACCTGAGCCAGCGAAGCAATGGCTCAGACTGTCTGCGCGAATTCAAAAACAAAACCAACCACGTTTCACTACATTTGCGAGAGTAAATTCCTGGGAAGAAGCTTACGCCTCACCGCAGTTGACGATGGTGGGCTTGACGGCCGAGCGGACGGAGCCGGAGGCGCTGCCGAGAGCCTCGATCTCCTTGACGACCTGCATGGACTCGGCGTCGGCGACCTCACCGAAGACGACGTGCTTGCCGTCCAGCCACGAGGTGACCACGGTGGTGATGAAGAACTGGGAGCCGTTGCTGGGAAGGGAATTAGAATGACAGGACAAACAAAACAAAGGCAAAACAAAACTCACGTGTTGGGACCAGCGTTGGCCATGGACAGCAGACCGGGCTTGTTGTGCTTGAGCTTGAAGTTCTCGTCGGGGAACTTCTCGCCGTAGATGGAGCGACCACCGGTGCCCTATTAGGGGAAAGGGATGTCAGTATCGAGGATAATAGATAGAAAAGAAAGAAAAAAACTCACGTTGTGGCGGGTGAAGTCACCACCCTGCAGCATGAACTGAGGGATGACGCGGTGGAAGCCGGAGCCCTTGTAGCCCTCGCCCTGGGGCTTCTTGCAGAGCTCACGGAAGTTGGCAGCGGTCTTGGGGACATCCTCCTCGAAGAGGTTGAAGTTGATGCGGCCCGTCTTGGCTGGTGAAGAGGTCAGCGAGGGCTATTCGCATTCGATCTCATGACGATGAGTGATGGAGTGAAAAGAGCCATCAAGAGAATCCTGGATAGGAATTGGATGGACTGGAGATGAAACATTGCGAGGGAGAATGGGAAAGGGGGTAGGGAGAGTGTGGGCGTATAGGCAGGGCTGGGTGTTTGGGATGGAGGGGCAGCTTCAGCTTGGCCCCTCCCACCTTTGGCACACGAAGCAACAGAATCAATGGAAAGAAAGGAAAAGGAAGATACGTACCGGCGCTGGAGCCGACAGGGGCGTACTGGACCTCGAAGAAAGCCTTGGTGGGCATGATTGCGGTAGCAGAGAAGGATCTGGTAGAGTAAAGAGTGGAAAGTGAAGAAGAAGAGAAGAAGGAAGACGGTGGTGGGGTTGGCCTGAGTCGGGCGAACATTGTTGCTGAGGGGCACGGATTAACTATAATGCCGGGGAGTTAGCGGGTACGGGAGACAAGAGGAACCAGAAGTGCAGTTAGTGCCTGAGGCAGACAACGGAGAGCTCCAGGGGATCAATCTGGGTTGCTGTCTGCTGGTTGCACTGGCGCGCGAATAGATCACTGCCCGAGGCATTGCTGTTGGGGTATCATCGACAGATCACACTTACAGAGAATAAATAATACACAGGGGTGAATGCGGATGGAGACAAGAAACAACAGAGGGAAAAAAACGAAGCTCAACGCGAAAAGCCCCGGGAGCTGCGGCGCTTATGTAAGGGGCTATTTTTCACTCCCTGTTGGGGATACTCTAGAGACAGAGACTAACAAAGGGGAATGTTTACTCCAGATCTATACAAACTCAAGAGTGGATTCCATGCACACTGCCGTGTATGTCACGATGCAAGCAAGAACCACGACGCCTAGATGCGGTCGAGGAGGTAGTTCCAAAACAGTAAACACAAACAGGAAGAAAAAATGTGACAAAGAATAAAGTACAGAATGATATCAAGGAATCCAAAAGAATCACCATGAATGCCATGCGTGTCAGGAGATCATTTCAGCATTGTCCGCTCGTTGCCCATCGATGAGAGAAAGAGAGAGAGACGCTCAGAAGCAAACACCACACCAAGGAAACAGATTATAGATCAGATGGGAGGAAAAGAATTATATGAACATTGTGAAGGAAAGGGAGAAAAGAAGAGGAGAGGGCAGGAAACAGACTAGTTTTTAGTGCTGTCCCCATGCATGCAAGCAAGTATAGCAGCAGGTCGTGTCGTATATGTGAGTAAGAAAGATAGATCATCGGAAGTCCTCATCATCATATCCATTGGCAGCCGTGTCAAGACGATGCACAAGCTCTTTGGTCTGGCGCGCGATCTCAAATGCAATAGGCGGCAGCTTGTTAATGGCGTCCGGACCGTCAGCGGCAGTTCCCTCCAGTCGGGCGCGGCATTCGTCCAAGACCTGGACAATGGGCTCTGCGCGCTCTCGCAGAGCTTTGTCGCTGCTGCGCTCGTGAACCAGGTGCTCGGTGGAGGAGACGACGTTGGCGACAACGTCAGAAATCGCAGAGACGTGGGTCTGCACGGTGGTCAGACCGTCCTCGGCGCGGATGCTGGCGACTAGGGACTGGATGGATTGAACGAGGCCGTCGGTTTGGTCTTCGACATATAGCTGGAATAAAGCAAGTCAGTCATTTGGTTGACGCTATATCTGGAATGATCCCACCTTGAGTTCTTGGACTTCGTGGTCCTCCTGCGCGGCGCCATAGCCATTGATAATACCGTTCTGGATTGAGGAGATATGGCTATGGTCGGGGGGACTCATAGCGCTGTACTCAGAGCCATTGCTATACCGTCTTTGGCTGGCAGGGGTTTCGAAGTAGCCTTGGCCATTCATCTGCGCCACCTCGGCCTCATCATCCTCCAGCTCGGTGGCAGGCGATGCCTGGATCTTCACCGCGCGGATCAACTCCACGATAGCAATAGCCAGATGCGAAGCTGCTGCATCGAGCAACGACACAGGCGACAGGCCGCTGGAGCTGGCGAAGTTGCGGGCTGCGGTGATCATGTTGTTCGTCGTGGTAGCCACGCGGTTCTTGGCCCTGGTGCGCAAAGCGGCACTTCCGTCCACGGGGAGCGGGCCTTGGTCCACGTCCTGGAGGATGTGGCGGACGGCCACGATGACGAGCTTGATCTGGTGGACCACCACGCGCGATTCCTCGAAGCGAGCGACGCGGAGCAGCTCGTCCACGGACATCTGGAACTTGGTGACATGAACATCTCTGATCAATCCGTCCACCTGTACCAATTCATGCTCCTTGACAAGCACGCTAGCGTCAGGGCGAGAGTCAGCGATACCGCCAGACGTGGCGCGGACATGTCGTAGTTGCGCCTTCGCCTTGGCGTAGCGGTGCTTCCACTCATTGACCTCGTCCTCGAGCCGATGGACTTGGCCGGACAACTGTTCTTCACGCTCCCAAGTCGCATGGCTCTGCTCGGAGAGCGTTTTCATCTCCATGAGGAAGGTAGACGCTTGCTGCCGGACTTCTTCGGTGACCTTGCGCTGGTGTTGCAGCTCGGCTTGCAAGCTGTCGTGTTTGATCTCAAGATCTGCGTACCGGGTTGCCAACGCCGCATCCTCGGTGCCTCGGGCGGCATCTTCGATCTGGGTGCGAAGGTCACGCTCCATGACATCGTGCTCTGCGCGGACGCGTTCGAGTTCCAGTTGAAGCGAGCTATTCCGGTCCTCGGCCTGGGCCATCTTGGCCTCCAGATCCAGACGCAGTTCATCCCACTCTTCACGTTCTTTGCTCGCCTCAGATTGCGAAGCATCCTGCGACCGGGCCAGTTCCTCGTCCTTGGAACGAACCATCTCTTCCAATTTATCAATCTTCTCCTGCAATGCCGAGACCTGGGCCTGGCTATCCGCCAGGAGTCTTCTTTCACTCTCGCCAATCGTGGTGGTCGTGCCCCGTCTGCTTAGAACCGCATCCAACGCAAAGGCATCACTCCGAGCATCATCATCATCGTCCATGCCCATATCGTCACTATCTTCGACCATAGTACTTTTATTCGGAACCATCGTATTGCTTTGGAACGATCGCGCAAATGGTGCATCCCCGCCTGGCGGGCCACCTAGAGAGCCAGATCGAGGCGGAAACGCACCCGGCGGTCCACCAGATGGATATCCCCGGCCCATGCGCGAGGGGGGGGCCTCGCGACTGTGAACGACGAGGGTCTGGAGGCATACCTGGCCGGCCCCGGAAGTTTTGGCCCGTGAAGTGTGGGAACCGGCGCTCCAGCTCACAGTACACGTCGGTCGCCAGATCGCGAAATCGCTGGTGCTGTAGCGACGCCAGCTTCTGGCGGGCCTGGTTGCGCTTTTCGTGGAATTCTTTGCGCGGGGGCAGGAAAGGAGGCACATCGGGCCTGGGTGGGCGGCCCGGCGGCGGCATGGCCTGCTGCCTCCGGACCAGCTCATCGTAGACATCGGTACTGAGTTCGTGGAACTGGGTGGGTGACAAGCGGAGTAGCTTGTCTCTGGCTTTATTGGAACGACCGGGTCCGCGGTCGTCGCGGTACGAAGCATTCAGAAATCTCTTGAGGGCGGCATAGTGCTGGCCCAGAATCTCCTCCATTTGCCGATATCGTCTGGGATCGCGTTGACCGTCACCCAGCGTGCCCACGCTCGAACGTGCAGCTATCGAACTGGGTGGTGATGGGTTTGCGCTGCCTGTGGGAGGCGGAATGCTCGGGCTCAAGGGAGCGCTGGGAATGCCTTGCGAGGTTGGGGGCGTGGCGAGATTTCCTCGAGCAGAGAAGGTTGGCGAAAAGGGCGGCTCCGTCTTTTGATATTGGTTGATCCCAGACCAGTCGCTGCCATCGACGGAGACAGGCGACATGGCTCCCGAGTGACCATTCATCACCGTCCGCAGTGATATCCGGGCGCCTCTGTCCGCTCACTAGGGCTGTGGGGAGGGTTGTCCCACCGAATGCATCCACGTTATTCCACCACGCGAGTTCTCCGTGTCTCCCTCCACTGGTCAAGGTCGATCTGAAACGAGGGCGCGAGGGAGGGCCAAAGAATCGGTCGGGGGCCGTCGAAGGGGCCTGGAGGCCTGGTAGGGAGGGGAAGCGAGGGGGCAGACACTCTTTTTGTTTCGTGGTCTATTCCCCAAATCAAGATCCAAAAGAGTGACGGACTAGACTGGTGAAGGGGAGGGATGGAGGTGTAGTGGAAGAGGAAAAGACCAACAAAAGGGAGGAAAGTGTGAGTGAGATTAATTATTCTTAGTAGCGTTTAGTCCCGCCCTTACGGCTGGACCCGCTGGGACCTTTCATACATGCGACCACGATAGTGAATGATTTCTAGAACTGGCTCTGTCGAATATCTCCGTGGATAGTTTAAAGTTGATTCTACATTCCTATCGGATCAGCCCAGGTGATGCGGGATAGCATTCTTCCCATCGGCGGATCGCCAGGGCTTCTCTCCGTACGGGTATGGAAAGGGGGGCTGACCGGGGGACACAAGCCACACCCAAAGGGGCTGACCACTTCCACGAGCATCCGGATCGTGGGGGACAATGTAGAGCAGGGTAGAGCACAAGTACATACTAGTAGATATTCAATCCCTTTCTTCTAGCAGATCTCCTATCCTCCAAACACCCCAACTCAACCCCTAATCATCAAGGCGCCGCCCCTGAAAGGAAGACAGCGTGGGATCAGTTCAGGAGACAGACAGTCTAGACCCTCCATCGCCCTGAGCCCCCGGTATCGCCGCGCGGGTATCGGCCGTGTATTCCATCATACTCAATTTTTACACAAGGTACTTCCCAGGTACATCGGATCACAATAGTTGAATAATATCACACGTTTTTTCATGTTCGGGTCTACTGGTCGACCGGCGTATCTATCCCATGAAAAATGAAAAAAAAAATAAAGAAACTAAGTACACGGGGGGAGGCACAAGTCCTCGCTCGTATATCCCTCTCGGTCGGTTCTCTACCGGGAATCTCGTTGAGATACATGCTCGCTAGCCTTGACGGAAAAGAAAAGGCCGGCCATGACGAGACAACCCTAGGCTTGATGAACCAGACGGAGACATGTCGGGTATAGAAGCCCGCATGGGATGGAGGGAGAGCGAATTCAAGACCGTGTCTGGGCCCACAAGAGATATACAAGGGCCGCTCATGGAGAGCTGGTCTTATTTGGAGGTCATGGACAGTCCGCGGGCCGCGCCCACGGCGGCCGACACGGGCGTCGCGGACCGGGTGGGTGCCTGGCTGCGGTTGTGAGCCATGTGCGCCCTGACGAGATGACCGGCAGCCAAGGCAGCGCACAGGCTGAGCTCGCCGGCGAGAACCGAAGCCCCGATGATACGGGCCAACTGGCGGGCGTTCTCTCCGGGGGTAGTTGGGTGGGAGCCGCGGACGCCAAGCATCTCAAGCATGGCGCCCTGCGCTTCGAGGATGGTGCCACCGCCGATAGTGCCCACCTCGATGGAAGGCATAGACACGGCGATCTGAAGGTTGCCATTGGAGCTGTTGGAAAACGGCAGTTAGCATAGTGACCTTCGGAAGGGAGGACAAGAACCTACTTCTTCATGGTGGTGATACAATTAGAGCTCTCCACATTCTGCGCAGGGTCTTGGCCGGTGGCCAGGAAGATGGCGGACACGATGTTCGAGGCGTGCGCGTTGAAGCCGCCGACGCTTCCAGCCATGGCACTTCCGATCAAGTTCTTGCTGATGTTCAGCTCCACAAGGGCATCCACATCGCTCTTGAGAACACTCTTGACGATATCACCGGGAATGATGGCCTCAGCCACAACCGACTTGCCTCGGCCGTCGATCCAGTTAATAGCCGCGGGCTTCTTGTCGGTGCAGTAGTTGGCCGAGAGGGAAACCACAGACATGTCGTCAAAGCCGCACTCGGTAGACATGACCTCCAGTGCTTTCTCGCAGCCCTTGGAAATCATGTTCATACCCATGGCATCACCTGTGGTCGTCTTGAATCGGATATAGAGGTAGGTGCCCGCAAGCGAGGTCTTGATGGTCTGGAGACGAGCAAAGCGGCTGGTCGAGTTGAAGGCAGTCTTGATGATGCTCGAGCCTTCTTCCGAATCAACCCAGACCTTGGCAGCGGCTGCACGAGCCAGAGTCGGGAAGCTCACACAGGGGCCACGGGTCATACCATCGCCGGTCAGAACGGTGACTGCACCGCCGCCAGCGTTGATAGCCTTGGCACCTCGACTGGTACTCGCGACCAGAACACCCTCCGTAGTGGCCATAGGAATGAAATAGTTCTGACCGTCAATATTCAACGGGCCCGCAACACCAAGAGGAAGTGGCAAGTATCCAATCACGTTCTCACAGCATGCACCGTGAACCAATCCGTAGTTGTAATGCTCGTACGGAAGCTTCGAGGCCTCCACGGAGTTGGTGAACATGGAGGTAGCAGGAGTGCGGGAGACCACAGACCGGCGGATCTTCACAGCCCGAGTGAAGGCGTCGACCCGACTCATCAGGTTCTCGTTCTCCATGGTCTTCTCCAGCGCATATCCGGGGAGCTTGCCCCGAAGAGAGAGGCTGATCAGTTCCTCGTCCGCTAGCTCTGAACCGCGCTTCTCTTTTAGCAAAGCCTCACATTCTTCGGCTGTCCGGGTGGACTTCTGCCCATTAAGATCGAACTTCGGGTAGACCTTGGGAGGGGCCACTAAAGACTCATTTTGGGCCGCAGGAACCGCCTCGGGCTCCTTGATACTCCAACGTGCGGCATTGAAGAGATAACCGTTCAGAATGATGCTCAACGTCAAGGCCGCGATGATCCACTTGCTGATGATAGGATCCTCCACACTCTTAAGCAGACTCTCAAGGACGCGGCCACCGAAAGCGTCCAAGAACTGGTCGGTGTACTCAATGTCAAACGACCGGCTTTCCTCGGGCGAAGCGTAATGAATGGAGGGATATTCCAGCTTGTATTTAATCGGCGGGATGATGGTCACCACGGTTTCCTGCTTCTGGCTCTTGGCAGACACATAAACAGCGTCCAAGCCGTTCTCAGCCACCTTGAAGGGGTCGATAGGGGTGGGTGCCAGGACATTGGAGAAGTGTGAAAGGATGGCGCCATTGCCAGAGTCCCGGAAGGGGATGGCCCCCAGGTTCACGATGTTCACGAGAATCAGACCACCAACCATGAGGATCTTGAACCGGCGCACGCTGCTGGACTTGATCTTGCGTCCGAAAATGCTAGTGTCCATTTCACTGCCATCCGACGAGCTTGGCCAGTCGCTGTTCGAGGCCACATTCTCCGCCACACGGTGGGTGATGCCGTCCTCTTCCAGCGCCTTGCGCAGCGCGACGTGGCGTCTGATCCGGGTGATCTCGAGCTTGATGCAGAGAATGGTCGTGTAGAAGGTGAAGAGAAGCACACAGTCGAAGAACAGAATCCAAGCTGCGAGGAAGCAGAACTGCTGCAGTCCTCCTTGCACACCGGATACGGCACCAATAACAAGGAGGCCAATCTCGATGCAATAGTGCTGGATAATTTCGAAGCCTTGCTGGTCAATCGCAGTTGCAATTGAATCCTGGATAGACCGCGGCGTGCTGGAGGGCAGCGCCGAGCCATTGGCCCTTGAAGCCTGTCGTCGCTTGTCCACCGAAGCGTTCAGGACCGCACGGGTGAACATGATCGGCTTCTCAAAGCCAATGGTGACGACCAAGAACGGGAGGCCTTCGGAAAGCAGAAGCAGGTTGATCGGCACACCCAGCTTGGTGGTCACCAACAAACCGAACAGGAACGCAAAGGTGCCGGAGAATAGCACGGTAGCGGCCAGCCAGAAGTTTGAGCCAAGCCGTCTCATCGAAAAGAACAGCGAAACGAAGCTGAGGTGCATCGAGGTGTAACCGAGGGCCATGATGACAATGTCAATGGTCTCCGCATGCTTGATCAGGTCCACAAACGAGCTCCACGCATCGGTCAACCAGAGCTTGACAGCCCGATGGGATCCGTACGCGGGGCCACGGGCCGCTCGCATGATCCATTTCTTGGGCTCCTCTTCCTGCTCATCCGCCGACGGATCCGAAATCTCCTGCACCGACCGCAAAAAGTCGGCCACTTGGCCATAGGGCACGGTGTACGCGAGGGCAAAGTCGTAGGAGAAGGGCGAGAAGAGGTTGGGTGTGTAGGGGACTGAGTGTGCGGACACGTTGCTTGGAATGGGAATGTCGTCGGCCGAAGGCGCAGTCGACGCCGACTTGGAGATCGAGTCCGGGAAAATGAAGGTGGTCAAGGCCAGGTGCTCCGCGGTCGACTTTTTTTGGTTCGCAGGTTAGCATGTCAACCGTCTCACGGACCCCCAGAAATCTCTTACCTTTGCCTCCTCGGGCGTCCACGCATCTTCCGCCTGCCACTTCCACGAGGTTGACTCGCCCAATCGCAAATTACGACTTCCCTGAAGAAGACCGTCTGTGTCTACCTGGCCGACAATGGGGCTTCGCACGGTGTCTAACAGGCTACCTTCCAGCAGACCGACGTAGGTCGTGCTGGCCAGGAGAGCGATCACGACAATTGTGTGGATTGGGTGCACACAGGCCCGGCGAGAAATGGATTTCAGACCACAGGTAACCTGTCGCCTGAGCCATCCTGGCTCCGCTTCCCGGGTTTCCTCCACGGGCCGGAGCTTGTTGGCGATGAACTTGGTGGCCATTATGGGTCACGGAGGGGGCGTCTGTTGAAGAGGGCGTCGAGAGAAGGGGAGGGTCCTTGAGACGGTCCGCAGGGACCAGGGCCTGCGATCGGGACCGTCGAGGAGCGTTGCACGGCACCAAATGGGGGGAGAGGGGAGAGAAGGGAAGGAGAGATAAGGGAAGAAGATTAAACGGCGGGCCACATGTGGCAGAGAGCAGGGACAGCACAGAACCCCCTGGCAAAAACTGGGAAACCAACAGGCTCGAAAGGGACGACCAGTATATGCCGAGTTCGGGGAAGGACAGGAAAGAATCCACCCCTGAAGGCTGCAAAATAATTATCTCTGGGCGGGAAGAAGGTATCGCCGATGCCAAGCCTTTCACAGATGGAAAAAAAAAGTACAGGATGAAACAAGCAGGACAAATAGTCACACACCACAGAACATATATCCTTCCTTTACTCTCTCGACTGGAACCCGCTCACCATGCTCCCAACAATACCTCTCCGGAGTCCCCCAATCCGTCGAGGGTTCTTTGTCTCCTTTCCACACTCGCTAAGTTCCAGGGTTGAACTAGCACTCCTTGGGCTTAGCTGGTGGTGGCAAGAGCAAACCTTGGTTGATGGGACTTTGTCAGCCAGCACAGCCCCTGGCCGACTGTGGGGAGCACAGCATCAGATAACTAACACCGCAGGAGACGTGGTTGTCAGGAGAATATACTATTGTACTAACAGATGCAGAGTGTTGCTCCAGACCATGCTTCTGCGTTCAACCGAAACAGACAATTTACTGGGAGTGATGTGGTTGATGGCCTCGTGGAAGGTGGTCACCTAGACATGGTTCGACTACTGCTCGACAGCAACGCAGACGTCAAGATTTAGGATGAAGGTAGTCAATCGCTCTTTACGCAGCATCCACAAGGGGCTAGACAGACGCAATGGTCACATACACACGCCTCTATCAGATCGGTCATAATCACGTGATTGTTAGGCTTGCACGAGTTGTCACATAGATGTACTAGCTTTGTTTTCTTCTCTCGTCAGCCTCAAGATCCTGCATCGAATGACGCTCTGTTCATTCAAGATATGGATATATATTTATAGATGGGTGGATGGAATCGAGATGAAACACGGCAGAGTAAAAGCAAGCGCCAGGGGGTCACACGACCTGCCCGTGCCCTAACTCTACGCGCCAGGACGTTACAGGCCCAATAATACTTCGCTCCCTCTCGCCCAACGATTCCCTGAAGAATCTCATCGACCATGACATCAACCTGCTTTGGGCGTCAGGCTTGTTTGGAGTTGGCTCCAATGAGAGTCTATAGCTGCGCGGGAGATGGCCCATTGAAACACTTTTTGAAAGGGCTTGAGTGAATGAACCTCCTTTGTCCCATTGATTCGGATGAACAAAGAGCTCCATTATTCTCTATGCCATTCCAAACAGCCTGACCCTTCCTAAGCGCCGGCTCTCGATAAATACCCTTGGCTGCCCAATTTACCATGTTTGCCAAGACAGCATCCCTCGTGAAACGACGCTGGTAGTCGACATATTCAAAAAAAAACCCGCAAGGGTGTGCTTTGCTCTCGCCTGTACCAAGAACATACGCAGAGCATGCAGCTCTACAAGATCCTGGGTGTGCTTCTGCCGATTGCGATGGCCAACGCCCATTCCTGGGTGGAACAACTCACGGTCATTGCGCCAAACGGGACTTTTGTCGGTGCCCCAGGCTATGCCCGGGGGAATTATCTTCGCACCGCGCCCGGCTTCAACGACCTGACCATGACGTACCTGATCCCGCCGGACGAGGCATCCAACGTCACCCTGCTGTTGCCCAGCTACAAAATGTGCAAAGATACTCAACAGAACGAGACACAGACACCGGGGAGCCCGAGACTGCAAGCCAGTGCTGGCGCTGCGATTGCGCTTCGCTATCAGGAGAACGGGCATGTCACGCTGCCCTGGAACCAGCCCGGCAAACCCGAGAATCGCGGCACGGTCTACGTCTATGGGACCACGGAGCCCAAGGTCGGTGAGAAGCTCCTGGATGTGTATGGCAAGTGGAACGAGAATGGCACTGGCGGAGATGGACGGGGTGTGCTATTGTCGACTCAGAACTTCGACGACGGCCGCTGCTACCAGATCAACACAGGCAACATCTCCGAGTACCGCCAGAAGGAGTATCCACACGCCGCCAACCAACTAATGGGCGCCAATCTGTGGTGCCAGCAGGACATCAAGCTGCCCTCAACCGCCCCAGCGGACAGGACGTACACTCTCTACTGGGTGTGGGACTGGCCCACCTCGCCCGGCATCGATCCAATTTACCCAGACGGCAAAAAGGAGATCTACACAACGTGTATGGATGTGGATGTGGTCAACACGGACCAAACGCGCGAACAGGCAGCAGCGGCGTATGTCGAAGACCAGAATCTCGACAGCGCGGCGATCCCGTCGGAATTTGCCGACCTGGAAAATCAAAAGGAGGCAGTCGCGCAGAAGACCCACGACACGCCAATGACCGGGGCAACTGCCACTGTGACAGTGACAGAGACGGTGACAACGTTGGTTGATGTGGTCATGGAGACGGTGTTCGTCGAACGATGCCAGTCCTCCTAGGTTAGTTAGGTTGTCTACGTACAGTAATTAGGCTCAAACGGGCAGTGAAACACCATTCCGAAACACACGTGACCCCGTCTGCTTATCTAAAATCGCTGGGCTTCAATCCGCCAGAAAGACACAATCCATCGCCCGTAGTGAGCGAATCCCCGGTCTCGAAACCGTTCGTCTTTGCTCGTCCGTCCTCCTCCTGTTCGTCGGCCCTCCTCCCCGTCCTGTACAACCCTGCTTTCCGGCTGGCCGACTCTCCCATTTCGCCCTTTCCTTCAGTCCTGTCCCAGCGCCCCGTTGATCATTAACCTTTCCAGCGCAGTCGGCTGTCTAGAAGGTATGGCAATCTCCGAGCGTTCTCACCCTGTGCCCCGTCCAATCTGGTCTTGCTTTTGTTTTCATCTCAAACCTCTCCCAAACAGTCGACCACAAACTAAGCGCACGGCGTGGTTTCCATCTCTGACACTCACTCTTGCAGTTCGATTGCTATATTTAGCATTGGCCGTCTGCCCTCGCGATCGCGGGACACCAGAACCTTCAACCCGTTCCCGACCGATTCTCACCACCCAATTTCAGCGTTGCACTACACTCAGCCCTTCGCCGGCAACCCACGGCTCGTTGAACTTTCTCTTCAGTCTGGTCTGGGTACTCGGGGCTCTGTACGGTCTCACTTTCGGTGGTCGTTCGACACTTCCCCGGCAATCGCATTCAACCCCTCCTAATTACCTCGCCGGCCACCCGACCACCTTCCCGACCGCGTTCTGGGCTACACACCTTTTACCCTATATCCCTCTGGAATAGTTCGATACGGTGAAATCTCTACAGTGAAGTCAAAGGATTTGGGATCACGAAGCGGAAACCCGCCCCTTGAAAACTCCGCCGATCGCACCACACCACCAAGTCGGGCAAACCCCTTCTCGTTGAAGTTTGGACGGCTGTCCGGAAACAAAGCGCTTTTTTATTTCCGATCGCGTTCCAGCCTCCCTGACTCCGCCCGCCCATCGCGATGCGAAACTGAAGCGCCAACAACGCGACCGATGAACTCTCCTCCATCTCCCTAATCGAGACCCGAAGTGATACTCCTCGAGGCTTTGTGCTCACGAGCAACGATGTCCTCTCCAACGCCTCCGCAGAACGCATTATCTGCGAACAATCTATCCGTTCTGGCGCCCATTGTCACGGATAGCAGGGTGAGACGATCGTCGACCAGTGCGAAGGACCGGCTGTCCATGTACTCCAACGTCTCCTTCGCCTCCCAGAATCGTTCGCGCCCAGGCTCCCACGTGTTCCCCATCTTCCACTCTAGCCTTCCGTACGCCTTGGTGCGGGACTTCGCCTATCCTGCGATCCATCCTTTGCATTATGGACCGCCACCCCAGCGTGCCTCGGGAGTGTCAACACCAGTGAGCGAGCAACGACCTTTGTCGGATCCTCCGACATCATTGGATACTCCGCGAGGCCAGTGGTCGTGGAATACGGAAGGCAGCCATGTCAGCCAGGGCCACCAGCAGCTTCCGGCCATGTCCTTTGGGGACGGCCCTCCATACAGCGAGGATGAAGACTTGCACAGTCCAGTAGTCACGTCTCGCAAGAAGGAGGATGCGAATGGAATGCTAGTGGATGATCATGGCGTGGCAGAAGCCCCCGGCAATGGGAACCGCGGGACATTTATCTCCCTGAACCCGGATGGCAGCGAAACATATTATGTGAATGATGGGGGTGCGATGGAGGACGGTCCAGGTGGGGAATATGTCACGTACCCACCACGAGAAGGGTACTTTGATGGATATGCCAACCAGCAAAGCTATGCACACGACCCAAACTTTGAGTCAGAGGATGAATACATGGGCGGAAACCGATACTCGACCGACTACCAATTTGCTGTTGGGTGTCCAGACGAAGAGATGCATGGCAAGGCGGTCGCCTTGTTCGATTTCGCGCGAGAACACGAGAACGAGCTTCCCCTCACGGAGGGTCAGGTTATTTACGTCTCGTACCGGCATGGCCAAGGCTGGCTGGTGGCGGAGGACCCGAAGACCGGAGAAAACGGTCTTGTCCCAGAGGAATTTGTGCGCCTGTTGCGGGATATTGAAGGGGGACTCACTTCATTGAACGAGGAGCCAACTTCAGACTCGACCGGCATTGACATCGACCTGACTCCTGCTTCGACCGAATCAGACCAAGCCCGCACACCTACCCAGTCGATAGCGGATGATAGCCACTCTACCGACCCTGGCACAAACGGTGATACCCCTATTAGCATCTCGATCGAGAGCGCGGACCACAGCGTCAATGCCTCTGGATCAGGGGCCAGAGACCGGACCAGCAAGGCGGCTGGCAATGCTGGAAACCGGTCGAGCATGATCAGAACCTGAGCTAGCCAAGCTTTTTTGTCACTAGCGGCTTCGACCAGGCAAGAGACTAGCGACGCACCCAGCATGCATCAGAAATTTGCTCGCGTCAACCATACAGCTGCCAACGGCTCATGACCGAGTTGGCATTGACGTGGGGCTTTGCTTGTCTCTTTCCAGCCTGCGCGAAAATGTGCCATTCGCACTGTTCGTACTGACCAAATTCCCATGACTGAGACAAGTCCAAAGCCACGCCACCCGCCGATGGCAGCACGGCTGTCTCTTCGCTAGCCAGAAACTCGCCTTGAAGTCCATCCTGCCGAGTCTTCCTCTTCTTCCGATCATCTGAACACAATTTAACTCCGAACCCCAACCTTCTGCCGTGGCGCAAAACGCCTCACATGCATTGCTCCGCTCTGCTTTTTCACACCATAATACACCATCAGAGCATCTCCACCAAAGAAAGCGCTCCTCCGTCTCCCATCATCTTGAGTCCCCATCTAACGGACCTCGTACACGTCCTCATCGCTCATGATCAGCTTGATTAAAACTGACGAAATAAACGAGGACAAAAAAGATTCCCCCGCCCTTCTCTTCTCCCCCGAATTCATATTATATGTTATAACTGTCATCTTCCAACTCTCGTCCCGCAATTGTTCTTCTGACTTCTCTTCTCTTCTCTTCTACCTACCTGCGTCATGCAAATGCCTGTGTCATCTCTTTCCCTCCTCCCCTCTGATCTTTTCTACCTCAACCCTGTATTTAGCTATTCCTTCAGCGCGGGCGTTTCTAGCATCAATGAGCATCAGCGTAATGCCACTCGGATCTATGGACCGAATTTTTTATTGTTTATTCCTGATGTCGTTCTACATAGTAGTACAGTTATCAGTTTGCCATAACACGCTAATGCAAATCATCTATTTTGTGGAAAGGCTAATTTGATGCACGAATCATGTACCCCTGCTAACTTTATAGGCATTGCTGTAGAATAATGCCAGTTGCCCCCGTCCATGGTCCACATAACTCATCAAAGAGCTAAAGTAGGAAGGGGCAAAACATGGAGCTTGGGTGGAAATTACCACCTACGCAGTAAAAAAAGAAAAGGAAAAAGGATCCGTGAATTCTTGCTAAAGGGTAAAGAAACGAGTAACAAAGAAATTTTTGGGTAAACTGCTCTCTCTGCTCAAGCGGTGACAAAACAAATTCCTTTAAAAGACACGCAAAGGGGGAGATAGATAAAGGAAACGGGGCAAAAAGGGCGACAACCCATGAGAAAGGAAAGCAGGAAAAAAGGCGACAACACAGCTCCGATAATGGAGTTGCCGCATGACTGTGATCGCCCTATATCGCAAGAAACAAAAAGATGTCTGTATTTCGATCAACCAAGTAAAAGAGAAAAGCTATTTCTCTTTCGTTGCCGCTCTGCTCTGCTTTACTTCGTTTGACTCCAATGTAATAGTGTGTAAGAGTAAGTGTGCAAACTATCCAAGAAGATCATCAAGACCAGAGCTACCAGTTGACTTCTGCTGCTGCTGGCCCATCGATGGAGTAGCAGCGCTGGAGGACTGCGCGGGCGCGCCCCAGATGCCGGCGCTGGCCTTCTCCTTCGCCATGCTGGCAAGGTTGGGGCCCTTGTTTCCGGTATTGGTCTTCTGGATGCCGGCGCTGGCGCTTGCGGTGGACCAGAGCGAGCCGAAGGCGTCACCGGCAGGCTTCGCGGCGGCGGGTTTGTTCGCTGTGGCGGACGGAGCTGCCGCCGTGGAGGAGGTAGATGACGGCGCGGCTTGAGGGAACTGGGGTTGCGAGGAGCTGGTGGTAGTGGCGATGGAGGTGAAGTAGTTGGGGGTTGCGGCTTGGTAACCCGACGGCTTGGGGGCCATGGGCTTCTGTTGCGGCGCGGTTTGCGACACGGGGGAAGTGATCGAGCCGGTCGACGGCGTCGGGGTGGCTGATGTGAAGCCGACCAAGCCATTGATGTTGGCACCCTGCGACGCGGAAACAGGCTGCGGGGCGACGAACTGTGTGCTGGAGGTTGTGCTGTGGGTGGCCGCTGGGGGCGGAATGGCGAACTGGTTTGACCCGGTGGCCTGCGAGGGGGCCGGCGTTGCGGACTGGAAGTCGTCGAAATCGTCGTCGTCGGCCGGGCTAGGGTCCAGCATGCTCAGAGTGCTGCTCGCGGGCTGCTTGCCTGCAGCGGTGGAGGCGGGCGCTGGGGGTTCGTCGTCACCAAAATCGAAGAGATCCGGTACTGGCTCTGGCTTCTTGGCCTCCTGCTTCGCGCGAGCAGGAGGGCTAGCTCCTGGCCGGCGCGCTGGAGAAGCGTCCGCCTCGTCGTACTCGTCGTACTCATCGAACCGGTTTTGTCTGCGCCCAGAGTCCTGGAAGTCAGAGGGGGTAGCCCCCCAAACCCTCCGCCATCTCCGTAAACACCTCCGCTGTATCCGCCGTATCCCATGCTGTCACTCCCAAAACCTCCATAACGGCCAGAGCCCATGCTGCTTCCGACGTTCATGCCGCCTTCAAACCCACTGAACTTGTTCCGGTTGGCGCGGGCCTTCTTCCTCTCGGTGCGGATCTGATCCACATCCCCTAGCAACTTCACCAGCTCCGAGGACCGATTGCGCACGTTGATACCCTGGTCCTTCCCATTCATATCAATGTAGTGGAATTGCCGGAGCATCCGCAGCAGGGACATGTGAGATCTCGCATCGTCGACGACCCGTTCTGATCCGTTTTTGACAAGGAATTCGAGAAGTTGAAGGCTCTGTTTTCAAAAACAAATCACTGTCAGCCGATATAGTTGCGAGTCGAAAGCCAGTCGTTCCTGACGAACCTTGTAGATCTGTCTCCATTCCTCTGCAGCCTTGTCGGTGAAACGCTTGTAGATGATCGGCATGATCTCGTTGAGCAGTTGGCTGCGATAAAGTCAGTCAATGCGATACCACTCAGTACCTAAACAACATACTAGTTGTGAGTTCCACTGGCAATCTCCTGCATCAAAGTGGTCGAAGCACCCCAAGGTTCATTGTTGGTAGCCTCCCGAACCTACGCGGCGAGTAAGCAAGCTGTCGTATTCTCCCCCAAACCAAGCCCCGTCGAAACTCATGACAGACAGTAGTGGTGAGTAATGAGAGTTAGACGAACCTTGGACTCCATCTCGGTATAATTCATGACAGCTATTCAACGAAGCGGTCAAGTCAGTACAACGATTGCAATACAAGGAGAAGCCGGAATAGACTCAATCGAAGCTCATTGAGAGAGACAAAACGTACCATTCTGCACCTTGCGGACACCCGCCTTGAGATCGTACAAGGTCAGGTTGCTAACCTGGCTCTTGAGGTTGTCGAAATCCATGACGAGGGGCGACTGAAGGAAGTCTAACGGAAACGGACGTAACTCGGAAAGACGAAGAAGCTCGCCAGGCGAGACAAGTGAGTAGAGCGCACCGGCGATCGAGGTCGAGGGCAGAGAGCAATCGAGGACGGTTCGATTGTCGCGAGATTCGGGCTGGAGGGGGAAGAAGTTCCAGCTGGCCTGGTTTCCACGCGCCACAGAGTCACGTGGCAGCCCCTGACATAACCCGGACATAGTTGGAATGGTCAGTCAGCCCTACGAGAGAATTTCCAACAAAGAAGAGAGAGAGATAAAGAGTTAATTGAATGCTGTGTACATATTTATCATTTCGGATGCCCATGGGAGTCCCGAACGCTATCGCTATCGACCTGGAAACAAAAATAAAGAAGAAAATACTCAAGGTATCTAAAACAAACAGGTAACCCCGACAAGAATATCCATAAGAATGCGGCCCCCCGAATTCGTCCTTCGTCATAGCCCATTGAGAAAAACCACTCATTCATTATAGAACTTCTTCATGATCAGATGCAAGAATAGGTTGACATTGACCCGCATATGCCCGTCGAAGAAGTCCATAAACTGCATGTTGTTGAACTGGGCCTGCAGCAAGTCGTCCAACGGCACCTGCGCGTTGGCGCCGGGGATCATCATGTTGCCACTGCTGCCGTCAATGGTAAACACGCCGACCTCGTTGCTGGAGATGGTCAAATCCACGCGATCCCACTGCCGCTCGGTGTAGCCCTTCCATGAAACCAGAACGCCGCGGTCGGCCAGGGTACGAGCAGAGTACTTGTAGGACCCGAATTTGAATACCTTGCCGGATTTCTGAAGTTCTCGCTGGTGATCCCACTGCTTGGTGAACGGCATCAGGAACCGCTTCTTTCCTTTCTTGTTCTGCAGCGTGATCATCGCCTGCTCAATGTAGTCGTTGTATGTCTTGAGCTGCTGTTCCAAGTAGGTGGCTTGATCGTTCAGGCGGGCCGAGGTCAATCGGGAACCCTCCAGTTCACGTTCCCGCTGGATTCTCCGGCGGTGTTTGGTGCGAATGTCAATGGCAATGGCGTTCAGGAGGTCCTGATAATAATTGTGACGATTGATCTTGCCAGTCTGCTCTAGGCGAAGGATATTCTCGAGTGCAGTGCGCTTGAGCTCTCCGTAGTCCATTGATCCAATGTCGACCAAAGTGCTGGCCTCAGAGTAGGCGCCCCGGCGAGGATTGTTGGTATGTAGCTCTTCTCGCACCAGCGTCCGCCACCTTTCTTCATCCTCCTCCGTTGGTGGCTTGACCATGATGTCCATCAGGTTGGTACCGGTCTGGACTCGGATAATGTAAAGAATGCATCTCTTCGTCTCCATAAACAACGCCTTCACCTCGGCTTCCGGATCTGTTTATCTGGTTAGATGGCCTGTGCAACAAAGCTGGCAACTCAGAAATCTCTTACCTTCGACTTGAGCCAGCTTCGGGTTCAAGGTGAGATTGATCTCGGTTGAGCTGACGCTCATCAATTCGTTCTCGTTGGATTTCACGTTGCCAAGATCACGCACGAGATCCTTGAGGAAATCATCGGGCTGTGGGCAAATGTAGCTGATCTCGGACGCAACAAGTTGATGAATTGAGAAGATGTCCGACATCTTGATGTACAAGGTAGGCTTGGCTTTGGCGTAAAGATCGTTGAATTCGTCAATGTCGAAATACGACTCTGCATCTTGCACCGCAATCACTGCGATGTGTTAGTTTCAGTCAAAGATTGAGAATGTAGAAAAGGACGTACTCTGACCCCAGATACGTCCGAGCCGTTGGATTGACTCCCCGATGTATTGATTCAAGGGCTGAAGGTATACATTTTCAGCACCAAAGAGCCTGCCCGAGGCAACCTGGGCGACAACCTTGGAAATTTCCCCAAGGTTTCTCTTCTGTTCCTGAGTCAAGCCCCGGTCGACAACGCCGTATCTCTCTGGCTCCAGGACTGCGGGCTGGAAGTAGTTCTTCCACACCCAGAACCCGACAGTCTGGAGAATAAACCCAGGATCTTCTTCTGAGAAACGTTGGGTCAAGCATTCGTACATCTGCTGAGCAAGATACCTGATTCCGAAAGGCATGCGGTATAGGAAGTCCTCCAGAGCCGCAAAGAATTGGTCGGCAACGTCACGGAGATCTTGCAAGTGTTGAATGAAAGTCGCTCTTGTTTCCGGGTCTCGGATCGCTTCTTCTCTGGGAATGTCGGGCTGCCGACGGCTCCGCTGACCAGTCCGGAGCTCCTCGTTGTTGATCGCGGAGCGATAAATCTGGATTGGGTCGCTTTCCAGATCAAGATCGCGGTTGTCGATAATAGACTCCTTGACCACGGGTCCCATGACGTCGCGCATAAATTTCCGGTCGCGCGGGGACTTCACATATGAGCCAAAGAGCTTATTCCAGAATGAGGTGCATCGCAAGAACTCCGGAATGGATGCAAAGCTCTCGATGTCTTCTTTGGCAGACCTTGCCAGAAGTTTGACAAGATAGTACTCCTCGCGCCTCTTCTGGGAGTATCCGAAGAGACCCATCATCAAGTGCCTGATTCGCTCGTATTCCTTGTCCGAGGTGTTGACTTCGCGAAGCCGCCGGAACAGCCTGGCCAGGTACTGTGACTGGGTCTGTAGGAGAAAGAAAAAGACTTGATACTGGTCTAACTTCTTCCGCGACGTCTTGTTCAAAGCCTTGAGATCATAGGGATCCTTGGAGGAGATCTCTGTGTTGGACAGCAGATTTCCAATGTGTCCACCAAAGTGCCTCTGGTGCTTGACGACTTCATCCAGAGTGATTTTGTTCTTGACGAGCAAGGCGATCTTGATGTCAAGCTGGCTGATGTATTGCTCCGCAAGTTCGTTTTGCCGCACTTGCTGGACAACCACTTTTCGCAGGCGTTCAAACTCAATCTCCTCGTCAAAGTCGAAATCGCTGTCATTGAGAAGATGGACAAAGCCTTTCACCGTTCCAACAGGGGGGTTCTTCCCGCTTGTCAGACTCTTGTAGGCTTGACCCTGGATTCGCCCACGGATAACGCTCTGCGCCTTGATGACTTTCTCCATGTTCTCCTTGTAATACCGGCGCTTCTCCTCAAAGCGATTTCGAACGATGTTACCCCGGATGCGTGCTTGAAGATCAATGATGGTGTCTTCTTGATCTTCAAGATCGGTCAGCGTTTGACAGATCTGAACCCGAAGGATCATAGCTCGGGCCAGGGCTTGTAATTGAACAACTTCATCTTCGTTGTCCTCGAGGCGAGACAAAATGCTGCCGACATCAATGCGTAGGATTGCTGCTCTAGCAAGCGATTGAAGATCGACAACCAAGTGCTCCTGCTTCTTCAAGGCCTCTCTTTGAGCCCTCAAACGCCTCCGCTGGATCACTCCCCGAGCCTTGGATTGCAAATCCAAAACGGAATCTTCCGCCTTAAGCAATGAGCGGCGCTGCGAATCCAGGAATTGCCTCAAGGCAGTGCCTCTGAGGATGCCATGGAACTCAGTTACTGCTGATTGATGCTGGGCCAGCTGAGCACGGAGAGCTGACGTCTCTCGTCTCACAACTGCAGCTCGAGCCTTAGCTTGCAAAGCAATCAGCCCATCCTGTGTTTTTGCAATGGAGTCTAACAGCTTTGAATGGCGGTTGCGCGCTGCCAGTGCCCTAGCACTCGATTGAAGGGCTGTTATTCGGCGAGATTCATCGTGAAGTGAAGCTTTCATCTGAGACAGGCGTTGACGGGCCATCGTCCCCCGCAACACAGCCTGAAGCAGTTTGACTGGGTTATTGGCTTCCTCCACCTCCTCGAATTGCTCGGTCATCTGCTTCCGTTGCAAAGCACCTCTCAAGGCAGCCTGGAACCGCTTGATGCCATGTTCCTCGCGTCGCGCGCGACTAATGAGCACGTTGGTCTGCGCTCGAGCTTTGCAGCCACGAATCAGGCTCTGTAAGATGAGAACATCACCTTCTTGGGCCTTGCGCCACTTCTTGTCGCCTCGCTGACGGTGTCGCACAAGGAATCCCCGGCTACTCGCCTGTAGATTGACCGCAAATTGGAGCATGCTGAGTCGGTACTGGCTGATCTGACGGGCCCAATCACCGCGCAACCGACTTTGCAAATCAATCAACAGAGGTTCAAAGTCCCAGAGATCGTTCATGGTGTTTCCGAGTCGCAGCCGGAGCATCGCTCCTCTAATCTGAGATTGTAAATCACAGATTGATGCTTCATTTTCATGCATTTCTCGATCAATTCGTTCTTCCTCTGTCTCAACCAGCTCGGGCTCTGCACCAAAGTTCGCCGCCATGCCGGCAAAACTAGGCATGCTGACACCTGCTTTGTCGAGACCTTTCTGGGTTTTCTCGAGCTCATGGTGCTCAAACTCCAGCTGTCCGACGAGGTTGCCCATGCGAAAGTCTAAGAGCCCGTTCTTAAATAACAGCCAGGAGAGTGCGTGGATACAATGAATGACTTTGGGCAGGTTCTTCTTCTCGTACAGGTCGATCAGTTCGAATCGGAAAAGCTCGGGTAACTCGACCTCGTCAAGGAAGCGGAAGAACAAGGCAATGTTGTCCGAATGGCGAAATTGTAGTTTGGGGTTATGGAATATTCGAAGTGTTCGATCGGGATACATGGCTTGCACGACCTCTGCCAGAGTCACGCCATCTCGTAGCGCTTCTTCCAGTTGAACGATAGGCGGGATTTGCTTCTGGATCACCCCTTCAATCCACTCCTTGGCCTCTCCAATGTGGCACAGATATTCATAGGCTTGCAAGAACTGTCGTTGCTGGTCCATCCAGTTACCGGCGGCCCACGAGGAGGCATTGGGTTTGCGAGGGGAGGTGGAGCCACTGGTCGCGGCTGTTGAATCAGCGCGCTTCAGACGGCGTCGTCCTTGCAGGCCCACCACGGAAGGGGTGGTTGTTTGCAACGTGAATTCATCACTTTCACCCGACTGTGCAATCTTGGACAGAGTCCTGAGGTGGCGTGTCGACGATTTCTGGAAGGTCTCTAGTTCCGGTGCCGAGAGCGCGGTGGTGAGTTGCGGCGGATGGGGACTGTTGGACTGTTGCGTCTTCTGAGGCGAGTGTGGGCGTGAGGATCCCCGGTCAGGAGACCAGTGATGAGGCGAAGCCGTGTGTGGAGGCGTTTGAGGCTCGTAGGCATTTACTCTGTGGCGAGGCGACTGATTTTCCTGGAGGTGAATCTGACGCGTCTCGGGGGTGGTGGGTCGATTTTCCTTCCAGGGTTGCGATTCATCGATGGTGTGGCTTCGAGAGTGTAAAGAGCTCGGTTTCTCGCGCGCGCCATTGGGCGCTTGCTGCAGCGGTCGCAGGGACCGACGAATATTCTCGTACGCTGCGCCCGCGTTCGACCGACCTCCTCGTTCCGGGATGGGATCGGGTGGGGGTCCCATGATGCTTGCTTCACTCTTTCCCCTATAGTGACCGAGGTTGCTCTGGATCGATGCAGTTGACGAGACGGTGCTGGTCCGACTCGGCGCAAACGAACTGGACGCGAGGGAGTAAATGGAGGAGTTAGTGGATGCTGTCGACCCATGGCGCAGCGGGCTGGACGACTCTGTCGAGAAGTCTGTCTGCGCTCGCCTGAAGGAGGGGACGTGGCTTGACATCACTGGGAGCGTCGCGACAGGAATGCGATAACCGATGAAGGAGTGGCTTGCTCGATTAACCACATCCCTGCTTCAACGAGCAGAAGCTGTGGGTGGGGGATGTGTTCAGGGCCAGGTATTGTCCCAGCTCGCGACAAAAAGACGATTTGGGGTGTTGACGGAATGTGGGAATCAAGGGAGCGCCCTGCAGTGCTCTCGCAACGCGAGGGATGGAAGGGAAAGTTAGGTTGGATGTGTGTTTGGTGTAATGTGGTGGGTTGTGTTGCAGTAGCGATGGTAGAGTGTTGGAGCAAAGAGGCGCAAGAAGCTTGAGCCACCCAGTCTGTGTCGGTGTTAGTGTTGACTGACGGTGGGGGACAGTGCGACCAACGCCAACCGGTAAACAAATCTCTAGATCGGGACTAGTGCCGTCAGGTGATGCTGTCGCGTCGATCACATCGGTAGTCACGTGCTTGGTCTGGTTTTCCTTGTTTTTCCCCTCGAGAATAATCCCATCTGCAAGCATGATTGGAGATTTTCCCTCCAGGATGGGACAATGTCGGTCTGTAGGCAGCAGATATCAGTGATGATTGTGGCAATTGTGATCATTCATCAATGATGAGTAAATTTAGAGTAGCTGATGAAAGCTTATCTCTTGCAGAACTCCCGACCAAAGATATATCGCAACCACAACTAGGAGATTCCAAGCACGATGCAGATATTCCAAAATGCCCCACATCCAGTATTCTGTAATTGTAGTCATGGGGGACATAGTAGCCCAATCGCCGATTGAACCGGTAGCGAACCCCGCCTCTCTCACTAACAAGTTACTCCAAAGTCATCCCTGGATGGAGGAAGCACACATCGCTGACAAAACACCCTCTCTCTTCCTCGCCTCTCCATCATCCCCGCCAGTCTCCCCCATCGATCTGTATACTCTGATTCCCTCCCGCTGACCAATTAAAGATGGCTCTCGTCGATTCCGAGCCCCGGTACATCTACAAAATCATCCCCTCCACCTCGCCCGTCCGGGAACCGCTGCCCGAATGCCTCCCCGTGAGCGACCTCGACAAGACATCGGGCTTCATCCACCTCTCCATGGCACATCAAGTCCCCAACACCCTCAAGTTCTTCTTCAAAGACGAGCCGCTCGTGTACGTCCTGCGCATCGATTATACGGCGGTGGCTCAGGATGTGCGGTGGGAGTCTCCAGATGGCAAGGTGTGCGGGCCGCGGCCGGGGGAGGGATTGTTTCCGGTAAGGCATAACCTAGCATGCTCGCAACGGAGTTAAAATACTGAAGCCCCCAATTAAAGCATTTGTACAACGGGTTGAGGTTGGGAAGAGACCAGGTCGAGAGTATCGCTATTTGGCAGAATGACGGCGGATGGGATAAAGCATTGAATGGGGCAAAACCATGGCTCGTGTATTGACCTTTTCTTCTAATTATTCTTTTTCTTCCTCCTTCCTGAAGTTCAGGCCGGCTGAAGAGATAACGCTACTACTTCTATCTAGTCTCCAAGGGGATGACAATGCATAATCTGTCCGTCTATTCAGACATGAGCATTGTTGTTTTCTTCCATGGGCTATTTTGGGAGAGCACTTACACCACAAGGTAGATTCTGGACTCGCCAGAAAGATAAAACTGGTGGCCACCTCGCTGGGTTCACCGGGTCGACCCAGCGCTGTCTTCGTGCCCCATCCCTCCATTTCCTTGGCATCTCGAGTATCCACTTGGATGGGCGTGTAGACGGCACCAGGGCTGCGCATCCATCAGTTTTCATAGATCAAAAGAGAAAAGCATGACTGACGCCACTGCATTGACTCGAATGCCCTTGGGGATCAATTGTACTGCCAGCGACCTAGTGAAGCCGACGACAGCACCTTTCGTCGCGGAGTAGTCCACCATGCTGCCTGATCCACGGAAGGTCACGACGGAGGAGGTGTTGATAATGCTGATGCTCGTGTCAGCTGGGACTGTGATTCTGTGACCAAAGCCCATACCTATCGCCTCGGAACATATGTGGTAGAGCATATTTCGTCAACGCCATCATCTGGATGATGTTGGACCGGAAGATATCCTCGACTTCATCCAGGTCGATGTCCACAAAGTTCTTGCACATGTTCTGTTCAGATGCATTGTTGATCAGGACGTTGATATGGCCGAAGCTAGTTCTAGAGTCAGAAAGATCAACAGCAGGATTGGACCCAAGAACTTTTGGACATGTCGCTTGACTGCCTGGCAGCAAAAAGCACGATCCCTCAAGTCCCCTGCAATAAGATGGCAAGATCGCCCCTCCTTCTCAATCACACTCTTGGTGTATTCTGCATCCTCTTGCTCCTTGGGTAGATGGACGATGCTGACGTCCGCGCCCTCTCTTGCCATTAAAATGGCTACTGATCGACCAATTCCAGAACTAACGATGTGCTATTAGCCGGTGAATGTTTATCCATGACGAACACTTACTCTCCTCCCGTGAGGAGGACTTTCTTGTCCTTCAGCTTGCCCGATCCGACATATTCGTTGAATTGGCCTTTGGATTCCAGCTTGGTCGACTCGCTAGGCGGACGCATATCCTTCTCCAGCCTGACAGGTCATCAGAATAGTTCCCAGGGGCCGAAAAGTACATATGTGGTTCTTACCCTGGCTTGGGCTGACTCTGTACCGACCTCGGGGCCTTGAAGGTGCCGTGTTCGCCCATAGGAGACGCCATCTTGAACGGTATAAGGATCAAGTTATTGATAGAAAATTTAGAATGGTGAGATGACTATTTCAAGAGACACATGGCTATATTTCTGCTTATATCTAGTGAATTGGTTTATGATCATTGTGTCGTCATGCTGGTGCAAAGCCGCGCGGGACGAGGAGCCGAAAAAGACACAGTAGAAGCCTATTGGCAGCCATTTTCTTTCCAGAATCACACCGTTCAGTCGACTCGGGCAGCATTTTATACTTATGACCAATGGTTCTGATGAGGAAGGAGCAGCGGTCGTTCTTAGTAACCCTAGGAGACCATCCTGTTCCTCCACTGCGGTCAGGGTCACATCTAGATAAGTAGGTGTCCCGCGGGTTATCATGCCTTCCGAGAGTCGGTGCATGAGACACTTTATCTATTATTGCAGACTACAAGTGAACTACTAACTATGCGGGTCTAGTTAACTCTCTCTCAGCCCTCATCTAAAACCGTGACTAAGCTAACACGCCCACTTATCTGCTATCAACCAATCATAGCCCTCTCCGGTGAAAAACCAAGTGCACTAACCCCAAAGCAGCCAAGCTCCCCGCCGGGCACGGAAGGAAACCAAAACTGCCATGCTCGCACGACTTTTTTTCTTCTTCTTTCTTTTCTTTGGGAAAGCCCGTCTTTCTCCATCAACAGAAGGTTTCCCTGGCCCTGTTGATTATCCTCGAGCCCTCCATTTCATCTCTCTGGATTCCCCTATCCTTTCGTTTTATAAATAATGCCCATTTCCAACGGCGACGCTGCTCCCGGTTCCGCTATGAAGGCTGAGATTCAGGACTACACCAAGGCCTTGGAGGTCCTGGAGACGTACCCCTCCCGCGATGGTCTGGATGTCGATACCCTCATCGACTCCGACAAGCACGGTGCCTTGACCTACAATGACTTCCTGGTCCTGCCTGGTTACATCGGTAAGACCCCTCCATCGTTTTGTTTAGCGATCCGTCGTGCTCACATCTTCCCTCTCAGGCTTCCCTGCCTCCGATGTCACTCTGGACACCCCGGTCACCAAGCGCATCTCGCTGAAGGTCCCTCTTCTGTCTTCGCCCATGGACACGGTCACTGAGCACAACATGGCCATCCACATGGCTCTGCTCGGTGGTCTGGGTGTCATCCACCACAACTGCTCTCCTGAGGACCAGGCCGAGATGGTCCGTAAGGTTAAGCGTTACGAGAACGGCTTCATCCTTGACCCAGTCGTTCTCTCGCCCAAGGCCACCGTCGGTGAGGCCAAGGAGCTCAAGGCCAAGTGGGGCTTTGGTGGTTTCCCTGTCACTGGTGAGTTACCAACCTTTTTTTTTCTGGAGTCGTTGCTTGCATGATGTTTTCCATCTTTTTTCAAAATAACTTTCGTTCCACTGCAGCAACGAAAGTTGCATTGTAGAGAACCAGATTTTATCTGAGCAAGTTTGGGTTTTGTGTCATTTGTCACATTGGGGTTGATTTCACCAGAATGCTAACCTAGCATTTACAGAGGACGGATCCCTTCGCTCCAAGCTGATTGGTATGGTTACCTCCCGGGACATTCAGTTCCACCCCAACAACGAGGACCCGGTGACTGCCATCATGGCCACCGACCTCGTCACCGCTCCTGCTGGCACCACCCTGTCCGAGGCCAACGACGTCCTCCGGCAGTCCAAGAAGGGCAAGCTGCCCATTGTGGATACCAATGGCAACCTTGTCTCGCTGCTCTCCCGCTCCGACCTGATGAAGAACCTTTACTACCCTCTGGCCTCGAAGCTCCCTCACTCCAAGCAGCTGATCTGTTCTGCTGCCATCGGCACCCGTGAGGAGGACAAGCACCGCCTCAAGCTGCTCGTTGAGGCTGGTCTGGACATCGTCAACCTGGACAGCAGCCAGGGTAACAGCGTGTTCCAGATTGAGATGATCAAGTACGTCAAGAAGACCTACCCCGAGATCGACGTTATCGCCGGCAACGTCGTCACGCGGGAGCAGGCCGCCGCCTTGATTGCTGCCGGTGCCGATGGCCTGAGAATTGGCATGGGCAGCGGTAGCGCTTGTATCACCCAGGAGGTGATGGCTTGCGGTCGTCCCCAGGCCGCTGCCGTCCGCAGCGTCTCGTCCTTCGCTGCTCGCTTCGGCGTCCCCTGTATCGCCGACGGCGGTATCCAGAACGTCGGCCATATCGTTAAGGGTCTGGCGATGGGTGCCAGCACCGTCATGATGGGCGGTCTCCTTGCCGGTACCACCGAATCCCCCGGCGAGTACTACGTCAGCAACGAGGGCCAGCTCGTCAAGGCCTACCGTGGCATGGGCAGTATCGCCGCCATGGAGGACAAGAAGGCCGGCGGCAGCGCCAAGGACAGCAAGGCCAGCAACGCCGGTACCGCTCGCTACTTCTCCGAGAAGGCCAGCGTGCTGGTCGCCCAGGGTGTGGCCGGCTCCGTGCTGGACCGTGGCTCCGTCACCAAGTTCATCCCCTACCTTGTTGCCGGTGTCCAGCACTCCCTGCAGGAAATTGGTACCAAGAGCGTGGCCGACCTCCACGACGCCGTCAACAACGGCATTGTCCGCTTTGAAATGAGAAGCGCCAGCGCCATGGCCGAGGGTAACGTCCACGACCTGCACAGCTACGACAAGAAGCTTTACGCGTAAGAGCTAAGTTTGTATTGTGTTTCTGTGAATATGTTTCTCGGGAGCCCGGGATCTCCCTCGCATGAAGATACGCGGCCTTGGAAATAAAAAAAGGGGGGATATTATGATAGGATAGGAGTTACGAGCGTTACGCAATCAATCAATCAATTCTGGCTATGAATTCATTTAATCTCTCAAGAAATGTAGTTGTAGTCGATATGCTGTCGAGCACATGGTTCGGCTAAGCCGGCGCGGCAGAGGCGGGGGGGATTCTTAGCCTAGGCTGTTTGTCGGCTGGGCCAAGGGGACGGATCTATGGCCCTGCCACAGCTTCGTGGTCAAGTCATGCCCGGCCTGTTTCATCACCACGCGCTTGTTTGCAGTCGCCGGATCGTATTCACAGTAGACGTGTTCTCTCGAGTGACTGTGTCTCGTCATTCCTTGCATCACTGGCCATCTCAGCGCTCCACAACCATCGGACCGATCTGCCCGCGGAGAACGTATTCCACAGGCTCAGAACCAGGTCCAACACCTCAAACCTCCACAATGCCGCGCGCAAAAAGCGATGGCGCCGCGAAGAAGTCGCCCGCAGTGCCGCGTCCCAGTTCGAGGTTTGTCGTTGGCGTCATCATTGAGATACTTTGCGATATATCATGAGCAAGTAACAGCTAACTTGTGCCCAGTGTGATCCTCGTCTCCCCCAAAAACGAGATTCTGCTCCTTCACCGGGTGCAGACATCCAGCTCTTTTGCATCTGCCCATGTGTTTCCGGGCGGTAACCTGTCCAGCCAGGATGGAGAATGCCCGCCTCCTGAGGCCCGGACGCGGCACGATGATGCTCCTTGCTACCGACGTGCTGCGATCCGGGAACTCTTCGAGGAGAGCGGTGTTCTCCTCGCCAAAGATGCAGGGTCGGGGAAGATGATCGCTGTCAACGAGGAGGCGAGAGAAAAGGGCCGGCGCCTCATTCATCAGAATAAGATTAGCTTTGCGGAGTGGTTGAAGCAGCAAAACTCGGCTGCTGTGCCGGATATCGGTTTGTGCTTTCGCGGCGTTTCTTTACAGAATGCCGTTGCTAATGCCCTATACAGATAAATTGATTCCATTCACTCATTGGGTGACCCCACCCAACGTGCCGAAACGGTATACCACGCAAATGTACCTCTACTTCATGCCCCTGCCCGTCAACGTGGACGAAAGCCTACTCAAGCAACTGCCCTCCGAAGGTGAACGCGACGAACTGCAAATCCCCACCTCAGACGGCGGCGTCGAGGTAACAGAAGCGCAATTCCTGCCCGCCTCGGAATGGCTCCGACGCGCACGCAGCGCGGAGATCATTCTCTACCCACCGCAGTTTCTGCTCCTGCACCTGGTCTCGGAGTTTCTAGATCAGGAGCCTCGGGCGAATACTTCCGTCGAGGAAATGGAGAAGCGCCGCACGGCGCTGGTTGACTTTGTGCATTCGGGCTCGCCGCCTTGGACAGATAAGTTCATCTCGCCGAAGATGATCACTATGACGGAGGATGGACGCTCCGTTCTGGGGCTAGATGATTCTGGACTTGAACTTAAGGGGTTGGGGAAGCAGGGCGAGTCCGAGAGGGTTGTTACGGTGCGGTTTACGAAGGGGAGTGTTAGAGAGGTGAATGTGGGCTGGAGGAAGGAGGTGTTGCGCGAGGAGCGGGAGAAGAGTAATTTGTAGATGCTCTAGATTTTCTGTCTATCATTAGCGAGATAATCTACTGTAAATATGGCCAATACATGTCTATATCGGAGAAATACTTGGAAATGGTGGAGCACTATTGCCACGGCCTAATATAGGGTTTATCGTAAGGCCACTCACTCCCGCTATCGCTACCGCCAGCCCTCGACAAAGATCACATGACCCACACAAATCCATTTCCAGTCGGATTTTCATGTTCAGCGAAACCCTCCACCTCCAACCTCACCGTCGCCCAAACCCTCTAACACCCCCCAACCCGCCAAAATGGAGAACGAGAAGGGAGAGATCGTCGATCTGTACGTTTTCCCTGCTCCTTTTTCGCTGCGATCGAAATCTCTGTGTCGCTCCGTGTGTCCTGGAAATCCTCCCCCGTTGTCCGTCCGACACTCCAGCAATCTCTTCGTCGCACCAGGCCGGACTGCAAACCACAGCGCAACAAATACCGACAAAATCAATCCTTGCGATCTGTCTTGCGAGCAACCGGAGTTGTTTTTCAGGACACAATCGGGACATTGAAGAGAGACATCGAAAATTCAACTCGAACACAAACTAACCAATTCCCACTCATAGCTACGTCCCCCGCAAGTGCAGCGCCACCAACCGCATCATCAAGGCCAACGACCACGCCTCGGTCCAGCTGTCCGTCGGCAAGGTCGACGAGAACGGCCGCTACACCGGCGAGAACCAGACCTACGCCCTCTGCGGCTTCATCCGCGCCCGCGGCGAGAGCGACGACTCGTTCAACCGTCTCGCTCAGCGTGATGGCTACCTGAAGAACGTGTGGTCTGCCAGCTCCCAGCGGTAAATGTTTTATCTTTTTACCCTGTGGTGTCGGTGTTAGATGGTTGATGTGATGGTGAGTTGATAACCAGCTCCCTAGATGAGTTCCCGGACTAACGTTTTTTTTTATTGGATAGACGAATGTGACTCGATGGTCGCGTTCAGGGAGTTGGGATTTTTAAAGTGAAAAAAACAATTGGGACAGAGGGATACATCCAGTCCCTTCTTGGTCTCGTTTTTTTAACTTCTGTTCTCCTACTTTCCTCTATCTATCGAAATGAAAATCGAATGGACGACTTCAAAACCAAAAATAAACACTGGGGCCAGAATACCGGTCCTCTTTTCTTATTTTCTGCATATCGGCACATCAAGGCTTCCTCACCCAAAGTAGACTCGAGAAGACACTCCGTTTTCTCCGATGTCAACTTATCTTCCATGAGCGAGGAGGTAGAAACGTAACTTGCCGAATATTAAGTCCCCGCCTTCTGATGAGCCACTGTTGCAGAGATTCATGCACTGGGGCACAGATACGGGTGGGACATTTCTGCCACTAGTACTACTGTTGTAGAAGCTGCATAGATCTAGTGCATGTTCTTCATTTCTCCTCGTCGATCATTGATATGCAATCCCGTCGTCTCCTACATGAACTCGTAAACATGCAGAAACCCTGGCGTGATAAAACTCCAGAACCTCCGCAAGCAAGACAGAACAAGAAACAGAAATTTTTTCTCTATAAAGTGACCCCCCAATTGCACAGATTCAATTCTTTTCCAGACGAACGGCAGGGTTGCTTTCGATGAAGTTGAGATCGACCTTGTGGCCGAGGAGCTCACGGATATTGTTCACGCCGTACCTGTGAAACCAACGTGTTAGTACGGGACACGATAGTATAGCAGATAAAAGAGAACATACTTAATCATAGTCGGTCTCTCCAAACTCAGACCCCAGCCGTAGACTTGCATGTTCTTCGGCAGGCCCATTGACTCCAGCATCTCTGGTCGGAACATACCACTGTTACCGATCTCCACCCATTTACCCAGACCCTCGTGGTAGCCGAAGATCTCCATGCTCGGCTCGGTGTACGGGTTGTATGCGGGCTTGAAGCGCAGCTGATGGATGCCCATCTTGGCGAAGAAGACTTCCATGAATCCAATCAGACCACCGAGCGTCAGCCCAAAGTCCGCAATCACACCCTCGATCTGGTGGAACTCTGCCAGATGGGTAGCGTCGACGGCCTCATTCCGGAAGACACGGTCAATACTGAAGAAACGCGCCGGCCGCGGGTTGGCAGCCAGCTTGTGCAGCACGTACGACGAGACGGAGGTGGTGTGCGTGCGGAGCACCAGGCGTAGGGACTCCTCCGCGCTCCAGGGATAGCGGTACCCGATAGACCCGAATTTACCGTGCTCGTGCACTTCCCGCACGTTGTCCCAGTACTTTTTATAGTCGAGCGGCGCGTCTGTCGTTGCTTTGGAGGCGGGCTGGGTCGACTTGGGGCGGTGGGGGTCGTCGAGAGGATCTTCACGCGGAGGGTCTGAGGTGGCCGGGTCGGCGATGTAGAAAGTATCCTGGAGGTCGCGGGCGGGATGTTGCTGCGGCACGAACAGCGCATCGAAATTCCAGAAGCCGGTCTCGACATAGCGGTTGGTCGGCATCTCCTCGAAGCCCATCTCGAAGAAGATATTACGGAATTCCTGCCGCACCTTGTTCAGCGGGTGGAAAGCACCTGCCGGGGTGACGGCACCCTTGGCGTTGAAGTTGTAGGGCTTGAAGGTCGCCGTCTTCCATGAGCCGTTGGCCAACATCTCGGGAGTCAAGTCGGTCTCCTCCTTGACCATTTCCCGGGCGTACTTGGGCCCCTTGGAGACCTTGTAGGTGATGACCTTTTGAAGAGTGATTAGCTTCCTCCGCTTGAGATCCGTGATGGCTTTGGCGTCGTCGAGGGTCTGGGTGCGTTGGATGGTGAGCAGCTGCTGTTGCGTCTCGTCGACGATTTTGTCGGTGGTTGCGCGCAACAGGTCCTTGTCCTTCTTGATCCAGCCGCGCTTGAAGGCATTGCCCTGGCCAACCTTGGCGTTATCCTTACCCACCACTGCGGGCAATTCGGTGATCTTCAATCCGTCCATGGCGGCGAGAACGGCCGCGAAGACCTTGGCCTCGTGAGAGCCATTGGTCACAATCTCCTGGCCCTCCGGAGTGAGAACAAAAATTTCCTTGTCATTGGTCTCGTACTGGACCATCTGCCGCGAGGCTAGACGGTCCAGCGCACTTTTGACGATTGCTGAGGGGGTGGAGGGGAAGAGTTCGGTGGAGGGAATGGGCGCATCGGACGCGGACAGAGCGTCCAGGACGTGGGTTGTCATGTCATCGGACGCCATGGTTGCAGCCGTTGCCTGCGTGCTGTGGCGACGAGGGCTGGGGGAGAGAGAGAGTCGGAGAGATGCTGGTGGATGCCGGTCGTGGAAATTGTGACTCTACAAAGAAGGTGGCTCGGCGGATCATAGGGACCAAATGTGCATTTCCATTGACTGTGCCCGCGGATGTCATCTGTTTGTTTCTCATCACCTTCCATTTATATTGGGGGTTCTTTTCAAGAATAGCAATGTTGGCCTCGTAAGACCGGATTGTCGAATTGATGCTGAGACAGCCGATAATCTGTCTCTTGTTTGTAGTGGCCTTACCCGTCCTCGATATTGTCTATTTGTATCGACAACTTCAATAACTCTGCATTTCTATGGGCTGTTGGATGTAACAAATCCAGTAGTTATTGCATCTACTCTATGTTTGATTGTTCAAGTCAAGTGTAATGCAGACCCTATAAAATATGGAATGCATCCTGTTCTCTTGCAAGAATTGTCAATGCCACATCAAGCCTACGTTAGGGAAGAGGTCACTGAATAGTACGAGCCTCAAAGCTTTGCGAGTTTGTCTGACCCTCGTGTACCCAAAGCGCAGGATTCTCCCCGATCTCTTCTCATCTCACCTGTCAAGTCTTCTTTGATTGTTACATGAGAACCGTTGACAAGGTCTAAAAGGTTACAGTTGGACTAGAACACCCGCAGGCAGCAAACATCATATCAAAGCAGAGCTATGGAACATTGCATTGCATCTCGCCAATCTCGATGTTGTTTGCGTCTCCCTAGAAAACTCGTATTGAGACATCACTATAAAGAACTCGCTCTAGAGAGAAGTCGTCGATGTCTGGACTTGGCTGGCTACGCAGCTGGAGGCGAGAGTAATCAAATGAGAAGAAAATTTAGCCCGGATATCGCCTACATGTCAAGTCATGACAAGTATGACCACCGGGTGATATTTTGGAGTGAGACAAGCTTGTAAACCATACCACTCAACAAAAAGCCATATGCCATACAATATAGTGCATTAAGTATAAAGGAGAGTCTGTGGCATTGTTGAAGGACAGTATTCGTTGCCTATCATTCTCTTCAAGTATAGCTCGAGCAGTTACTCCGCCATGAAGTTTTCAGTACACTATGGAATTTGGGCTCTCGGAGCGCTTTCACTCCCTCCGACGGTCGACTCTGCGGTTCTCATTCAGCCTACCATCATGATCAATGCCGCTGGTATCCATGTCTGTGGCTCCCTGCTGGAGAGACTTGCGAAGGTCACTAGTTCTCAAGAGGAGCTGAAGATTCAAGACCAGATCTACGTTTCTTGCACTCTAGACCATTATACTCTCGGACAAGTTTGTGGTAAGCTCCTTCTCCTGCCCAAACCCAGGGAACCTAGTCCTGACTGTAGCAATGTACCGAAGCTGGCGTTACTTGTACGGTATATCTTGAAGAGCTTTTCTTTGTATGTCCGTAAATAGCTGTACTACCAGGCAAGCAACTCTTAGGATGTAAGCCGAGTAGTATTGCTATTTCAATTGTTTGCGATTCTTGGCAATTTAAGTACCTTACCAATACCTTGCAATGATAGTCGTGTTCTCTTGTGTTTCTGTAACAGAATGCATAGCAATGCCATCTACATGTTTTACAAATATGTCCCACCTCCTTGCACAATGTATATTATCGCTCTGGGTGAACTTGCCGAGAGTTTAAAGCCACTACCCTGGCCAGCATGTGAAGCAGCATATGTACCGAAGGCACCGCTTAATGCAATGGAGAAGGTGAAATAGGTCAAGCCCAGTCGGGCAACCAAAGGCAAACGTCTAAACTCTGCAAGTGGGATCTTTTTCATATCCAGTCATATTCTTGGGTACCATTTCCATCCGACACAAGTCTCGAGGAAGTAACCACAGCCTTAAACTCATGTCTTGGCTTGATGTCGGGTTATACAATTACTTCAAATATTTCACAATGCTACCCAAACATAAACTGAATTGCACAGTTGAGCCCATTCAAGTACAACCCGCCTGCGCTATAAGAAGTTCAATATCTGCCTTTGTCTGTTCGTGAAGAAGACAGTACTATCAGGCTCCTAATATTCTGTGATATACATCAATCTTGTTCAGTTCGAAAGAAAAAACAGATCTGTCAATATGAAGTTCCAATCGTGGCTGGGAACCCTTCTCTTCGTCGCTGCTTCTGCGAATTCCATGGCACTTCAGGGAAGCCAACTCGAGCCTCTGATCAAAGTGCTCAGCTCGCATATCTTGAACGATCCCCTCGCGGATCCCAATATCTCTTGCAACGTGACCTATACCTTCGTACTTGGTAAGTTGCTATCGTCCACGAAAGGGCCATATGAAAGACCCTTGCTAATCTGGAAATCAGGCACGACTGGGCCCCCATACTCCATCGATCTAGCGACGTTAGATATTCATAACTGCACTTTCAGCTCGCCCTGAGCGGATAAGAACTCGAAGATCTCGTGTTGGGTACTGGGTTTCAACACTCTCACTCGCCGAGTTTGGGGAGGTAGTGGTTCCCTGATGGAAGCTCTATGATGTGACGATTGTGGGCACTATTCAACATATGCTCGAAAGGAAGCAATGGAAAGAGTTCTCAGAGCTCAAAGCTGCCGATTCCGCACTTCGTAGATTGTAGAGACCGTCCTCCATCAGATCTCCCGCTCTGCGAACCGTGTAGCTACAGCCCTAACCTCTTCCTGTGTATCGAATGATCCCTCTTGCCGTCTAGGCATTGCGTTCTCTTCAACTCTCTTAAGGTCCTAGTCTATTATTCGGTCTAGGGTTAGATAATAAGTCCGTCCGTCCGTGAAATCACAAGTAATAATCCGAAGGAACAACTAAAATCCCCGCAAAAATCGATCGGTGCTTACCTAACGGCCTCCTTTCTTCGCGGTGAACCATCATCCATGAGTGATTTCACTTGGTTTTCATTCTTCTACTTTCTCATCCCCTGCGTCCTCCCCCGATGTCGCCATAAGTGGCCCGCCCGATCATTTGTGTCTGGATCCCGACTAGCCGGTACGTGTGTCTGTTTCTTACCTGCCCGCCTGATAGCCATCGAGTCCCTGCGACTGGTGAACTCCTCGCTATCTCTTCCCGCCTTTTCCCCCCCTTTACCACCAAACTCTCGGATCCATCCATCCATGGGTCCCGCTTCATCCCCTAACTTCCACCCTCCCCCCTCCCCCCTCCCCTCCCCTTTATTCTGTTTCCCTCCTTCATTCTCATCTATCGCTGTGTCCATGTTCCACGACTGATCCAGTGCAGGGCACCATGGCTGCCGCGGACGAAACTCTCGCCGCCGCGACGGCCGTTCTTCAGAACCTGGCGAGAGAGGAGCCCACTCCGGGGTCTTCATCACCCCCATTTGATTTTCAATTTCCTGTGTCAAATGGCACAAAATCTGCAAGATTGCCCGGAGACCCAAGCCCGGCAAAGGCAGCCTTTGAGTCTGAACTGGAGGCCTTGGTGCGCCGGGTGCACCATCTGGAATTCCAAGCTGTCAGTCACCAAAAGTCCCCCGACGTTTCCCAACAGGGATCGCCGCCTGCTTTTGGACCCAACGAGCAGGCGCCCGATTTCCTGCGGACCTTTGGGCTCTTTCGCTTGTCGTCCGATCTTGGTTCTGACTCTTCTTGCCCTACACAGCAGCAACACTTGAATCAACCCGGTCGGCGACAGCGAACTCCTGCCCCTCCCGAAGAACACCACTCGACGGTCGAGGTTGATGAAGACGAAACCGAAGACGAGGACGAAAATGGGACGCGGACCCGCGTAGTCCGCGAGGAAGACATCAGTTTTCTCCGCAACCATGTACAGAAACAAGCCGAGGAAATCAGTTTCCAGAAGGACATCATCGCCCAAGTTCGAGATGAGCTCCAGACGCAAGAAGAGCGCACCCGGCGCGCCTTGACTAAGGTCGAGAACGAAGATGTCGTCCTCCTCGAACGAGAGTTACGCAAGCATCAGCAGGCCAACGAGGCTTTCCAAAAAGCTTTGCGGGAAATCGGCGGCATCATCACACAGGTTGCCAACGGTGATCTGTCGATGAAGGTGCAGATTCACCCGCTGGAGATGGACCCGGAAATCGCTACTTTCAAACGAACGATCAATACGATGATGGACCAGCTGCAGGTCTTTGGCAGTGAGGTGTCTCGTGTGGCCCGTGAGGTCGGAACAGAAGGAATACTTGGTGGTCAAGCCCAGATCACTGGCGTCCATGGTATCTGGAAGGAACTCACGGAGAATGTCAACATCATGGCCAAGAATCTGACGGATCAGGTGCGAGAAATCGCGGCTGTCACTACGGCCGTCGCGCACGGTGATCTGAGTCAAAAGATTGAGAGCCGCGCTCAGGGCGAGATTTTGGAACTGCAACAGACGATCAATACCATGGTAGACCAACTGCGAACCTTTGCTACGGAAGTGACCCGAGTCGCGCGTGATGTTGGTACAGAAGGTGTACTTGGCGGCCAAGCTCAAATTGAAGGTGTCCAGGGCATGTGGAACGAACTCACTGTTAATGTCAACGCCATGGCGAACAACCTGACTACTCAGGTGCGAGATATTGCTACGGTCACTAAGGCGGTGGCCAAGGGTGACCTGACGCAGAAGGTGCAAGCCAACTGCCGAGGAGAAATTGCAGAGCTGAAAAACATTATCAACTCCATGGTGGATCAACTGCGGCAGTTTGCTCAGGAAGTGACGAAGATCGCCAAGGAGGTCGGTACAGATGGTGTCCTAGGTGGTCAAGCCACTGTCAACGATGTCGAAGGCACATGGAAAGATTTGACGGAGAACGTCAACCGCATGGCCAACAACCTGACTACGCAAGTGCGTGAGATTGCAGATGTCACTACTGCAGTCGCAAAGGGCGATCTGACCAAGAAGGTCACCGCCAACGTCCAAGGAGAAATCCTGGATCTGAAGAGCACCATCAACGGCATGGTGGACCGATTGAATACGTTCGCTTTCGAGGTTAGCAAGGTCGCCCGAGAGGTCGGCACAGATGGTACCCTTGGCGGACAAGCCAAGGTCGATAATGTGGAAGGAAAGTGGAAAGATCTGACCGACAATGTCAACACCATGGCCCAGAACTTGACTTCACAAGTGCGGAGTATTTCCGACGTTACCCAGGCCATTGCAAAGGGTGATCTCAGCAAGAAGATTGAAGTGCATGCCCAGGGAGAAATTCTAACCCTCAAGGTCACTATCAATCACATGGTGGGTCGACTCGCTAAGTTCGCGACTGAACTGAAGAAGGTGGCCCGCGATGTCGGCGTCGATGGCAAGATGGGCGGACAGGCCAACGTCGAGGGTATTGCTGGAACCTGGAAGGAGATCACGGAGGATGTCAATACCATGGCCGAAAACCTGACCTCCCAAGTGCGCGCGTTTGGTGAGATCACTGATGCTGCCACGGACGGTGACTTTACCAAGCTCATCACGGTCAACGCCTCTGGCGAAATGGACGAGCTGAAGCGCAAGATCAACAAGATGGTTTCCAATCTCCGAGACAGTATTCAGCGAAACACGGCAGCCAGGGAAGCAGCTGAGCTGGCCAACCGCACGAAATCCGAATTCCTGGCCAACATGAGTCACGAAATCCGAACTCCGATGAACGGTATTATTGGCATGACGCAACTGACGCTTGATACGGACGACCTGAAGCCATATACACGGGAAATGTTGAATGTTGTTCACAACCTGGCGAACAGCTTACTCACGATCATCGACGATATACTCGATATCTCGAAGATCGAAGCCAACCGGATGGTCATCGAGAGCATTCCATTCACCGTTCGGGGCACCGTCTTCAATGCATTGAAGACATTAGCGGTCAAGGCCAACGAGAAGTTCCTCAGTCTGACGTATCAGGTGGACAACACCGTTCCCGATTATGTGATTGGAGACCCCTTCCGTCTGCGCCAGATCATCCTTAACTTGGTTGGCAATGCCATCAAATTCACCGAGCATGGAGAGGTCAAACTCACCATCCGCAAGTCCGATAGGGAGCAGTGCACTGTCAACGAGTATGCTTTTGAATTCTCGGTCTCTGACACCGGTATTGGTATTGAGGAAGATAAGCTGGATCTCATCTTCGACACCTTCCAACAAGCCGATGGATCAACTACCCGAAGATTCGGTGGAACCGGCTTGGGTCTCTCCATCTCGAAGCGTCTGGTGAACCTGATGGGTGGTGATGTTTGGGTTACTTCTGAATATGGACATGGAAGTACATTCCATTTCACCTGCGTGGTCAAGCTCGCCGATCAGTCTCTGAATGTCATCGCCAACCAACTCCTGCCGTACAGGAACCACCGTGTTCTGTTCATTGACAAGGGCCAGAACGGCGCCCAGGCGGCCAACGTTATGAAGATGCTCAAGAAGATCGAGTTGGAACCGTTGGTTGTGCGGAATGAGGAACATGTCCCGCCACCGGAGATTCAAGATCCCTCTGGCAAGGAATCGGGCCACGCATACGATGTTATCATTGTGGACTCTGTGGACACTGCTCGGATTCTGCGGACGTTTGATGAGTTCAAGTACATTCCCATCGTCCTGGTTTGTCCCTTGGTCTGCGTGAGCTTGAAGTCTGCCTTGGATCTGGGTATCAGCTCGTACATGACCACGCCCTGCCAACCGATCGATCTTGGAAACGGCATGCTTCCGGCACTGGAAGGACGCTCGACACCAATCACCACGGACAACTCTCGTTCGTTCGATATCCTTCTTGCTGAGGATAACGACGTGAATCAGCAGCTCGCCATGAAGATTCTCCAGAAACACAACCACAATGTCTACGTTGTTGGCAACGGCCTGGAAGCCGTGGAAGCCGTCAAGCAACGTCGGTACGATGTGATTCTCATGGATGTCCAAATGCCGGTCATGGGTGGATTTGAAGCCACCGGCAAGATTCGCGAGTACGAGCGGGAGAGCGGGTTCCAGCGGACCCCGATCATCGCGCTTACGGCCCACGCCATGTTGGGTGATCGCGAGAAGTGCATCCAAGCCCAGATGGATGAATATCTTTCGAAGCCGCTCAAACAGAACCAGATGATGCAGACCATCTTGAAGTGCGCGACGCTTGGTGGCTCGCTGTTGGAGAAGAGCAAGGAATCCAGAATCTCAAGCAGTGGAGAGATGCATCCGATCCACTCATCCGCTCCTGAAAACAATCAGAGCCAACAACGGACAAATCAGCAGCTGAAAATGGAGCCGCTGCCAGACCCGCGACGGCCTGCTGCAGAGACTCGGGCCGTTACCACGGGTCCCGTCACCCGAGGAAGCGCTGCTAGTCCAAACGGAGGCAAGGACGAAGAAATGATTGATGACCGGGTACGTTAGCGCGTATGTTCTCGAGGATAGTCGAGTGCGTGGTTGACCAGACCGGCTAATTGTTTTCGTGTCGCGCAGGCCTTCCTACGATCCAACAGTACTTAGAGTTGGTTGCGTACCATCATCCTTCTTCCTTTCTTCCACATCTTTCTTCATCTGCAGATTTGTCAAATGGTTTTCGACCTGGCCTTTGATTCCCTGTCTATACGAGTGATTCCCTTCTATCATGGTCATTGAACTGACCCCATCCCGGGAGAAGATCTATATCCTGTCTGCTTCCGCATCTTTTCATGTTTTTTATCTACCTCCCTCGCTCCCTACCTACCTGACCTCATCATCGGCAGTCAAAGCATGGCCTTCGACTAGCCCCGCCTCTCTTCCATTCTTTGCATTCGCATGTTCTGTTTCTTCTTCGGTGGATGGCGTTTGGCGCTTGCTGTTTTTTGACAAGACATTGATAGGTCTAGTCTGGTTTAGGCTGTTAGGAGGTCACTACCGGGGGAGCTTTAACTGAATGGGGAGTTTTTCTACTGTCTAAAGGACTATTTTTGTGTGTCCCTGGGGAATCTATTGTATTTTCCCCCCTATTTTCACCTACCAACTAGTCCTCACTCTCTCACATCCGCCTCTTTGGAAACTGTCGTTCCCTATCGTTCCTTTATTCGTATTGCACCTCTTTCCTTGTCCCTGCTCTGCTCTTCGTACTGAGGGTTATATTCGCTCAAGGTTGTTCCCCGAGGGTCCGGGACAATTTTTCCTTTCCTTTTCCCCCGGAGGAAATATTTTTTACTTCCCTTGTGTCAAGACCGATCTCCCTTCTCCTTGAATCCCTGGTGGATGGACTCAGATTGATCTTTAGTCCTTTTGTTGCAGTTCGGGTTCTCTTAAAATCATTTATTCCCTGTGGACATCAAATCCAAAAGCCAAAAGCATCAGCAATCTCATTATCTATTTTGCCATTCCATATCTCCATGTCCGCAGCCATGATAAACAAGCTATATCTCTGCCCTCAATCTGCCCTCAATCGTATTAAGCTTCACACACAAGCACACACAAACGTTCAAGCAATTCACCTCCTCACACCACAAAATCCATTATACCCGATCTTAACCTGCGGACAGGAATAAAACGAAATCTAACCCCGATCCCGTAGTCGACGGAATTTAACTGGCATTGCCCCATTCGAAGTCGTAACCACCTCAGACAGCGGAGTCGACAAAGGCTCAGTGGTATTCAGGAGACTGGTCGTGTTCGTGAAGATGCTGGTGGTCGTATTGGTGAAGAGGGCCGTCTCATTACCCACAACTCCGCGACGCACGACACCGGGGGTGATCAATGGTCTGCCCGGACTGACAGTGGCCTGAGCTACGGATAAGCTTTCGCCAGCTCCGGCACGAGCACCAGTTACTGCCGACGTTTGGAGTGTCAGAGGCGTGCTCGATACCTCGGTTCTCGTGCTGGGACCAGCACCACCGCCGATGGGGGTCAACGGGGTCGATATTCTGACTGTTGGAGGAGTGACCCGTTCGCTGGAAGAACGTTCCACGCTGGTGTTGTTGCCTGGACCGACTGGGCGAGATGATACCGGAGCGCTGAGTCCGACTGGAGGTGCGGACAAAGATGCAGCTGCACCCGCACCTGCACCGCTAGGAGCGCTAGCTTCAGCTCTAGCACTAGAACCGGCTCCGGCTCCGGCTCCCCCGGGAGGCGAGACAGCAGGAGGAGAGACAACAGGAGGAGAGACAGCAGGAGGAGAGACAGCAGGAGGAGAGGCTGCAGGAGGAGCTGCAGGCGGACAGCTAGTGACGGTGACAGTTGTCGTGACGATGACTGAGGGACAAGCCGCACACAGAGAGGCAAACGAGCCCGGGCACAGTTCAACAGATATCGGTGTCGACTGCGGGACGCTGTTCATCACGGCTGGAGTAGATGCCATGCCACCAGCTCCGCCGCCGCCAGGTGCAGCTGCGCCCAAAGGACTGACATGGCTAGATGCAGCGCCTCCACCACCAGAAACACCACCGCCAGGAGCACCACCGCCAGGAGCACCACCACCAGGGGCACCACCACCAGGGGCACCACCACCAGGGGCACCACCACCAGGGGCACCACCACCAGGGGCACCACCACCAGGGGCAGCTCCTCCGGGAGAACCACCACTGGGAGGAGCACCGCCGCTGGGAGGAGCACCATTGGGAGCACCAGCAGGACCACCTGGAGCACCACCTCTAGGGGCGCCACCGCCGGGAGCACTAGGAGCACCGCCGGGACCACCAGGAGCAGCTACACCTGGAGCACCGCCGCTAGTAGCACTGGGAGCACCGCCCCCAGGAGCACCACCGCTGGGACCACCGCCGGGACCACCTGGAGCACCACCACTAGGAGCACCACCACTAGGAGCACCACCACTGGGAGGAGCACCACCGCTGGGAGGAGCACCACTGCTGGGAGGAGCACCGCCGCTAGGAGGAGCACCGCCGCTAGGAGGAGCACCGCCGCTAGGAGCACCACCACTGGGAGGAGCACCACCGCCGGGACCACCTGGAGCACCACCACTAGGAGCACCACCACTAGGAGCACCACCACTAGGAGCACCACCACTAGGAGCACCACCACTAGGAGCACCACCACTAGGAGCACCACCACTAGGAGCACCACCACTAGGGGCACCACCACTAGGAGCACCACCACTAGGAGCACCACCACTAGGAGCACCACCACTAGGAGCACCACCACTAGGAGCACCGCCGCCAGGAGCAATAGGTGCAGCCGTAGCCTGGCCGGCTTGAGTAGCTTGGGCCGCAGAAACTTCAGAAAGGAAAGAGCTAAGAGCAGCTGGACTTCCACGCTCCTCCAGCATTGCGCGCTTCTCCAAAATTGCGCGCTCGTCAAGAGGGTCCAGGCTTGTGTCCTCAGATGCGGGAGGCACTGCCCGAACACTCTGTAAGAAGGCCCAGGACGTGGCCAGTAAAACTACCCATGTTTTTGAGTACATGATGTGCGCTGGTGAGAAGAGCGTCGTTATAAGATGAGCCCAGCTATCCAAACTCCGGTAGGATTGCTTGGACCTCTCGTAGATACCGAAGTAGGAAGCCGAGAGGTCGAGCCGGCTGGCAAAGAGGCGAAATAAACTTGAAGTTTGCCGCCTAGAAGAAGGCGAATAGATTCAAGACTTTCGTGGAGGAAATCGAATTAAAGAGCAAGGAGCTCCAATTGTTGAGCAAGTCGAGGCGCTGAAGCAAAAGAAGGACAAGAGCAAGAGGCTGGTAATTTGTAGCGCGGCGATGAAAACCGCTTCTCGATGTCATCTGAGCGTCTTTCCGGAGTCACAACTTTCGATAATTGTTTATTTCGGGGGAATTGGCACTTCTTTCCCACGCGTTTGGGTTCCATGGCGACAGCAAGGTTTGGGCCGCCGTCCTATTGGAAATGATCGGAGGTGAAGAACCAAGGATAGACATGGCCATCATCGTGACTTGCAGGTTACACCGACCTGCCGGAACTGCCATGGGACAACCCAACCCGTCCACGTTTCACTATTCATATTGTTTTGTCGTCAGTTTCATGCTCCTTTTTTGTATGGAGGAAAGGTCTAGTAAATGGACTGCCATAGGAGCCTATGCAACGGTGGCCGATGCGTCATTTCGGATTTCAGTGGACTCTACGCGTAGAAGATGGCAAAATTGCTGGTTTCGAAGTCATCAAGTCGTAACTGGGATATATAAGATGGTACTAGTAAATGGCCAGTGGGCGACGCCATCCAACTTGGATAACCTTAACGGCTGTACAGCAGGCGAGACCCATAGCGTAACATACGACCGTGAACGCAATGAGGCCCCAGTACTGACCGTTACAACGATTCAAGATATTGCCTGCAATTGGAATTCCTGTGAGGGTACTAAGTGGCAATACAAATGTCAGTTGATTATGTGTGACATCACATGAGGGAAAGACTCACCCAAAGCTCACAATGGTGTAGGCAGTGGCGTAATACCGACCATAGTGCTCGGTCTTGCAGAGCTGGCCGACACAAACGGGCGTGAGGCTGATGTTGCTGCCACTAGCAAAACCGAACAGGGCCGAGTACACGACGAGCAAGGGTAGGCTGTTTCCAGCGGGAAGCCACAAGCATGCATTGCAAAGTAGGCATAGGGCCACTGTCGCGATCAGGGCATTGAAGCGGCCTAAGATGTCTGCGAAAAAGCCTGGCAGCCATCGCCCAAAGAATGAACCCGCGTTTAGGATGGCAATAATCTGGTACGAGAAATGGGTAGAAAAGCCTTGGTCGATGGCATAAGATGAGATGTAGGCAATCGGAACGAAGAGGCCCCATTCAATGAAGAAGACGCTCGCAGTTGTGAGCGTAAACCGCGCGTCCCTGAATATACGGAAATCTGGCAATATATTCTCTTTGGAAAAGGGTTTCTGAGGCAGTCGAGACTTGATCAGGAGACAGGCAATCGCCAATGAAATTAAACAGATCAAGGCGATCGCTCGGGTTGCCCACGCCCAGCCGATTTTGGGGAAAAGACTTTGGAGAATCAGAGGAAATGCAACGCCCCCAAGTGAGCCTCCGGTGGAAGCAAGCCCAGTTGCGAGTCCACGCTTCTCGTAGAAAAAATGGCCGATTGATGAGATGGCTGGCGTAAAGATGAGAGATGTGCCGACACCCCCCAGAACACCGATCACAATCATGAAATGCCAGTACTGTGTGCAGAACCCGAGGGAAATGACCATCGCCATTTGGCAGATCGAGCCTGCCAGAATGAGCAAGCGTGGGCCTCGTGCGTCAAAGATCGGGCCGATCTGGATGCCGCAGAAGAAGGTCAGGAAGGTGTACATCCCGAAGATCCATCCAGTGCTGCCGGTACTGTAGTCTTTCAGCTGATGAGTCTGGATGTATGCCTGGAAGGTGGCTATGGTGTTGATCAGCCCAAGCGATCCAAAAAGGCCACAAAAACAGCCCAGCACCACCAGCCATGCTTGCAGGCCGCCTTCGGGGTACGTGTTTCCCTCTGCGTCTGTCGTCACCTGGGTGACAGGGTCCCGGTGGACGGACCTATTTGATGGAGCCACAGTCGATGCCATTCGGTAGATAACCTCATCTGGTACTCTGTATTCGTGCTCTGGGGGTTGGCCATCTTTTGAATCTGCCGGCAAGCCGGCTAGCTCCTCGAATTTCGTCACATCTGGGCCGGTGGCTAAGTCAGGGTCTGGACCTTCAGTGCACGCCTGCTTCTCATCTGTCACGGTGCTCTGGAAGCCATCATTTGTTGGTTGATGTCCATGGCCGTCAGCTAGATCCGATATGCTAACAGCCCTGGAACTCGTGGACATTCTAGAGGTACTACGCCTCTAAGAATTAAGACTTCTTGTTGGTCCTCAAAATTTTTGATTATGTGCGTGTGGTTATGAGGCGGGTGCGGAGGATCTGGAAATTTTGTCTGGGGAGAGGCGGAGGGGTCTTGGTAAGAGGATTTATCAATCAAAAGTCGGAGTCATCCTTTTTACTAGTAGAAAGATTCCGATTGGTCTGAATCCGGGGTTCCTGGGGCTTTTTTATGACCCCAAGAAAATTCAGCGTGAGCGGCCATTGGTAGCCGAGCAGGAGTGGAGCACGCTCACTAGCAGCATAGGGCAAGTCGATGCAAGCATTGGCCAGCATGACTTATACGACGGGGAGCTAACTCGGAGCATCGGCGTGGCCCGAATAAGGGCCTTCGCGGTGTTTGGCTCTAATGATAGCTGAAGACCTTCTAATAGGGAACTAAAGACACGGCAGTGATTATTGGCCCTACGAACTGACCCTAGTGTGCCAGCCCGGCACAAACCGGCATTCGTCGGTTTCATTCAGCGGTTTGTAAATTTCTGACTCCTATATCAATATAGGTCCGAAAACTCCCATCAAATGGGCTTGTGGTCTAGTGGTATGATTTTCCCTTAGCATGGGAGAGGTCCGGGGTTCAATTCCCCGCGAGTCCATTCTTTTTGCCGTTTCCGAGAGTTGGTTTTTTTTGGGTATGGTGGAGGGTTGGAAATGTTTTCAATGTAGTGATATGTGGGTGATATCGCCTCACTAAAAAGAATCAAGTCATTACCACAAAATAACAGGGCTGACAAGATATGTAAGGAGTGACTGAAAAAACAATACCCCCGAATAGGGGTGGGCCGAGGTTAATTCCGCAAGTCTAATTTTTTTTCTGGCTCAACCAAGGAGTATATACATTGATGTTGCTCCTTTGTACTATTTTTGTATTATGTGTCCAAACGCATTGATATTCGATCTGAAAAGGTAAATTTTTTGTGTTGTTATGGTGCTGTCTAAATCCCGAATCCGATGACAGACAGCATTCCTGGCCAGTTCCTGGCCCCTTTCTAGAAAGCTTAGCGAATAGTTTAAGCTTGCGATCATCAGGGGCCATTTTTTTTTATCAACTGACACTGACACTGTTTATCTTGGAGACGTCCGAGTAGTTATTCTTTCCTTATCAGAGTTGATGTTGGCCTGTCCTGCACGATCCTTCCCACGGGTGGGTCTTTTGGCGATTCGGATTGTCTTCAAAAACAACATCGCGTGATTGATTTTAGCCGGCAGATAGACGTGTCTAATGGCCGTCGCCAGCCGTGCTGAGATTCTTCATGGGCCATTGGGGCTGTGCGACTCGTATCCTGTTCCTTAGTTAGTTAACCGATGCAATGTAGTAATATGAGGGGATAACGAGTGTCTAGCAAGCTAGTGGCGACTAGCCCCCCGCTTCCCAAATCAAGATTGCCGTCGGGGCAGCCGGAATCCGTCGCAGTCCCGGGGTTCCGCTCTATCGGGGAATTGTTTTGATGGAGAGAGCCAAGAACCGTAGATAGAAACACGAGACTCGAAGTCAAAATCTCCTAGGCAACAACGCGTGATGAGAGCCTCGCAGGATCGAAACGACAGGGCGAGCTAAATGCTAAATCCTACTCTATCACATACGGCAGAGGCCGGTCCGCCAAGGGTCCACCACCTGCCTTTTCTGTCGTTGGCAACCCCGCTTGGACCGTGTAAGCCACCGCTATCAGTGGAAGCTCAATCGCTATCGACAGGGGTTCTGTGGAGGCGCCCCAAGGTGCATGGTTTACCCTCGTGCAATCAAAGCGATGGGCAATCTAAACTCACTATATAGCCTGCACCCGCTCCCTGCTCCTGGATAGAGTTAACGCGACTTTCCTCTTGAACTCCCCTCAACTCCATCCCCATTGATCCAGGATGTTGTTCAAATCGGCGCTGACATCCGCCCTTCTGGCTCTATCGCTGGGCTCGGAGACTGTCGCCGCTTCTAAGCATGGACGATTTGCGGAGAAAGCTCGAGCGCCTCAGGAGAGGGCCAAGAGGCATCTTGAGAACCACAAGAACCCAAGCCACTCGCACCACTCAGATTTTCGTTTCCTGAGCTCCAAGACGAAGCGTTAGTTATAACCACTCTTCGTTAACTGTAGAGAAACCACTGACTGTCGATAACAGCCTTTCTGGTGGACCACATGCCCGACGTCAACTTTGACATTGGCGAGATGTACTCTGGTCTGATGCCTATTGACATGGACAATGAATCGCGGGCGCTTTTCTTCATCTTCCAGCCGACCATTGGCGATTCTGTCGACGAGGTCACCATCTGGCTCAATGGCGGCCCTGGATGCAGCTCCATGGAGGGCTTCCTGCAGGAGACTGGTCGTTTCATCTGGCAGCCTGGTACATTTGCTCCAGTTGAGAACCCGTACTCTTGGGTGAACCTGACCAATGTGTTGTGGTAAGTACAAGTCTGCTGTTGATTAACTCGATTGCGCTGACGGTGACTTTCATGCAGGGTTGACCAGCCTGTGGGAACTGGTTATTCCATCGGCAAACCGACTGCGACCACGCAGGAGGAAACAGCAGCGGAGTTTGTGAAGTTCTTTAAGAACTTCCAGAAGACTTTCGGAATCAAGAACTTCAAGATCTATGTCACCGGCGAGAGCTATGCAGGACGCTACGTGCCCTACATCTCTGCTGCGTTTCTGGACCAGAAAGATAAGGAGTATTTTGATCTTGATGGTGAGTGATGCAAGATAAAATAGTGAGTAAGAAAGTAGCAGAATTGACTCAGAACAGGTGCCTTGGCTTACGATCCATGCATTGGCCAATTCGATTACGTCCAGCAGGAAGCGCCTGTAGTGCCTCTCGTCCAGCAGAACGCGAACCTGTTCAACTTCAATGAGTCGTTCATGGCAGAGCTCGAGCACCTTCATAAAGCTTGTGGCTACGAGGAGTACATTGAGAAGTACCTCACATTCCCTCCGAAAGAACACCAGCCTCCCAAGTTCTTCAACTACACCACTCAGGCTAAATGCGATGTGTTCGACCTGGTCTACGAAGAGGTCTTCCACATCAACCCGTGCTTCGATCTCTACGAGATCAACCTGATGTGCCCCCTGCTGTGGGATGTATTGGCTTTCCCGACCTCTCTCGACTACACAGCCCCCGGGTCGACGGTATACTTTGACCGACACGATGTTAAGCGGGCTCTGCACGCTCCCAATGTCAAATGGTCCGAGTGCTCGAATGAGCCAGTCTTTGTAGGCGGAAACTCTGGTCCAGAGCAGGAGGGCGACACCTCCGCCAACCCCATCGAGCATGTCCTGCCCCAGGTCATCGAGGCCACCAACCGCGTCCTGATCGCTAACGGCGATTATGACATGGTCATAATAACTAACGGGACACTTATTAGTATCCAGAATATGACCTGGAACGGCCATCTCGGCTTCCAAGAGAAGCCTCACAAGCCTATCAATATCGATATTCCTGATCTCATGTATGCCGACGTCTTCGCTGAGAACGGCGCTTCCAGCTTGGATGGTGCCCAGGGTATCATGGGTATTCAGCACTACGAGCGTGGCCTCATGTGGGCTGAGACTTACATGAGCGGCCACATGCAGCCTCAATTCCAGCCGCGCGCCGCTTATCGCCACATTGAATGGCTGCTGAGACGCCGCGATCATATCTAAAGGCCTGGGCCTGATAGCGGTGAGACAGCAGTGATTTAGTACATACGTGTCATAAGAACATCGCTGGCTCGAGCACATAGTTCAAAAATGCAGATAATCAAATCGTTTTGGCAATTGCACTTGGGTAGCCATCCCCTGCATAAATTTCTCCCCCAGACCGCAACACGGCTGCTACGTCCATGCACATGTATGAAACATGGAACACCCGGGCGATTGTGGCATTCCTATGTCGTTGCATCGCCACATTCTCCTTCGTGACCCTCTGGCACCCCTTTTCCCCATGGGGTTTAATTTTCCATCGTGACATGGTAGGTATAGGTAGTATACAAGTGAGCCTGTGTTTATAAGCCCGTTCTGAGGGGCTTTCTTCATCATCCCTTGATTCATACAGTAAAAATGACTCAATTGGAGGTTTAAATAACAACGGGCAGTCATCGGGTGATGTCATTATTCTCAGGACTACAGGATTGACTTGCCATTTTGGGTATCTTTTTGCTGAGCCTTTCTTTTGCTCGGGAACTTTTAGGATAGTAACTATTGTGTATTACCCCACGTTAAATGCCGCGATTCAGAGTATTTACGACAACAATTTAAGTTATGTGGATGGCGTGGAGTGTGTGCTTGATATATAAAGTGGGAGCGAACCGACATATGTATCGACTCCACCAAGTATCATTATCGCAGGAAAAGTTTGAATGGGTTGACTGCTGAAAGTGAAAATCATCGAGAACGAACACGGACTGCAGACATCTTCTATAAAGTATGATTCGTGCTGATGTCCGCATAATGTTGGTTGGAATGAAGTATATCCCCACGCTGGTCCTATTATGACTACTCCCTTATACTCACTGCGCGATCCAGACTACAGAGCAACATCCTAGGTACAAAAGGAATGCCGTTCTTAGGTCAATATCACCTCACATTGTAAAATAATCTCTTTTCCAACCCACTTTACTCCGTAAAGTGTTATAGTTTTCCCGAAGTGGAGATTATTGACTCCTTACTCACACCCCGCGGGCATACCATTGAATACATTTCATTACTAGTGTCTATAGACCTAGTTTAGCGCAGTACATTTACTGCCGAGGAGGCTGTAATGGAGCATTCGACGAAGTCCTTTCTTATCCTCACTCTCCAATACATCGTTATACATAGTGTTCACATGCAAGACACGAAAGGCAAATATTGGCCGGAAGCTAACACTCATACAGTCATTGTAGAAACTCCAGTGAATTTGGCTCATTGGAAACGACCTTAGACTTAAGCAGGTTTTTCATGGCGCCAAGGAAGGCCATCGGTAAATTGTACTTTGTGTTGGGCCG